TTGTCTTTGAGATTGAAGGTTCCTCCAGCTATTGCTCAATTCCAAAACACCTTGGACAAGAACACCGCTGCTCAAACCTTCAAATTATTCAACAAATACAGACCAGAAACTGCCTCTGAAAAGAAGGAAAGATTAACCAAGGAAGCCGCTGCTGTTGCTGAAGGTAAGTCCGCCAAGGACGCTTCTCCAAAGCCAGTTGTCGTCAAGTACGGTTTAAACCACGTTGTTTCTTTAGTTGAAAACAAGAAGGCCAAATTAGTCTTAATTGCCAACGATGTTGACCCAATCGAATTAGTCATCTTCTTACCAGCTTTATGTAGAAAGATGGGTGTTCCATACGCCATTGTGAAGGGTAAGGCTAGATTAGGTACTTTAGTCCACAAGAAGACCTCTTCCGTCGCTGCTTTAACCGAAGTCACCTCCGCTGACGAAGCTGAATTAGCCAAGTTAGTTTCTACTATCAACGCTAACTTCATTGAAAAATACGAAGACTCCAAGAGACACTGGGGTGGTGGTATCATGGGTTCTAAGGCTAACGACAAGATCGCTAAGAAGGCTAAGGCTTTAGAAGTTGATCCAACTGTCCGTGCTTAAATCTCATGTTTATAGTTATTTAATAATTATATATAATCGGTCGTTCCAAGTACTTTAATACATATGTATCTACTTAATTCTTGGATATAGTGTCTCGTATACTGTATTACTATACTACATACGTCTAAATTTTTCAGCTGAGGTCCGGGTAATCGAGTTCGAATTTCTGGCCAATAACAGTTTTGATTTTTCTCATTTACTCAATGGTAGAAATTTGGGAACATAGTTTACATAGGTTTAATTAATAACTGAAAATTATATTATATACATTATATTATAAATAATTGCCATAATGTCATTCTTAAAGGATTTAATAGAATCAGCTTTCCCAGTTGCTTACGCTGAAGAAGTATGTATAGTATTTTTTGACCATTTTGGAGTCCATTGAGTTTGTTAGATTAGGACATATTCGATCTAAAGTGTGGGCGAACACTGTATTCATGTAAGAGAAATTCTAACCATAATATAGCCAGCTGAAGAAGAACCTGTTGAAGAAGAAGAATCTACCCAAGAGTCCGAAGGTGACGAAAAGGAATCGGGTGATGATGCCGAAGAAAGTGACGACAAAGAATCGGGTGATGCTGAAGAAGGTGACGAAGAAGATGAAGAAGATGAAGATGACGAAGACGAAGATGACGAGGACGAAGATGAAGAAGAAACAGTTGATCCATTAGACTCTTTACGTGAAGAATGTACCAACACCCAAACTTGTAAGCCATACCTTCACCATTTTGAAGAATGTATTGAAAGAGTCACCAAGGAACAAGAAGAAGAAGGCTACGAACATAAAGCATACAAAGAAGACTGTGTTGAGGAATTCTTCCACTTACAACATTGTGTCAACGACTGTGTTTCCCCAAGATTGTTCCACAAATTAAAATAATCGTGTTTTCGTTTGGGTGACGTAGCCCCCACAGGGACCATTGGCCACGCATAATAATTGGGATGTGTTTGTCTTTAGGCCGATATACGTCCAATTGTTCCAAAAAATGTATCGCACATTCAAAACTTTCAAATTTAATGATAGCTTCCGAAGTTCAGTTTATTAGAAAATCGCCTATGCATTTCCATGTGTTTGCTGTTTTCTCATTACCACCATTTTTATTCTCTAGAAAAAAAGTATACATTTTTGATTTGTTTTGCCAAAGTAGTTTGCTTTATTCCTTTTTGTTTTTCTTAATCGTTAGTATACTGTGCATATAGTAATTAGATATATATTTATTGTATTTCATCTCAATTCTACAACAACGCTGTAGTGACCATCAATCCGAAACCAGACTCCCTCCAGCCAGCTGATTATATCTACTATCTGTAACTTCCTCGTCTTCGGTGCATCAAAGTCAACCTTCACGTGTATGGTCAATCCTTCCAAGACCCGTATAGCTGAAAGCTATGGTGTCACTGTTTTCACTACAAGTATGTCTGTACTACTATGGACATGAACACACCATATGGCATACCAGTCTCCGGCATTGCACTGATGCAAAAAACATAATACTGCCAAAATCCGATAACTGATTCTGTTCGGTCCCTGAATTGAACCCTGGTCCTTTTTTAAAGATGTTCAATCGCGGTCAGGTAGTGGTGGGTTTTGCCATCCTTTAGTAGATAAAACGAACAACATATACCTTTTCCGTAACAAGTACAAAAATCTAGCAATCAAATCACCAGTTAAGTCAATTGTTTGTGAAAAATACTACTATTATCCATTTATATACTGTGAAAGTTTTGAGTTTTTTATATACTAAAAAGTTATTGAATTTATCCCTCACCCTCACTGAAGAATTGAAAATTTAAAGATGTCTACTGAAGAAACTAAGCAACCTATTGAAGAAAGAATTTACATTGGAAATGTCGATTACAAGGCAGACGAAGAGGAATTGAAACAATTCTTCGATGGATTAAAAGTGTACGTATAAAAGATCATGGGGAAAATTGGTTGCCCTGGACAGATAACAAGCGAGTGTTTGGACAGGACCTTCATAAGAAGTAAATTGGGAGATAAAAGACCGAATACTAACTATACTAGCACCGAAGTTGATATTCCAAGCAAAACGTTTACCCGTGGGAAGCAAACCATTGATAAGCATCTTGGATTTGCGTTTGTTCAATTTGAGAACAAGGCAGAAGCCGATAAGGCCATTGAGGATTTCAATGGAAAGGAATTCAAGGGGAGAAACATCTACGTGAAGAAGGCGGTTCCACCGCCAACCGAGGAGGAAAAGAAACAAAAAATAGAAGCATTCAGGGCCAAGAAGGCCGAACAAAAGGCCAAGAGGGCTGAAGAGCAGGCTGAGAAAGCAGAAAAGGAGCAACAAACCACCAAGTCGGACGAAGCGCTGACGAAGGAAGCAAACGGCGATGTGAAGCCAAAGAAGACCAAAAAGAAGGCCGCCAAAAAGGCTGTCACCGCTGATGCCAGTACCCCGGAAACTGCGACTTCGTCTGATGACCCAAAGGATAAAATTCCAGATGGTAAGCCATCGGCCGATACCATCTTCATCACCAACTTAGACTACAAGGTTGACGTCAAGACCTTGAACAGTCTTTTCAAGGAATTGAAGCCAAAATGGATCCATGTTCCTACAAGAAGAGTACCATATCACATCCTTAAGAGACAAAAGAGTAAAGGTAGAACTGTCTTCAATAAGGGTATTGCATTCGTCAAGTTTTCTAGCGAAGACTTGCAAAAGCAAGCTATTGCTGACTTCAACGGTAAGGAATTGAACGGTAGAGAAATCATTGTGGATATTGCCATAGATGCCAGAATTCCAAAGACTGACACAGAAGAGCAAAACTCACAAGAAGAAGCCTCTCAAGATGAAAAGCAATAACTAATCTCATCAAATATAAATGGATAAAAGTGATTTATTATGTAAATATATTTGTTTATAGTTAATAATTCATTTTATTAATGTTAAAATCTATCTGTCAAGTACCTGTAAGAAGTTAATCGTGTGGTGGTCCAGCCCTAATATATACCAAATGATTATTGTGACTATGAAATTTTTTTGTGCGTGAAAAATTCTCAATTTTCACTTGGGTGTCGTACATAATTAATCACCATAATATATACGCTTTAGTTTTCACTTTAAGTCTAAAACTTAATTCAATAGCAAAATGGGTATGTAGTAGACGTTATATACGTTGTTTATGGGTCCCACGTTTAATATCAATGTCAGGTTACCAAGAAAAATGAAGAAAATGGAAATAGAGAAATAATTATAATTCGAGATGAACACGATTGTTTAAAAGCAAATGATTGTTTAGAGGGCAATGAGAATGAATATGTTGGCAAGTAGTTGTTTGAATGATATATTTGTCCTACAATGATGAAAGCTCAAAGAACGCAAAAAAGAACTAGCATGAAATGACTGGGAGACGTAATTAAACTAGTATACAGAATACTAACAAAACTTATAGGTAGAGTTATTCGTAACCAAAGAAAGGGTGCTGGTTCTATCTTCACCTCGCACACCAGATTAAGAAAGGGTGCTGCCAAGTTAAGAACTTTAGATTATGCTGAACGTCATGGTTACATTCGTGGTATTGTCAAGCAAATCATTCACGACCCAGGTAGAGGTGCTCCTTTAGCCAAGGTTTCTTTCCGTGATCCATACAAGTACAAGTTGAGAGAAGAAACCTTCATTGCTAACGAAGGTGTTTACACTGGTCAATTTATCTACGCTGGTAAGAAGGCTTCCTTAAACGTCGGTAACGTTTTACCTTTAGGTTCCATGCCAGAAGGTACTATTGTCTCCAACGTCGAAGAAAAGTCTGGTGACAGAGGTGCATTAGGTAGAACCTCCGGTAACTACGTTATCATTATCGGTCACAACCAAGATGAAGGTAAGACCAGAGTCAAGTTACCATCTGGTGCTAAGAAGATTCTTTCTTCTGAAGCTAGAGGTGTCATCGGTGTTGTTGCCGGTGGTGGTAGAATTGATAAACCATTATTGAAGGCTGGTAGAGCTTTCCACAAATACAAGGTTAAGCGTAACTCTTGGCCAAAGACCAGAGGTGTTGCCATGAACCCAGTTGATCACCCTCATGGTGGTGGTAACCATCAACATATTGGTAAGGCTTCTACTATCTCTAGAGGTGCTGTTCCAGGTCAAAAGGCTGGTTTAATCGCCGCCAGAAGAACTGGTTTATTACGTGGTACTCAAAAGACTCAAGATTAGATTTTGTGACGAAAGCCTTTTTGGCTTTTTTCTTAACTTGTTACTATCCCTTTTCGTTTATATATCTTAAGTAGGTTTTCTAAATCCTTTGTGCATTAATTAATACATAAACTGTATCTCTAAGTCCTGTCTGAAATACCAGAATGTACTTTTTCAGTCCGTCTATTGTTCTCAAAAGAGCAAAACTCCGTAATAGTTAATCTAGCTTATCGCCGCTAACCTTATATAATCGCGGTATAACTGATTTTACTATTAGCTGTGCCCTTTATTCTACGGTATCCCCTCTAATGACTCATTATATACAAAAACGTTCTACCTAGGAGCCACATTTATGTGCCTGTTTAAAAATGTGTCGTAAATCTACGTTTTTTGGTGCCTCTTTCTCACACGTCTTTGATTATCTTTTCAAGGAATTTTGAGATAGACATTATATGACTGATTGGCCAATTGCAGCGCTTCTTCTCCTCTTCATATTCCAGTTACTAGTAGTTTATGCGTCATTCTTGTTTTGGTTGTTTATAATTGATACAAGACCGTTTATTAGTCATAATTTAGGATTAGTCTAACATTATATAGAAGATTTTAATATGCGGCATCAATTTTTTGTGCAGTCATAAATAAGTGAAAAATCCCATGTAATTTTAAGTCTTCTATTTTTTTCCTTATCTTTTAAAGATTATTTATTTATAGACACATATAATGCTGTATCAGAATAGTACGTGCCCCTTTTGGGTGTTCGACGATATAACAAGGTGTTCTAGAGATAATTATTTAGATTTTGGTTTACCGTTAATATTATTAATAGCATCATCACTGGTTTTAGTGATTAAAAGTACAAAATCCATACTAAAGAGGAATAAGTCTATCAAACTACAAGATGGAGAGACAAGACCTCTCTTGTCCAACTCTGGTGCTTATGGGACGATTGAAGAAGAAGAGCCCAGAAAGGACGCGATTAAGAAAGCCCATTTCGACCTTAATCGTTTGACTGATACCAATGAGGATGGTTCACCACACGGCCATATTCAAGAAGTATATAAGAATGCATGTGAAAGATTTAGAGTGTCCCTAGAGTATTTGCTAGTTGCGCTACAATTGGGAATTTCCCTTTCTGCATTCTTTGTCAGGGACCTTCGTAAGGAATGGAAAAACACCCCTTATGTCCCAGTGACGAAAGCTTTATTTTGGGCTTATTTATTTACTATCTGTACTATCCGTACTATAAATTTAAAGAAGGTCACAATTCGTTTACCCAACTTATGGGTTCATTCCACCACATTATATTTCTTTAACTTTTTCCCTGCCATCCTTATTTTCAGATCTGTTTTGATTGGCCATATTAAGAATAAAACAGTTCGTACTTTCTATATCACAGAATTTGTCATTGCGTCTATCTTGTTAATTTTGAACTTCACGGCAAGTAGTGGCGATAAACCTTCAAAATTATATGTTACTACTGATGGTGTCAAGCCATCACCGGAAACAGTTTCTAGTATTTTGTCATTCACTACTTATTCGTGGTTGGATAAAATGGTTTTTCAAGCTTATAAGAATCCCTTAGAGATGAATGATATTTGGAGTTTAAGACGTGATGATTATGCCCTCCTTGTTTTGCAATCATTCGAAGCCAGTAAATCAACGGCAAAGTTCACTATTAAACTTTTTTCACATTTTAAGTATTTATTTGCAGTTCAGGCATTTTGGGCCGTTGTTCAATCTATAACCGTATTCATCCCATCATTATTGTTGAAAAGGATTTTAGAATACGTTGATGATCCAATTTCCACACCAAAGAATTTGGCTTGGACTCTTGTATGCTTAATGCCGTTTATTAAGATGTTGGATTCTATAGCCTCAGGTTGTTCTTTATTTTTGGGTAGAAGAGTCTGTTTAAGGATGAAAGCTATTCTTATTGGTGAAATCTATGCAAAAGCTTTAAGAAGAAAAATCACGGTATCTGAGGTTTCCAAGAATGATGCTGATTTAGACGACAAGACCAAGAAGAGCAAGAAAAACAAAGACAAGAAGAAGAAGAACGATAAAGAAGAAGATCCAAGTAATACGGCTGAATTAGGTGCGATTATTAATTTAATGTCTATTGATGCTTTCAAAGTGTCTGAAATTTGTGGTTATCTCCATTTTTTTGTTGGGGCTTTTTTTATGATTATTATCTGTATTACTTTATTATATGGTCTTTTAGGTTGGAGTGCCTTAGTAGGTGCTATTTCAATTGTTGCTTTATTACCGCTTAATTACAAAATTGCGTCATATATAGCTGGGTTGCAAAAGAGAATGTTGTCTATCACGGATAAGAGAATTCAAAAGTTAAATGAAACCTTCCAGAGCATAAGAATTATCAAAATTTTTGCCTGGGAAAATAAGTTTTTCGAAAGTATTATGAAAGTCAGAAATGAAGAAGTACATGAATTGAAATTGAGACTGGCATCCTGGGCTGCTGGTGCATTCGTCTGGTTTATTACTCCAACATTGATTACATTACTTTCTTTTTACTGTTATACTGTTATTGAGGGCAATACGTTAACTGCACCTATTGCTTTCACAGCATTGTCCTTATTTACTTTATTAAGAACCCCATTAGATCAATTATCCGATATGACTTCATATGTTGTACAATCCAAGGTCTCTTTAGATAGAATTGGTGAATTCTTGGATGAAGAAGAGACTTCGAAATATGAGCAATTAGGTCAAACTCCAGGTCCAAACTCTCCAACTGTTGGATTTGAAGAAGCATCTTTCGCATGGAACTTAAAGTCTGAAAATGATTTCAAATTAAGAGATCTTAATATTGATTTTAAAGAAGGAAAATTGAATGTTGTCATCGGTCCTACAGGATCTGGTAAGACGTCGTTGTTATTGGCTTTGTTAGGAGAAATGGACTTAATATCTGGTAAGGTTTTCTTACCTGGCATTATTTCAAGAGACCACTTGGTTGTAGACCCTAGAACTGGTTTAACTGATTCCGTAGCCTACTGTTCACAATCAGCATGGTTATTGAATGAATCTATCAAGAACAACATTACATTCTCTTCTCCATTTAATCAGATTCGTTATGACAAAGTTATAGAAGCTTGTGGTTTAAAGCGTGATCTTGAGATTTTAAGTGCTGGAGATGCAACTGAAATTGGTGAAAAGGGTATTACTTTATCTGGTGGTCAAAAACAAAGAGTCTCTTTGGCCAGAGCATTGTACTCAAATTCGAAAAATGTTTTACTTGATGATTGTTTGTCCGCAGTTGATTCACATACGGCGTTATGGATTTATGAAAATTGTATCTCTGGACCTTTGATGGAAAATAGAACCTGTATTTTGGTTTCCCATAATGTTGCATTAACCGTTCAAAAGGCTGAATGGATTATTGTTATGGAAAATGGTAGAGTTAAAACTCAAGGTAATCCTGAAGACTTATTGAAGACTGGTGACTTAGGAGATGACGATTTGGTTGCATCTTCTGTTGCAAATTCACGTAGCCAATCTTCTGTTAACTTGAAATCTTTAGATGATAAAAATTCCGAAATGAAAGCTAAAAGTGCTGCGATTGAAGCCAAATTACAGACAATTGCAGACCAACCTGAAGATGATATTAAGACTGATGGTAAATTAGTAGAAGAAGAAGGAAAGTCCATTGGTATTGTTGGTTTCGATGTTTACAGCGGGTATGCAAAACTTCTCGGTGGTTACTCGACTTGGACTGTTATCCTTCTTGCTTTTGGTGTTTCTCAAGGTGTCTACATGCTTCAATCATGGTGGTTAAGAAACTGGTCGTTAGATAGCGAGAAGTCAAGTGAGTTCTTTATGAGTAAGATTGCATTAGCCTCTGTTGGTACGACTTATGATTTTTCCCAGCTTAGACAACTACCAATTGTTAATACTATTGTTGGAGCGTCATCTTTGGTAGCTTCTAGTGTTTCAAAAGTAAATGCTTATAAAGAGGAGAATAACACTTTATATTATATTACTATATATGCTGTTATTGGTATTAGTTATGCCATCTTTGCATGTATTAGAGTTGTTGTCACTTTCTTTGCGGGTATCCAAGCCTCAAATAGAATTTTCAAAAAAGTATTAACTTCTGTTCTAGGAGCTAAGTTGAGATTCTTTGATAAAACTCCACAAGGACGTATTATGAATAGATTTTCAAAGGATATTGAATCTGTCGATCAGGAGCTTATGCCATTTGCTGAAGGTGCATTTATTTGTGTTGTGCAGTGTGTTTCTACCTTAGTGCTTATTACGTTTATTACTCCCGGCTTTTTAATTTTTGCATTTATTATTTCTTTCTTATACTACTTAGTTGGTATATTCTATGTTACCACCTCAAGAGAATTGAAGAGATTTGAGTCGATTACTAAGTCTCCAATTCACCAACATTTCTCTGAATCTTTGACAGGTGTTGCAAGTATTAGAGCTTATGGGGTTGAAACAAGATTTATGAAACAAAACTTGAATTCTATTGATAAAAATAATAGACCATTTTTCTACTTATGGGTTGCAAATAGATGGTTGTCATTCCGTATTGATGCTGTTGGGTCATTAGTTATGTTTTTCTCGGGAGTTTTTGTATTACTTTCGATTGGTAAAATTGATGCTGGTTTAGCTGGTTTATCTTTATCATATGCAATCGCATTTTCAGAAAGTGCTTTATGGGTTGTTCGTCTTTATGCTACTGTTGAAATGAATATGAACTCTGTCGAAAGATTGCAAGAATATTTCACAATTGACCAAGAACCACCTCAAGAAATCCCTGAAACTGAGCCTCGTGCTACATGGCCTGAAAGGGGTGAAATTAATGTTCAAGATGTTTCTTTAAGATACGCTCCTGAATTACCCAGAGTTATTAAGAATGTTACTTTTGATGTGGAACCTAATAATAAGGTTGGTATTGTTGGTCGTACTGGTGCAGGTAAATCAACTATCATCACTGCTTTTTTCAGATTTTTAGATCCTGAAACAGGAAGCATTTTTATTGATGGTGTAGATATTACAAAGATAGGTTTGCGTAATTTGCGTCAAGCAATTACCATTATTCCTCAAGATCCAACCTTGTTTACAGGTACAATTAGATCCAATTTAGATCCTTTCGATCAATACACTGATGCTCAAATATATGAGGCCTTAAGACGTGTTAACTTGATCAGCACAGAGGAGTTGACGACTGGTTCTACTAATGAATCGAGTGAAAATCAGAATAAATTCACAAACCTTGACTCTGCTGTCAGTGAGGGTGGTAATAACTTATCACAAGGTCAAAGACAATTAATGTGTTTAGGAAGATCTTTATTAAAGAGTCCTAAGGTTATTTTACTTGATGAAGCTACTGCTTCCATTGATTATAAATCAGATGCCATGATTCAACAAACAATTCGTCAAGAATTTTCTAATTCAACTATTTTGACTATTGCGCACAGATTAAGATCTATTGTTGACTATGATAAGATCTTAGTTATGGATGCCGGTAGGGTAGTTGAATATGATAATCCATACGTCCTTATCGCGAATAAGAATTCTTTATTCTACAGTATGTGTGAAAACAGTGGAGAGTTGGATTCTCTTACAAAGCTCGCAAAGGAAACTTATGTTAAGAACAAAAATAAAGCAATCAAGCCTTAAACTGTGCGCTGACTCTATTTATTTCCTTTTTTATATCTCAATTAATAAAAATATAGATTTTAGGTACTGTAATATGATTGTTAGATAAGGAACTCTTATGATAGTATAGATAGATTTAGCATTACCCGACTTTTATGATAATAGTGGCTCAACGTCGCGTTATCAATAAAAGCACTTGAGACAACTTCCTGCTGCCTCAGTTTTCTTTTTGCGGAGGACCATATCCTTCTTGCCTATATTTCAAAGAAGTACGGATGCCGATATTATCACAGACACTAGATGGCACCGATTCGAGTACTTCACCTAATGTTGCGTACCGACAGTTGTCATCGGACTCTCAAGGAGGACCAGATCTGAGAGGAAGGGCATCCCAATTACGAGAACTAGAGGAAGTACCGCAAGGGAGACATCTAGGATTATTTTCGACAATTGTTCTTTTTGTCTCACGAATAGTTGGGTCGGGGATATTTGCTACTTCTTCAGGTATATACCAAGATGTAGGAGGTTCACCATTTTTGTTTTTTCTTGCATGGTTCCTTGCAGCTGCATTATCGTTTAGTGGGTTATATGTTTATTTAGAATTGGGGTCATTGGTGCCTAGAAGTGGAGGGACTAAAGTTTTTTTGGAATTTATATATGAAAAGCCCTATATGTTGGCGTGTGTTGTGTTTCTGATCTATTCCATTATGTTTGGGTTTAATATGCTGAATGCTTTAGTGTTTGGGGAATACTTTTTGCATTCAATTGGTATCAAAGCTGATGAATTCCATACTAGACTCACAGGTCTACTTTGTGTTTATTTTGCTGCAGCCATTCATGGTATAAGCTATAGTCATGGTGTAAGAGCACAAAATATAATTGGTGCTCTTAAGTTGTTGTTATTGTTGATTATGGTTCTAACTGGCCTTTATCTGGTACTCATGCCATCTAGCATAAGTCATATACATTCGAACTTACATTGGGACGACTTCTTTAAGACGAAGACACCAATGACTTCATCGACGTTCGCTGGTGCAATTATTAAGGCCAGTTTCTCATTCTCCGGTTGGAATTCGGCTCATACAGTTTCCAATGAAGTCAAAGACCCAATACGTACGTTCAAGATAGCTGGTCCTGTATCGTTAATAATTGTTACAGTTGCATATATGCTTACCAATTTAGCATATATAGTGGTAATACCGCATGATGAAATTGTAAATAGTGGTCAATTGATTGGCTCTTTACTATTTGAAAAAGTTTTTGGACATAAAGTTGGAAAGCAATTTCTAACTCTCTCTGTTGCTCTATGTGCTAGTGGAAACATATTTGTTGTTCTCTATACAATCTCAAGAGTAAGTCAGGAGGTATTCCGTGAAGGGTTTCTCCCATGTTCTAATTTTATGGCTTCGAATTGGCCGTTTGGAGCTCCTCTTCCAACATTAGTACTCAGTTGCACGTTAACAACTTTAGTAATTTTAGCTCCCAAAGGTGACCTTTACAATTATATTATCGCATTAGAAGGCTATCCAAATCAAGTTTTTCTCGGCTTAACTGCATTTGGTATATTTATAATCCGAAAGAGATCTCCAGAGTTGCGGGCTCCTATTAGAGCCAGTCTTATGGGAACTGTATTCCTATTATTAATTACATTATATTTAACCATATCACCCTTTACTTCATCGAAGAGCCCTAATCCTAAAGGCTTGGAAAATTGGCCATCTTATGCTGTAGTTGCAATATTGTGCTTAGGAGTTTGCGTTTCATATTGGATTGTCATGTTCAGATTACTTCCATATGTTTTTGGTTACAGACTCACTTCTAAAGAAGTTGAATTAAGCGATGGTTTAATAGTTAAGAAATGGGTTAAAACTTATGGTGATATTCCTGTTGATTTAGATTTTATAGACTAATTATATAGAATATTTATGGCTGCGAAACTATTTTGTCTAGCCTTTCAACAAATTTTACGAATTCTTCATCTTTTAGCTTCTGGCTGACCAATATTTTTAGTTCAGCATCCTTCATTTTAAGTAAATCATACTTTTTTTTAGGCTTCTGCTTTCTTGAGGATTTCTGAACACCATTGGTCGATGATTTCGGAAGGACAAATTTATTTCCTATCTTCATCGGCAGCACTTCTTCTTCTTTTATCGATTTGTTCTTATTTACAGGTCTCTCGCATACAGAGATTCGGTTCTTCTCTACTGCTTGATTTTTGGGCTGCATACTGTTGTCATCGGGCTCATTCATAATATCATTTTGTTTGCCGATGTGATTAGGTAGTATTTGGTTATTCCGATCTACTGATATCATAGCTTGAGTATTAGAATGGGAAATCATGTCTCGATTATAATCCATATTTGTCGATTCTAGAGGCATGCCCCCTTTTGGAGCAAGTCTACTACCGTTATATATGTCCTGATGTGTCCCTGTGTGCAAATATGTGTAAGGCTGTTGATACTGGGGACAACAAGCTTCAGGCTGATGAAAATGAGGTAAAAAATAATTGTTGGCTAATTGACTCACTTCTCGTACCTGCTGAGATGGATTTAATTGAATCTGTTTTCGTTGTTCTAAAGTTATATTTGACAATTTTGTAGACTCTTCTAATTGTGAAAAAGAAGCATTCTGCTTCAGAGGAAGAGTATATTGTGGTCTGCATAAAGCTTGTGATGGCGAATAGAATTCTTGGTTGTTTGCAATATTTTCCCAGGATTTAAAAGGATTTTGAGGGGTTTGTAAGATACCTACCATTTTCTGACTTGGATTATCTATAATTTGTGAATTTCCATTGATTTCCGTTGCATCCATTTGGTTCAAAACCACGTTCAATTTCTCTTGCACACATTTGCAACACCTATCATATAAATCCTTGGTATTAAAGCTTACTTGAAATCTCTTTACCAACTCACCTTTTGGAGTTACAATTTTGAACCCTAATGATGGGTACTTTCCAATAGATGAGATAAAATTATTGGAACCTTGGTTCCAATATGTCTGATCCTAAACTCGTTAATATAACTCTATTTCAAAAGTATATGGTTATGGACTTACTAAAACATTCCCTTTCCAAATGATAGAAATATGAAAACTACTTTCATCAGTCAGATATTTAAAAAAATTTATAGTAATATCAGATCTTTGAGGAAAGTGAAACCACTGGCTAGGGGGCATACCATTTGTGCAGTTGTCTTCTTTTCTCTTTTCATTCTTGAATAATGAAAGTTTCCTGATATCAAACGTGGATATATTTGGTTTCTGTGTCATTGGTATTGGTTTATTTGATAAAATCCTTTGTTTTTTAAAAACTCTTAATATATGTTGCTAAAGATTGTTTTGCCGCTTTGCAACCAAAAATATAAAAACTTGAGAAATTTCCAACATTATGAATTCACATTAAAGACATAGATAAGTATTGAAAATAAAGACCATCAAGTAACTCTCCGCTTTGGGATACCTTAATAGGATTATTTCTTTAAGTCAAGCGTTTAAACTGATCTGCTATTAAATTTTGAAGTTCTGAAGTAGTTGCAAATGACATTCTCAACACAATACAAAATATTGATTGAGATTTTACATCCCTGAAGAGGGTATACGATATGAAATGAAAGAGCAATGTATTCTAGTATTTTTAATTAGAGAAAATAAATATGTTGAGGAAAGAAAATCATTTGAAAATAGAATATAATAAAATATTATATGGACGCTTCGGCGAAATCTAACGGTACTCCCAATTCTTCTAAAGACCTTTTGACATGAGTCATATTTCTACCGCCATTACCAATATTTTCAGCATTTGGGCCAAAGTTTTCACCGAAAATGGTTTTCACTGAACCAGAGAGTACATCTGCAACAGAAGTATTCGCACCGGGGTATAAGAGATTAGTGAATCTTTTAGTGCTTTTGCAGCCTTTTACAGGCTTTTCACCATTAAACATTTTAGTTAACCAAGCTATGGCAGCCGGACTTCCCTCGATAAACTCAGTAATATGTCCTGTTGTTTCGTCGATAGCAAATTCATAAGAATCAATACCCCAATCACACCAGTTATTATACGCTCTCACAGAATCTTTATATGCGACAATCGTATCCAACTCTCCATGAAATACAAACAATGGAATTTCAGGAACTGGATCTCCTTTTTTCAAAGCAAGAGTATTCTCATCGATAACTTTTTTAATAGTTGGATCCAGGAATAATGCCCAACCTTCGTCGACATATCTTTTGGGCCCAGTGAAAATGTGTTGGAAAGCATATGTTATTATAGAGGGTATGAAGCACAATGATTTAGCTTTAGAAAACTTGAGATATTGGCTTGGAATTAATAACTTTTCTACCATAGAATGAAGTTGAGGATATTCCTGTGTTAAACCCGTTACAGCACTTGCCGTTAATCCAGCAAAAAGAGTGCCATCCACACCTTCTGCTGTGGATGTAATATTAGTTACAAAGCCGCCCATGGCTGCACCTATTAAGTTAGACTTTAATTCTTTAGCATATGTTGGTTGCAAAGCAGCGGCCCAACCAGTGGCAATTGTACCTCCAGAATAACCCCACATTGCAACTTTAGCATCTTCTTTAATACCTGTGACATTAGTAGTTTTTAAAGTGGCTCTTATGGAGTCTAAAGTTGATTGTCCGGACTGTTTTCCAGCAGTAAAGGCTGCTTTTGGGCCCTCATAATCTGGGATAACTACGTACCATCCTTTCATCAAGGCCACATCGATAAGGTACATTTCAACTTGAGCGAAAACTGTAGTCATTGAAGCACCATATAACAACGAATAAGAGGGCGAACAGTTAACGCTTGCAGAATCTTGCATAATTTGATAAGAAACAACCTTGCTAGGATCTGCATTGAAAGGCTCAATAATCGTGGTTACTATGGCAGTTGCGTTTCCGTTAGAGTCTGTTGTTCTTACCAATGCTTGCCAAGCATCTTTCACCAGGATGGGGAAATAAACACTTCTGAGTCTTTGGGGTGGTTTTCTAATCTTCAATATTGTCCCTGGCTCCTTGTCTTCATATCCATCTGGTAGACTATAGAAATCATCCTCACTGGGTGTCAATACCTTGATTGGTCCAGCTATTACTGATTCCAAACATGCTAGAATTATGCAGATAAAAAAGAATGATTTCAAATTCATTATGAACTCAAGTTTGGATTTATCTGCCCCATTCCTGTAGTTTCCGATATACACGATATATATATAATGTTTAATCTCTTTCCCATCATTTCCCCCTTTGCTTTTCAATACTATCCTATGATTTTGTAGAAAATTTATTTCCTATTCGGGAGAAGTTGCAAATGAGGAAACTATTGACCCTTTTTTTAGGTCAAATGGTGAGCAGCATTAAAAGTATATTTCTGTAACCAAATGTAGCATGCTTCTAATAAATTCCCTTTTTAGTTAATTTAGTACATGCATAAAAAGTGTCTGCATCGAATATTCTTTAATTGTTTCGATAATACTCCTATTTAGTGATGTGCTATCACTTCTCGTTGGAAATAGTATGACAAGAATACACTTGACGCTTTAGTATGACCTGTTTTGCTCATAAATGATAGGAAGAGAAATCTTAACTGCTTACATTTGCCTACTTGAACTTGGTTAGACCAACTTTACTTGACTTTGTCGCTGCTAAATGACCCCATTTATCAGATAGTAGACGTGGGGAAAATTTTATTGTTCAGAATACGAATTTCCTTTTCGCGTAAGATTGTTTGGGGTTTGCGTGCTTATCAGTTGTAGTTGTTAACAAGAAACATACATTGTTATAAAATCACAGTATCTTCAGTTGAATCATGAACTAGAATTAGCGACCACTCAAAAATTTCATAAAATTGGTTACAAATTTTCAATGTGAATAGAAAAAGGGGGTTGAGTTTTACTCTAGCAATATCTATATAATGAAGATGAGGAAGAGGAATATTAGCTAACAGAAACACATGTATTCTGAAAGAGAAAAGGTAGAATATCTAGTAGATGCACAATTGAAATCTAAAACCCTCCTCTTAAGACCCATAAATTTTATGAAGATATATGGGTGATACCTACTTGTAGGAATGGCTAGTTACCAACAGAGTTACCTGTGCACGCTGTGTTCTATACCCTCACCAAGGGTAACGCCTGTATCCTTTTTTGCTTTAGTCGAGATTTTGATGTTCTCACCATTAGGTTCAAGATTTTCAGCATTAGGTCCGATTTCAAAGCCGAGAATGCTTGTAGCTGCGGCAGATAAGAATTCGAAAATCGAACGATCAGACCCTGGATATTCTAAATTGGATTGTCTTTCAGTTCTGCTACACCCTTTTACTGGCTTTTCGCCATTAAACATCTTAGTTATCCATGCAATTGCTGCTGGTGTTCCTGCCAATAGCTCAGTAATATGACCAGTTGATTTATCGACAGCAAATTCAAAAGATTTAATTCCTTCTTCGCACCAGTTATCATAAACTCGTTGTGCATCCTTAAATGGAACAAGTGTATCCTTTGCTCCATGAAATACAAAAATAGGGATTTCAGGCATTGGGTCACCTTTTTCCAAGGCTAAGGTATTATCATTAATCACCTTCTTAACAACTGGATGACTCAACACAACCCACCCATCTTTTACATATCTAGAAGGACCGGAAAATATCCTTCGAAATGCATAATTGAAGAGTGCGGGTCCCAAGCACAACTTATCACCTTTTTCATACAGAAGCGTTTTGGCTGAAACAAGTTGTTCAGAAATTAATGCTTTAAGTTCAGGGTATTCACTTGCCAATCCTGTTATAGCACTAATTGTTAATCCAGCGAAAAAAGTTCCTTCAACTCCTTCTGCCGTACCAGTGACATTAGTAACAAGTCCCCCCGTTGCGGCACCAATCAAGTTGGATTTTAGGTCTTTCGCATATGTGGGCTGTAACACGGAAGCCCAAGCTGAGGGAACAGTCCCGCCAGAATACCCCCACATGACAATCTTAGCATCCTTATTGATTCCTGTGGTACCTGATGACAGAAGCGCAGCTCGAATACTATCTAATGTTGCGTGTCCAGATTGCTTCCCTGCCGTAAATGTGGCTTTAGGACCTTCATAGTCTGGAGAAACTACATACCAACCTCTGTCTAAAGCAATTTGAATAAAGTACATTTCGATTTGAGTACTCGCAGTAGCTGCACTTGCACGATATAAGTATGCATACGACGGGGCACAATCCAATGCTGCTGAATCCTCAAAAGCTTGGTACGAAACAACTTTGCTTGGATCAGCATTATATGGTTCCATAATAGTTGTGACAATTGCACTCGCATTGCCAAAAGAATCGCTTGACTTTACTAGAACTTGCCATGAATTCTTAATATTAATCGGCAAGAAAAGACTTCTCAATTTTTGGGGTGTTGGTCTCATCTTGAGGATTTCTCCGTTATCATGATTCTCATATCCTTCCGGAGGGGTGTAAAAGTCATCTTCACTTGGCTTTAGTGGAATTAATGGTACACCAATAACAACATCAGCGAAAAGTAGAATAAAGCATAAACGTAGCAATTTTTTAAAGTTCATAGTGCTTGATATGAGGGCTAAAAATTGATGGCCAATAGTACCTTACATACGCTTCTTTTATACATTTCTTTTCACTCTATATTCAATATCAAAATTGGATCGTAGTGTTAATCACACCAAGTCCTTAATTCAAATATACCCCATTTGGGGTAATCATGGAGGATTATCGAAAGCAGTTATTCGAGCCCATAAAGTGCTTTTAACTAATTACTGCTTTTAACTAATTACTTAATATGTCCAAAGCTAATAGATAAAAATAAACCCTATGCATTTGATATCGCCAATTGTTCGCAAGGGATGGGTTAAAATGTACGATTGTGTTCATGGGTTTTTCCAAGAACAGTAATATTCACGGAAGCAATGACTAAACAATCATTATATCCCCAATTCTGCAGTGGTTCAATTAAGCTGATGGTGAACTATTCTGGCCAATTCATGAAAATCGAAAGAATTAACAATAGTTCAATATGTTCCTTCTTGACAATATAGTACTATACGATTCCCTGCATTCTCCTCCTATTCAATTTCACATGAGATACTAGAACACAATAAGTTTCCCCATTAAAGCCTAAATAAAATTTCAGTATACGACAGCATAAGTCATCTATAACAATATTTCCACTGGGTCTTTCAATCTGAAAGAACCCTTTTGGTTTTTTTTCAATCCTTATCAATTACCCTTTAAAGGTATCGTGCATGTCCTATCCTTCTTATTTCAATCTCCGATAACAACACATTCGCTAGCGCATTAAATTAAAAGTCTTTGGCGCATTCGTATTTCAATTAGCAGCTTCCAGTTAGACCCTTGCAGTAATAATAACCTCTGTAAAATATGCCATTGATCGGTGTATTAAGTATACTTCTGAAGGCAGATCGTTTATCGTATAGATTATTATATGCAGGTGCTGAAGATGTTGGGATTTTACAATCATCGGGACTTAGCCGATCTGGGTTTTAAGACTATTTAATCAATTGATGAGTAGATAAAGGAAATATGAGCATATCAGTCGCATGGGATCTTATTGAGAGATCTTTGACTGAATTTTTGGAATCATACTCGTTTACTTCGAATTTAATACTGACACCTACAAGCAAATTTATTACTGAGACGTTAATCGTACTTTTTTTAATTGTATTGACTTATGAAACGATATATTGGAGTGGAATTTACTTGAACTTATGGGAATATCATGCCAAAGACATATTTACAGAAGTACCAATACACTGCGCTCATGTTTATTTCCGGTTGAATGTAATTGACGCTAAAAGCTTGGATCAACTTGAGAAATACTACTCTTTGAAGCAGCATAGTAAATATAATATCCTAAAATGGAACGAGTTAAATCAGCTAGGGTCCAGTTTATTTAAATTGAAGAAATTTATAAGATATCATTTTGAATTCAGTCCCGAAGACTTCGAAATGAATGAAAACCCAGAATTTGGTTCCACCGTAATTCACTTGAGACGCAAAATCTTACAACTTTTTGAAAACTCGAAGATATATAAAGAATTTCACGATAAAGAGTACAGAGACAGGGATGTTCTCCTATTCAATAAATATGATAAAGAAGTTGACCACAAGCAAGATTTATGCTATCTCAGCAAATGTAATATTGAGACTGGCAATGTCATTGATTGTATAATCATTTATTAGGAATATTTAGCTCTAGTACATAAATTACAAATTTCCATCCGTAAATTCATACTGTTTAGATTTACGGAAATTTAGATCTACTAACCTTTGCTCGGCAATCGTCCAAAGTTTGATAATCCTTTCCAATTTAGATTCTAATGACAAGTCCTGTAATTCGTCTTGTAAATTGTCATCATTGTTGACACTGTAGTCTTGAGGTTGATTATTAGCACTTATATGTGCTATATTCTCATCATATTTCAAATCATAGTCGTAGAGTCCTTCACTAGTATCGTCATCGATCATTTCAATATCCTTTTCTTCCGCATCAAGCTTATCAAAGTCCATCAAATTGAATTCTAAATGTTTTGGGCCCTTATACAATTTGTTATTTTCAATTTCTCCGTTATAAAGCCCTTGATTATTTCTATTGACATTTCCGTTAACATTACCATTTTCTTCGATCGTTTCTTCATTATAATATAAATTCAAGATAGCTTTATTTACCAATCTATAACATTGGTTTCTTAATGACAAATTAAACAAGGATCTTAGTTCTTCAGGTAAATCATTCTGCTCTTCAATACTTTTATCGGCATCAAAATTGAAGCATAGCAAACTCATGGTTATCTCTAGTTCTTTTAATAATTTACTTGAATGTGTTACCTTGTTTATCAAGTTCTCCCTAACGAAAGTTAGAATATCATCTAAGAACTTTCTCTCTAAGGCTATATCAGGAATATTTCCATTAGTCAACTTGTGATTTCTGATCATTTCGATCAAATTTAATCGCAATAATTTAAAATGTAAGAGGTTATTCGAATCAAGGATAGTTGGGAAATATTCACTAATCTTTTGGATTGCATCTGTAATAGATCCTTTTAAGATCAATAATTTGATTTCTTTACGTTGGTTTATAGTTGAATAATCCGAAATTATTTTGGGTTTAACTATAGGATGGTGATGACTGTGTGGGGTAACATTCGAATCAAAACTATCATTCTTCTCGAAGTAATCCAGAGCTACTTCAGCAAAATCTGCATTTTTCATTGAACTCATTGAGCCTAATTGCTTGATAAATGGGTTCAGTGAAGGTGAATGGGATTTTATCCTTTCATTTTTGAGTTCTATGTTGATTTCCTTTGCAAAACTAATAGCAGCTTCTTGATATCCTTCCACGATAAAATAATTCAAAATCAAATTATCTATCTTCTCCTTGGATATTCCACTATCCTTTATATATTCTAGATATCCCATAATTACTAGGTTGAAATTCTTTATTACAAATATATAAGATCCCAATTGCGATAAGATTATGTACTTAAAAAATGTAACACAAACTACTATTAGGTTGATCAAGATGTGTTTTAAGATATATATTAATTAGCAAACTACTAGTGTTTCCATAAGTAACTTATTCTTCTACGTAAAAATATTAGACAATTCTTTATGATGGTCTAAGTCAATTCCAATTTCGTCCTATAATAGTTAGTTTCGTCACATAAAATACAACGCATTCATACATACTAAAACAGCGGAATAATTTTCTACTCCTTCTCTGACCATGCCAAGAAAGTCGTTGACCTAAGGATGTTAGTAATGTCGAATAATTAAATTTCATCTCTACATACCAATTTCTTCCTTTGTCGGAAAATACGTTCAAGTTCTTTATTATAATTTTTGCATTTATCTATCTCCTTTTTAGACAACCTTTTATTTCCTTCACTTTTTATGGAAGCAAGCTTGCTTTCTAATAGAATTAGTTCTTTTTCTAATTCCTTGGTTTGTAATACTGCTTCTTCGTTTGTAGGCGACTTAGTGAGTTCGGCATAATCTTGTATAGCAGTTAGTAATTGAAAATATGACAACATCATTACGATACATACCAGCCTGTAATTCCTTCACTTTTTTGCTTAGATCTTCGACCTCTTCTTTAATTTTGTTTATCGTTTCAACATTGATTTCTGCCTCTAAATCCCCATCAATTTCTTCCTCTTTATACACATAAAAGACCATTTTCCCGTATGTCTTGGAGATTATTTCATTCTGAGAAACTAATGATTCTAAACATTTAATCATGGTGACCTTATTTATCTTGTTGTGTAGGTTCAATATCAAATCTGAAACTGAATATGGCCGATACTGTTCTTTGAGGTAATTTTTTACCAAATCCTCGGCTTCTTGACCTTTTATTAAGGGATTATTTTCTTTTTTAGGTCCCATAGTATACTCCTACTAATCTTATTTATATTGTCTAACCTAAAATGTGTAATTGAAATAGTCTATAGATCGTTTATAATATTTATAACAGAAAAAACGGTTGCAATAAATCGCGCTCAAAATGCAATAGAATATCGATAAGTATTATAAGTGAGCTTTAAGTAATCCAATATCATTAGCAACTCTCTTTTCCTCTTCTTCCTTAATGGATTTGTCTTCTTCATCATAGTTGGGGAATGAATTGTAGTGCCAGTTGTTTTTGGTATAAAAAGTAGGTCTGTCATAAGGAACTAAATCCCATCCTTCATAAAGTCTTTTAACTAAATCAGGGTTAGAAGTGTAGTATCTTGAAAATCCAACTAAAGTACGACCGTCACTGATATCTTGCAATAAAGTTTTGAAATTGGGAGCATCATAAGTATAATTACCACTCTTCAAAATAATACCTTTCCAAATTTGACCGACAAAGTCATTATTTCCCTTTTGTTGGTCTTCACCTACACTAACAGTACCTTGAACACGAGGCTCCACAATAGATATATATGCTAGTTCCTTGCCTTCGTTAGCTCTGTGTTGTAATTCATGTAAGAGATAACTGAATGTTGTGATAGGATGTACTGTATCTTCTTCACTCTTAATACCTTGGAATTTAGCCCACGGAGAAAGCCTAATTGCTAGTCTATGTGCGCCAACAATAGAACTTAAATGATCAATCAAGTCCAACACAAACCTTGCTCTTTTCTCAATACTTCCACCGTATTTGTCATTTCTGCTATTTGCTGATGGCTGAAGAAATTGATCAATTAAGTAACCATGAGCACCATGGAGTTCAATATAGTCAAAGCCAGCAGCCAATGCATTTCTAGCCGCGTTAGCATATGTCTTGAATACAAGATCATGCACTTCGTCTTCTGTCAAGGCTCTAAGAGGATTACCAACCGACTCTGCAAGCTTTTTGGATGCTTTATCATGATAATTGGCAGACGATGAAACAAAATCTAATCCACGTTTCTTCAATAATCTTGGATCACCAACTCTACCCAAATACCAAAATTGACACGCAATATACGAGCCATTTTTATGAACTTCATCAGTTATTTTTTTCCAAGCTTCAACGTGCTTAGCATTCCAAATTCCAGGAACATTAGAGTATAAGCCTGCTTGTTCAGACACAAAAGTTGCTTCAGTAATCAACAATGAACCAGGATACTGAGATCTCTTTGAATAGTACTCAAATTCCAAGTCCGAAGGAGTATGATCATCCAATGCCCTGAATCTGGTAGTGGGAGCATAGACAACCTTATTTGACAAAGTATGATCGCCTACTTTTATTGATTTGAACAAATCAGTGTTTTTCAATGGTCTTATTTCTGTTGCTGGCATTATATATAATACTTTTTCAAAAGGAATAATAGTTGGTAGTTGAATAAATTCCCAACTTTAAATATGAAATCCCTCGGTACTTGTATTACTAAGTCCAGCCATGATCTATTCGCTTTACTGCAGAATTTTCCAAGCGAGACTGTTATCTCCGCCAGGAATATGTGAATTACCTAAGGCCTCTGGTTATGATATATATTATATATGCTGTAAAGTATACCTACTGCTGAATTGTGTTTTCTTAGGCTGAAAATAATTATAATGAAATCATAGACTTGTTCATATTGGTATGCCGCAGTAGTCATAAATCGATATACACTTTAACACCCACCGTTTACCATCAGCTGATGATCAGTATCTGTATGGTGTTTACTTATGGTCAAATTAATCATCATCAGAAATAAGCTTAAAGTTATTTCCTGATAGATGCATAATACGGATATAAGCAAAACAAAACTTCTGAAGTTTCAATTCATGAACTCTAAATAAGTGTATGAACTATGGTCTATTTGTAAAATATAAATATGTCTAAATTTGATATTGGGAATATTAGAGATAGGAACTTTAGTTACAAGCTTACCTTTATAGTGAACAAAGATATTGAGGTGAACGTCAACGCAAAATTCAAGATAGATTTTATGCGCGTCTTTCTGGGGTAATCATTATCTTTGATTTTTTTTCCGTACGTACTAACTTGAATATTCTACATGATTGCATTCCATTTTATATCCCAGAAACCTTATTTGAAAAAACTCCTTTCATAATGCAATTGGAATGTATTACTGAATACAATAGAAATATTTTTATCAACAAGGTTGTAATGATCTATGTATGTTTATTCTATATTTTTATTTTAGATTGTTTCATCCATGTTCATGATTATGAGAACAGTAGAAGTCCAACCAAGGAAATTCTTTGCGCCCTTTGCCTTTCCGGTTTTGTCATCATATTGTTCCCATACAAAACCAGTCCTCTTCCATTGTTTTATAATGTTGTTAACTACATTTGTTCTCAAATTCTTGTACGTTTCACTTATTTTCTGTTTCAAATCCTTAGACATAAGAGGAGTAGAATTTCTACTGTAGTGCTGCAAACTTTCTAAGATTAAACTGTTTATGTGAATCCATATTGGAGACCTCCAGTAGTTTTCTTCCGTTCCGTAGAATTCATTTGACTTTGATAATGATCTAATACCATAATCAGACCACAATTCTTCAGGATCCGAAATAAGGTCAACGAATTGTTCAATTTTTGCAACATCATCAACTGGAGTCAATTTTGTTAAGAATGGGAATAACGATATATATCCCTTATGGCAAATATGCTTATTTTCATCATTATCATCCACTGATAAATCGCAATACGTCTTTTCAGAATCAGACCAGTGTAAGTTATCCAAGTTTTCAACGATGTCTTTCTCAATTTTCTGATACTTCTCAAAATCTTCCTCATAATTCAAGAACCTAGCAATGGACTTCATTGATCTCGTCATAACACCCACCCAGGAAAGCAAATCAACGTTCAATTCAGCAATATCAGCCGGGATAACTCTTGGATAGTCGTCTAATCCACTAGCGAGACAATGCGTCAATGTACGTCCTCTCCATCTATAGCCTTCCTTATTCGTACCTCTGTCAAATTCTTCGATATATCCTTGTTGGGTTCTACGGAACCAGTCAAAATGAGTCTTTAATTTAGGGTAAATTTTTTGAGCATAATCTGTCATAACTTCAGGATTCTTAATGATAATCAGTCCAAGATCTTTCTTGTCAAAGGATTTCCCATCACCGTAGTCTAATACTTGCTGTGGTTCATTGATATTTCCGTAAGTGCTAGGGTTCTGAATACTTTCTAGTAATTCGCTGAATATAAGCATTAATGTTGGTGGGTTGACAATTTCAGGGCTTTGTACTTGAAACTGTTCAGGTACCTTGGATCTCAGCTCAGGGCCCAATATCTGTTCACGGGCAATCCAACCATCATCATCAATCAAATTAAACCACGATTGAACAACTTCTAAGGCTAAGTCTGAATCATACCTCAATAATGGCAATAAATGAAAACCTTCATCCCAATAAAAGCCTCTTGGAAAAAAAGGACGAGAGGGGACCAATGTGAATAATTCATGGGGTCCTTCAGATGATCCCTGCAATTGGTATGACTCAAACGAGTCCTCATCAAATACTGTATTTCTATCAACTAAGTGGTCACCATAGAAATACGAGAGACCCCCTAATAAGCCTGACAATATTTCTTTTGCGAACACATCATGCGTTTTATCTTTGTTGTAAGGAGCTTTCAACAGGAAAGATTGTCTAAACTTTTTATCGAAGGCTTTTATAGCTTTATCTGCCTTCGTTTTTATATTATCGAAAGTTATTCTATCATGTTCTGGAGTAAGAGCATTAGTGAATATAATATCAAATTCACATTTACCTTCGAAAACATTTTGCACAAAATGTAAGTTACCTTCAAAATTTTGTAAATCTCTGATTATAAATGCTTGTTCTGGAGGGAAGTCTTGTATATCTCCATATTTTTCAGTAAGCTCTTTAACTGATTCCATCAACATAGTCATGAATATATCACGAGCTTTCCAAACATGATCATCAGGAACAGTTAGACTGTAATGATGTGATTTAGATGTATCTAATTCAGGATCAAGTAATTTTGCATCAGTAGGGTGCTTGTTGGATTTTGGCCCCTTGCTTATTTCTAATTCAAAGAACCCTAGTTCTTCAGAAATACCACTCAATTTAACATTTTCGTCATATCCTACAACATTCTTCTTATTGTCCAAATTTAAGTATCCGTTTCTTTCTGGGACTTTATTTCCATACTCATCTTTCCCTTCACCTTCACCCTCCAATCCCGAGTACCATACAAAAGAAGTTTTCACTTTCTCATAGCCCGCATGAGGAATACCTTTAATTTTTGTTCCCCAAGACTTCCCATCTTCACTTTTAACAAAATCGATTATCACGTCAATATGGCAATCCTGATCTGATACAACGAGCCTACCTCCAGTTCTTGGATCATAAGATACCCAGTTTGCTTTCTTCATATTATCTCCTTGTTCATACACATGTCTGAGATTACCAATTGCATCGTAGCTATCTACATTGAACCACATCAACCCTGATAATAAAGACCTTGGTATTCTTGGTCTAATTCCAAAATATAAAGATGATCTATATGGGCCCCATAATAACGAGTCATTAGATAATTGACTATACTGACCAGATACTGTATTAATTTCATCATTTACAGGTTCTTCAGCTGCATAAAGATCGAATTTCGTCTCCGCCTTACTTAAAGTGAAAAGTATTACAAACGATACTAATATAGCCGTAATTGAAACCTTCATCGTCCGATCTTACTTCACTATATTTAACAGTTCTGGCTTCGAGATTTGTTAACAGTTGTATGATTCTGGATTTTGTGTCATAATGATCTCGCCTGCATGTATCTATATTTTTTTTTATTTAGATTTGATCGTCTTGATATAGTTCCATATAAGTTCATAATAGCTAAATCTAAAGGATTGATTTCTAGATATTGACGACTCGGCAGTGATAAGATACTGTGAATGTGGCCCAGTAAAGAAGGCTTAGGTGTTCAACTAAGTTATGGGGTCAACGGAAATGGTATTGTTGTGAGTAGTGAAAATCCTAACTCTAGCACATACAAGCGGCTCCCCCGTTTAGAATTTCCTAGAATAAGGAACCAAGGCATAACACTCAACAAAGTAGGAAAGTCGAATATAGTCCTTGTTAATGATCAGACTTCTTCATTTGACTTGAATGCAAAAGTGTATAATAACTTACAAAATGCCGTTGCTAATCAGCCACATCAACCCAAACGAAAAATGTATTCTGATAGTAACGTATACGTTCCCGAAGAAATATTGAAATCTTACTTGATAGAGTCAAACTCGTTAACTTCGACCATTGCATATGATCCCACGTTCGGTCAAATGTTCACAATATTTGATATACGATCGAGAAGCGGTTTAACTTCCAGTAAAGCGATAGCCTATGTGACAGGAGAAACAGGGACTATTCTCAATATATCTATACTAAAATACGAAGTAAAAGAGCTCCTAAATAATAAAAAGGAAAGCGTTGATGTGAACGCATTAATACCGTTACTTACTGATCCATTTCAGGTATCACTATCCGAGCCCATAAAGCAAATTGAGCATTGCAAGCTAAAAGAGGGTTTTGATTATATTCCACCGTATTTGATAATCCGGTCTGATTCAAAGATTTACATTTTAAACTGTTTTAAAGGAAAGTCACAGCATTATAACTCGCATATCGAATTGGATATTCTTGGTGAACTTCAAACACCTGATATAATGGGATTCAATTTTGCGGACGTAGCGTTCAATCCATGGATTAGTACTCAGTTCGGAGTAGTTGATGTAAAGGGAAATTTTGGTATTTGGAATATCAACTCGAAAAAGGAAGCATTAACAAAACTAAAAAGGCTTGATTCAAAACCGAAAACAGGCGCAGATGAAACAGATTCAAACCCGAACGTTAACTCTACTATCTATGATGTAGCTGAATTATCTAATTGGAAAAGAATTATATGGGCTTACGATTATAACCATATTTTCGTAATTTCGAGATCTTCTCTAACTCAGTTTGAACTCACGCCTGAATTGAGTTCGCAGAAGTTAATCACCTCAGACACTTGGTCAAGAATACAAGATATTCATAAGAATCCTTCAAGTATGAAGTACGCATTCATTTTGACTTCAAAGGAGCTAATTTGGTTTGAAGTATCTAATCCATTACGAAGATTGATGTCATGGAAGCACTTTCTCGATGATAAAGATCCATCTTTAAGACTACAAATAAGTGAATACGATGACTGTTCCAAGTTTATATGCATCATTTATTCTCAAATAAGGCCAATAATATTAGTTTACAACTTTGGGATTAAGGATGGATTGCCATATAGTTTGAAGGATCCGTACTATATTCGTAAATCAAGTGATCAAAAGGATAATAAGACGGGACAGATACGGCAAGTTTTTTTGACAGAGTTAAATAAACAGTTTTATTCATCTGCTAAAGATGATAGTGATCATACCGCTACAGATTCTTCATTTCCACAGCATATGGTATTGGCTTTGTTTGAATTGAGTACAGATTTAGGATTAACCTTAAATCTTTATAATGGAACGGCAAACCTATATCTAAATAAATCTCTGATAAGAAGTGATAATCTAGATAACAGTTCAAGCTGTGAATCATCAAGTAACTTCGAGCGTGATTATAAGAGCAGAGATAAATTGTCATATTTTAAAAAGTTCAGTAGATCGGAGTTCAAGCTAATAACGAAAAGTTTGGAATGTGATACCAATGCTACCAAAGGTGACGAGGAAATCAAACTTGTCCAAGATTATGCATTTAAACTAGGTGAAGGTGCGATGCAACTTAATGATGTATGGAGCAAGTTAAAAGCTGGTGACGACATTTCTTTTAGCAATGATCCTTATTATTTGTCATTAACTGATATTTCAAGTAACCTTCCCCTTTCCATTAGTGATATCACAGAATTTGATTCTATGATCGAACAATTGAGTAGTTTCTATGAAACTAAGAATATCAATGTTTCAAATAAGGTCGGTAAATCATTTTTGGGGCGATTAGAGCTATTCGCTGAGCACCTCAAAACTGAGGGTAGTCAATACACTGTAAATGATATTTCAAGTATTCTAAAGAAATCATATGGTAATGAGACTCTACAAGGATACAACCATTCCAATATTTTAAAGAAATTATCTATTTTGATTGGTGCTAGTTTAGTAAAAGCTAAGACTAATGGCTTGGGTAAGTACTACCAGGAAAAATTAGACTTGAATGTGAAAAATGCTTCAGCTCAAGTCTTATCTATTTTTAATGATTGGGACAATGAAAACTATGGCGAAAATCTTGAGGCTCCTACTAGAATAGATAACTTCGATTCTCAAGTTACCATACCCGATATAATAACGTCATCAATGCCCTCTATTAGAGTGGCCTCGCAGAGTAGGTCGACCCCAAAGAACCATTCCAAAGTACCTAATCATGTATCACAACTCCGTCATAAAGCTTTAACACAAACAAATCCAGCATCTGGTGGATATAAATCACCATTATCACAATCTACTGAAATTCAATCCATCCCGTCATCAGATGGACCAAGTCAGGAATCTGCCCGATATTCTCAGGAAGGTAAATCTTCACAGCTCATACCATCTTCTTCTAGATTACCATCGCAGCATTCTCAAAAACGATTCATGTCATCTCAAGCCAATGGTAGTCAGCGTAAGGTAAAGAAGAAGAAAAGAAAGGGTGGTTTTGCATAATGCTATTTCAACATTCATATAGAATTATTTAAAAGTTCACATAATTAATATATTCACCTTTAATAATACTTAAGTTAATACCGAACGAGTTTCATTATTAATTTTCAATATATAGTTAGCCAACTGTTGCGGATCAATACCTTGATCAATAAGTTTAATGCACACTTGCAAAGTTGTATCATCAATTTCCTTAATATTCAATAAGTCAGCCAACTCTACAAGTAACGTATTAGAATTCTCTCTAACATTGTTACCACCAAAAGTATTGCCATTGAAAGATGTACTCATTATTAACTTCGATGATGTTAAATATAATGTTTATAATGTTACAGAGAGTATTTTTGTTGTTGACAATAAATATCGCGGTACAAAAATATTTCGAAAATATCTAAAACCTTGATCTTGTTAATTTATAATAGAATATTGTAAAACTATGTAAACTATTTAGAAGGGTCATCTTCAAATCTTAAGTCCCAGCCAATCTTATCACCTAATTTTGGCAAAACTTCTGCAACACTTTGGACATCCTTATCACCTCTACCTGAAACATTGATGACAATATGTTGGTCCTTTGGCAAATTCTTAGCAACTTCAACTGCACCAAAAATAGCGTGAGAAGACTCTAAAGCAGGAATGATACCTTCCAATTGAGATAATAACTTAAAACCGTGTAACGCCTCAGCATCAGTAGCGGCAACAAAAGTTGCTCTTCCAGTGCTCTTCCAGAATGCTAATTCTGGACCAACACCTGGATAATCCAAACCAGCAGAGACTGAGTGAGTGTCATGAACTTGCCCATCACTGTCTTGTAACACGTAAGTCTTAACACCATGGAAAACACCAGGGATACCAGCAGTTAAGGTAGCTGAATGACGATCAGTATCGATACCATCACCTCCCGCTTCAACACCTAACAATTTGACCTCAGCGTCATTCTCAAATGGAGAAAACATACCAGTAGAATTAGAACCACCACCGACGCAGGCAACTACAACATTTGGTAACTTACCACCATTTAATTCTTTGAATTGTTCCTTGGTTTCGTTACCAATGACACTTTGGAAGGTTCTCACTAAGGTTGGATAAGGATGTGGCCCAATTGCAGATCCAACGACATAATGTGTGCTTTCTAAATTAGACACCCAAAATCTGAAAGCTTCTGAAGTAGCATCTCTCAATGTTTGTGTACCATTAGTTACAGCAACAACCTTTGCACCTAAAATTCTCATTCTGAAAACATTCAAGGCTTGACGTCTAACATCCTCAGCTCCCATGAAAACTGTACACTCCATACCAAACTTAGCAGCCGCAGTGGCAGTTGCAACACCGTGCTGTCCAGCACCAGTTTCTGCAATAACTTTCTTCTTACCTAATCTTCTTGCAATTAACACTTGAGCCAAGGCATTATTAATCTTATGAGAACCAGTGTGATTTAAATCTTCTCTTTTCAACCAGATTTGCGCACCACCTGCGTATTCAGTTAACCTATCGGCTCTATGCAAAGATGAAGGTCTGCCAATGTAAGAGTATAATGACTTGAATTCTTCCCAGAATTTAGGATCAGCCACAGCGCTTTCAAATCCTCTTTCTAATTCAGCTAAACAAGTGTGTAAAGCCTCAGGAACATATTGACCCCCGAAGTCACCAAATCTTGGATTGTACTTGTGCTTCTCTTCAAATGAAGGATTAGTAGCCTTAGCTTCGCTTTTTTCACTAGCTTTAAACAGTTCTGGAGCATTAGTTTGGTAGTCATCTCCCAAAATGGATCTAACATATTTATAGGCAGTATCACCTCTTTCACCAGGTTTTGATTCACCGATCAAAGTGATAATTTTTGATCCGATAACGACACCATCAGCAGCTTCACCAACTGTTAAGAAATGTTCTCTAGTCGAAACACCGAAACCAACAGCTATAGGTGTATCCCCAGAAAATTTTCTGACTCTTTTACATAATTCAGAAATGTCATTTGTCACACTAACAGTAGCACCGGTAGTACCCATTCTAGAGACAACATAGATGAAAGAATCAGCGATCTCACCAAGAACCTTCAAACGTTCGTCGGTGGTGGCTGGAGCAACCAATGGAACGTATGATAAACCATTAGTAGTACACAATGATCTGAATTTAACTGCTTCTTCAGGTGGCAAATCAACAACAATGTACCCGTTTGCACCGGCCTTTGCAGAATCTTCAATAATCTTTTGTTCACCATACTTTAAAATTGGATTGTAGTAACCCATCAAAATAATTGGTACAGTGACACCTTCAGCTCTTGCTTGAGAAACTAAGTCTAAACATTTAGTAACAGTGATCCCGTTATCTAATGCAACAACATTAGCTGCTTGAATAGTTGGACCATCAGCAATAGGGTCTGAAAACGGAACTCCTAACTCGATAATATCGACACCGGCCTTCTGCATACCTTTTAAAATCGGTAAAGTATCTTCAATGGTTGGATACCCAGCAGTAATGAAATTGACTAAGGCATTACGGCCCTCTTTCTTACATCTAGCAAATGTTTCTTTTAATAAAACAGACATTTTTAACTAATATTATTTCTGTTATTTAAAATATTAAAAATTAATATTGCTTTTCTATTTGGTTCTCTATATATATTTTTCATGATATTGAAATCTGATAGCTGAATTTTTCATGAGTCAGTTCAGGGTAACACTAAATTACCCTGAACTAAATGATTACCAAACTATACATTATGGTACATTTACAATGTAGGTAAATAGAACAATGTTACATTATTATACAAAGAAGTGAATATTATGCTATGTGAAATTTTAACTGGATCTAAATTACAATTGGATGATGAGAATTCAGACCGTTTTTATCTTGCGTATCATTAGTCGCCAGTGCCGATGTTTTGTTGGATGCATTGCTTTTCTTTGGCTCTTGCTTAGTGTTTGGTGCCTTTTGGCTTGTCAGATTCGTCTTACCATTCTGCGGTAAAATTTCTACTTCATGTCCAAGCTTAATTTGGGATAAGTTGATGATTGGCAAAAGTTTATTGTATTCCACACAATATTCTTTTATGCTATTCTGTACCGTTCTTAAGCGCAGAACTATAATCTTATAATACTCTTGTTGGCTTTGGTTTTCTGGAATTGTAGCTAGCGCCTTCAAAAATAATGACATATCATTTCGTAGTATATTTATCTCAACCTTTAGCCTCTCTAATTCTTGATATATTAAATTAGGATCTATCTTTCCAGACGATATATCATCAATCTTTATTATATCTGGTAGTTTGGATTCGCTAGTGGAGCTCATTACTGTTGGTGATAAGATATATGTATATATGATATTAGCTTGGCGTAGAATAAGTATATATATAGATTTCTGCTTGTCATTATTAGATCATAAAAAATCGCACAAAGTACCTAAGACTCCATACTAAATTTTTACCGAATATGACGTTCTCTAACTATTATTGTATCATTATCTAGTTTCCAATTGGTTTTATACTTATCACTTAACTGGGCGTAAGACAAACCATTAGGCAAATAAATATCTTGAAAATCCTTTAATTTGAAACTGAAATATGACTTATTGATGGCATTTATCATATGATGGGCCATACGAGGTAAACCAAATTTCATGACGAAGGCTTTTCCATTATCTGTTTCTGAATTATAATACTGTATCCAATTGTAATAGTCACTGTTGATCCAGCTTTTCAATATCTTCATGGTTTTAATTTCAGATGGGTTGATGTATTTAAAATAAAGTTGTAAGGCTTTAGAATTCTCTTCATTAAAATGTGCAGTGTGTAGCACTAATATTGTTGCTATCTCTTGCTTCTCTACGTCTTCAAGTAGCAGAGAATTATTCGAATGAAGTAAATAGGTTATGCTGGGAATATATGTCTGGTAATGGCCCATGTTAACAGATACTCTAATTGAAAACAAAAATACCTTCTTGGTAAATGCATTTGCTCTTTCATGTAACAAAGCCTCTCTTAGCTTTCTTAAATTATTCAATATTGAATCGATTGTAGGCTCTTCCAGTATTCCAGCACTATCATCTGGGGGGATATCACTCTTGCTGATAAACCGATCAAAATCTCTGCTCAAATCTGATGCTGTATTAGCATTACTATAACGTATGAAAGAATTAACAATATGGTTGAAGAAGTGTAACCTCTCGCTATGACTCTTCTGTAATCTATTGTCTTCACCTCTACTCACATACCCATACTGAACCTTTGTTGATTTGTAATTTTTATTATCATTACTGAATCTACTTTTCCTGAGCTTTAATTTCTCTTCATCTACCAATGCATGTTTATTATTGTGTTCAGTATATTTGTGTCTTCCTCTTAGATCGTGTTCTAATATTGTTCGTTCCAGTTTATCTTGCGGATGAATTTCAGTATTTTTATCATTCCTATTATTAAAACGCCCTTTAACCCTATACTTTGGAACTTCCTTATTAGGTTCTTTTTTATGTTCTTTAGATTCCATATATGGCTTGTTCAATTGAAGTTAGCTTAAAAAGAATAAAATTGTACAGATCAAGCTACCGCTCACAAAACAGGTGAGATAAAGATAAGAAAATCTTTGTAATTGAAAATCTATTATACAGCATATAAACGCTTACTGACTAAAAATGTAGAGGTTTGTATGAGACTATCTATAAAACTTTGGCATGTTTCTTGTATGGTTCTATTTTAATGTTTTCTTTTACTCCATGAAGTATTACGGAAGTTAAGCAAAGTGACAACTACCAATGACAAAATTGTAACACCCAAAGTCAACTTAAATACAGAACTGTAACAATTCTTACCTAAAGAACAGTTAGAAATCCCAGAACTTTGCAATATTATTGAATTGGAGTCATACACTTTACCGAATAAACTAGTAAAATAATAGCTCGGAAGAATTGGTGCCAAACCAACAACCCCCCAATTAGATGAAAAGTTATCCATCCCAAAAGTATCACCCACAATAATAGGCATAATGCAAAATGTAAATCCATAAAAAAAACCTGTTAATAAGGACATCATAGAGAGCGACGAAAGATCACTAACTTGCAATCCCATTGCTTGGGTTGTTAATAAGCCCATACTTGGTAAAAACAAAAGCCACGATCTTGGTTTATGTAACGATTGAGAAATAATATCACCTATAATTCCCGATGCGATTCTCCCAACGCAATTAGCAATTGAGAGTAAGCCCACTTGTAGCTGCTGGTTCTTTTGGATCAAGGCTTCAACTTGAGGTTGTGAAACAGCTGCAACTGTATCTGATTTCAGAACTTGCTCTGTGATCAAAGCTTTCACCATGTACCCAACAGAATAGATATACATTTGACCCAAAGAGGCCAACGAACCTGTAGTTATGAAAATTAACCAGAATCTGTAGGATTTTATCAAGCCAATTCCACTTAAGTTATCATCTCGTGATCCATCTAATTTCAATGCATTCTGACTCTTACGAATCGAGGAAGAAGCAGGACTGTGTGTTGGTGCTAGAGTCGCCATTTCGATTGACTCCGTATTTATATGTCTATTCTTTTTTCTGTTTTTATGTTCCTTATCACAAAACATAATGCTTGGTGCACATATCACGAATATCCCCACAGACGAGTAAGCTAAAAAACCCAAAAACTCGGATGTCTTTCCTGGAAAGAAAACCGAAGCAATAACCGAGTAGAATAATGCACTCAACCCATACAAAGCCAAAGGAAGCGACGTTGCGACACCTCTAATACTAGGGAAGCTAACAGCACAACATTTCAAGCATGCAGAATTGATAAAAGTGGATCCACATCCTATTAAAAATAAAAATGAAGAAGATACGAATAAATCTGAATATTGATTATCAAACTGCTTCTTCATTCCCAAATAACCAGAAATAATGGACAATCCTCCTATAATAAGGGCTATTGTGTAACCCTTTTTATCTACCACACCTCCTGCTAATGGACCAGCGACAGCTATACCTATGGTTCCTGACAAGGCTATTGACGAAGAATCAGTTACTGTATAATTTAATCTTTTTGCAAATTGCGGACTGTAGGATGAATACAAATAGAGGGTACCACATATTAATCCAAGAAATGTACATGATAATAAGACAAATGCCTTCCTAACAGCGAGAGATATCATTATAGTACTAGCCCGATTATAATCATTAATTGTTCTTTTTGTTAATTATATAAGAATACGTCAACAAAAATCAGGTACAATTTATTCGGAGAATTTCCGATATGGGGATTTTTCTCACGCGATCTTCAATCATTATGATAGACGTGGAACGAACAAGCCCTGTTATAAGTGATCATGTTCAATGCTGTGTTGAAAGTACTAAGGAGGATACCTAACACAAGAAATGTGGGTACTGGAAAAAAGGGGTTGAATATAGCATACTTCGGAAGCGACAAATTCAGTATTCATTCGTTAAAGAAATTGGTAGAATACCATAAAAAGAACCCAGAGAAGGTGTCCTCTATAGATGTCATTACTAGAAGTATCAAGCCTACTGGTCGGAATTTAAAGACATTTGTTGATGTGCCAATTGGTGAATACTGTGAAAAGGAAAAGTTAAGTATTCACAGGGCAGATTCATCTGATGATATCATGAATATTATGTCCAAGAATCAATTTAATCTTGCTATAGCGGTGTCCTATGGAAAATTAATTCCTGAAGGGTTTTTGAAAAGCGTGAAATATGGTGGGCTAAATGTGCATCCGTCGTTATTGCCAAAATATTCAGGTTCTTCACCGTTGCAGTATGCATTAATGAATGATGATAGCTTTACAGGGGTTACGGTACAAACATTGCACCCAAGCAAGTTTGATAAAGGGGAGATTGTACTCCAGTCTGATCCTATTCCAATTGCAGAAACTGACAATTTTGACAGCTTAGAGGAAAAATTAGGAGAGTATGGAAGTAATTTATTATTAAATGTAATTGATAATCGACTCTTCGAACAACCAACAAAAATGGAGGAAACCCCTTATAAATTTTCTCTTGCTTCGAAAATAAAGCCTTCTCGAAGTGAAATACGATGGGATTTATTAACTTCGAGGAAAATTAAACGATTAAATGATGCATTGGGGCAACTACACTCATACAAATTTTGTGATATTCGGAAGAAGAAGAAAGAAATTAAAGAAACTCAGAAAGTTATATTTAATGAAATTGAGTTAGTTGAGGACGACTTTAAAGAAGGATTACAGCCAGGTGAGTTTGTACTTGATGAAAATAATAATAAACTAATTATCAAAACTATTGATGGTGCTGTATCCATCGGCAAATTAAAGTTCCAATATTGTAGTGAAGAAGATCCAAAAACTTTTATGAGCCATTTAACTAAAAGATCAGGAAATACCAGTCATAATTTTGTATCTCAATCACAAGTACAAGTGTAAATAATGTATTCTAATATAAATGAACTTTTATGGTAAAACTAGCTACTTTCTATTGATTCATAGGAATACTTGGCAATGCTTGTTGAATTCTCCAACAGCAACACCAATCCTATTATATAAGAATGACCTATTGGCTCTTTCGGGTATTGGGATAAATGGACCTTCCTTTTTCTTCAATGTAATACTAATGCCCGTAGACTCGTTTGAAATTGATTTCACTTGCTCCAAAGGGATAATCCACTTAGACTTTAACGCATTAACTTGGAACAAGATTATCTTTTTGAACGTTACGATTATTGCATTTTCCTCGCCTGGAAGAAGTAAATGTGCCAAGTACTTCTCATTATATAGGGTTCCACCATCAATAGACATAAGCCAGAATTGTCCTTGTGCTTCTCTTTGATCGTAAGGTCTGATAACCTGATCGTGGGAAATATAACGAGGCAACCTAACTTTATCCAATCCCTCAGCATCGAATACAGTTGTTGTATTACGGATACCCTCACTCACATTGGAGGCTAAGTCAAAAAATCCAATGGCTGTTTTAGTCGGTAATCCAACAACACCCTTTCCTAATCCTCTAAAAAATCCAGACGCTCCGTTTTTGTTAGCGCCTTCAATTGGTGCTGTTGCAATTCCAGTCACACCAGAAGAAATGGAATCAAAAAATGAATTAGCGCCTGTCGCAAACCCATATAACGCATGTTTAGGTTTATTCCTTCGTTGACTAAGACGACGACGTTCTTGGAAATTTTTATCTAGAGTTGCCACTGATAATCCTTTCGCTAGTGACCCAGTTACTTTTGCAAAAGAATCTGAAAAACCAAAAATAGATTTCTTCAAGAAACTCAAGCCCCCTTTAGCAATGTCTATTCCTAGTTCCTGTGGACGATCGTTAATGATAAATCCTTGATATGGCTCATAAAATATATCAAGAACACCAGATGATAAGTTATTAAATAAACCAACTGGATTTCCTAAGAAGTCTGCCGATCCCAATATCTTATGAACTTGATAGAAGAATGACTGACCATAATGAGTCTGGATTGCTTCTACTAGAATTGGCATAGGTATTCTGATATTTTCAATGAATAAGGCATTCAATTTAATTGGAGCATCATTTATATTTCCAATTGCCATTGTAAGCACATTGAAGAAAAACATCAATGTATTCAGTGACGTTGTTCTGTCTTCTGCATTCACTCTTTCTGTTCTAACAAAAGATAAATGAGTCAAGGTTGGTTGTAAATGCAATGCTTCAAAATAGATGTCACTGCTATTAGATAAACTCACAGGCTCCGGTAATTCCACATTGTCATCACACAATTTATCCTGTTGTTCCTTATTCCAACTAGCTCCTGGGAAACGAGCAAAATCAAGCAATGCAAAAAGGAAATCTTCATCAATTTCAACGGACATCTCTTGTAAGAGTACGGTTGCATATTTAATAAATAATACACCATGTGAATCATCTTTAACCTTACATATAGAAGCAGAAAATGATGGATGGTTGTTCATTTCCTTCCCAGATTTTGGCACAACGCTTGGATATAAAATAATCGGGAAAAAGCCGCCATATAATTGATTATCAATTTGTATCCATTTCAATTTCATACTGAAATTCTGATATAAATCTGATTCATTGTAACGCAATTCAACTCCTCTTAATGAAATGTAACATAATTCCTGTGCCCTAGTATTAATCAAAGAAATGCCTAACCCTTCAAATCTAGTTATTATACGAGTATGATAATTCTCGTCATTTTCTGTAGTTTCAAAATTTTGTTGAGAAATGCTTGCACTAGACTGAGATTGATTTTTCAATTTGTATAAACTTACCGATGGGTCATAGTTCGAAATGATTAAGGATTGAGTAGGACCATCTGCTACAACGTTCAAATCAACAATAGTCTGTTCATGATCTTGAGTTGGTGGTAGCCTAAATGGCTTTAAATTTCCTATCTCCGCTAAATTAACAGCTCTTTCTCTACCATGCGATCTAATTACCAACTCTTTAATGATTGCATTCGGATAATCATAGGCATAAGGCATCACACTTTTCGGTGGAATCTTATAGAATATTGGTTTGTACTGTGTATCATGCTTCACTACATCCCCATTTTCATTGATATTTGGATCATTCTGACAAATGTAGAATTCGGAATCACTAAAATTACGGATTGAATATGGCCAATTGTTGTTGGCATTTTCTACTTGAATGAATATTGTAGCGTCTTCCAATAGAATGTTAACTTTAAGTAACACTTGACCAACGTTTTCTTTATACACCTTTATGAAAAGTTGACCCACATCATCAAGAGCGAATGGTGCTGACCAAGTTTTAGATACATGAGAAAACTTCATCAGCAAACTTTTTTGGTCAATACGACGCAAGCCATACAAAGGAATTAGTTCATTTGGAGCAACAACAATTTGTTTAGTAGATCCATTTTCCACAATCTCTAGAGATTCTTCTAGACAATTACGGAAAATATACCTTGGTGCAATAGTAATTACCTTAGATAAATTATACTTTCCCTGGCCCTCTGTAATCGATATACCAACATTCATTTCAATTTGTTTCCCATTTACTTGTACTTTTGCAGCACTAGTCTGTCCAATCGCATCAAAACTCAAAGGCGAAGTCCAGCTTGAGTCATTAATCTTAAGCAATGCTCTATTACTTGTATCTCCATGTTTATCAAATGAGAACATACTAGGAACCGTAGGTTTAAAAGATTTGCTATTGGATTGCATCATATTACCTTTTTCACTGATAATGATATTCTGATTCGTTCTGTTAAGAATAACATATGGCGAATAAACAACTACCTTCAAACTAGTACTTGCTGATTTTTTTCTTGGGTAGTATATTCTGAGTTTCAATAATTGACCATTTTTATGTCTTAAAGTCATCGTTGATTCACGCTTGAATTCGCCTTTGGAAATTGCATTAATGATTGCAAATTCTGATTTTTCAAAACCACACCACTTTGGTTGCACACTAAGTAATAAGAGACTTTCCAAACTAACGACGTGTACATAGCTTTTAACACCTTTAGGGATACTTCCATTCCAATCCTTCTTGGCATTCTTGTCGTATAATCTATAATCAAAATCAAATGGAAGCAAATTCTCTATCTCTACTGGTGCTGATATAATATATTTCATATGTGGATAAATCTTAGCGAGAGGTTCGTCACGGTCAGACTGAGCTTCTGTGTGGAAGTAATAAGCAGATTTATCATTCTCGTTTGAAGCAGGACAGCATAATGGAGTACTTCCATTCAATTGATCTCTCCAGTGTAGCTCCTCTTCTGACCAGTTATATTCTGTATCAATGTGCGGTTTTATTCTAAATGAGCCCGCATATACAGAGCCAATAGGCAAAGATCCCGTCATTTTTGATTTGACGATTATTTCTGCGCTATTATCTGGCTTATCAGATACTTTTATTGCTATTGGAATATCCGCATCATTTTGAATCTTTACTGTAGATCTTAAACAAATTGTTTTCACGTTATCTTCGCCCAACGTAATTTCGCATGACAATCTATTATGTACTCCTTCAATTGCTGGGTTTAAAACGAAAAGAAATTCTCCTTCTCCAATAGCAGATATTCCAGAAACATCATCATATGGTGATTCTAAAAGACTAATTCCAAGTACACCCAGCTTACTGTCAGAATCAAGATTCTCACGAATATCACGCCAATCTTCAAATGACCATGGAATCTTCTCATTTAACTTAACCAATTTCTTATCTTTGAGAGTTCCATCCTTCTGATTATTCCAAACTTCTATATCATAACCTGTTTCGTTAACAATACGATATGGATCATCTTCCCCTCTTGACTTTAATTCTTCCTCGGTTGTTATTAACGAAAAGACTTGCGATAATAAAGCAATAGAACGGGATGATATGTTAGCTTCTGCTAGCTGTCTAGAAACGACATCAATCATTATACTTGGAGTAGGTGATATTTTCTTAGAAGCGTAAATGGAAATAGGCCATGGTTCAATCAATGGTTCCCATGTCGATCTAGAATAATTATAAATATTAACGAAAGATTCAATATGTGTTTCGGCACTAAGGTCTGTAGACCAATTGATAGCTTTGAGATCAAACGGCTTTATATTCATATCAAGTACCGGCAATTCATGAATATCACCGATCAATACAAATCTCAAACCTCCAATAGAAGCGTTAAGTTCTTCACCTTTGACAATCACTTGAGAATTTCCTTTATCCTTATTTATTGGTCCGCTTTTCTTAGTCATATTTGATAATATTGAAGGTGCGTATTGGGATAACCTCTTTTTAAACTCTTCAGAAAAGTTGTATTCATCATCTTCATTGTTTGTGTCTACATTCCCATGAGCTTCATTATATAGTTCTGTTGCCCTGTTGAAGATGTTCAATGCAAGTCTTATATCTCTCAAAGACAATCTCATAAGCATAGGCTCAATAGATGCATCTATATTAGTAAGAAAGCTAGTTTTAGTTGAACCTCTAGAATCATGAGCAAATGAAATAGAAAAGTCATCAATAATTCTTAATCTCTTGTCATCAAATGAATCCATGGTACACAAGAACATTCCAATATTATTTGCAGCAAGGGACATTACATTTTGACTGGTAATTAAGATTTGTTCGACTTTAAAAACAATTGCTTCTGTATTTTCCTTTGTTGAATCGGCTAGTAATATCACAGATGGTTCTGTTATATTTATAGAAAAGCCAATTGATTGAGATGTACGTGCTTCAGATTCTTCCCTCTTTGGTTTTAACATTTTTGCGTCAGTTGCTTCTTCACTTTGACTATCAGTGATTTCTTCGTCTTCACCTTCTTCTTCATCCTCTTCTTCATCCTCTTCTTCATCTTCTTGCCTTATCTGTTGTCCTCTTACCATACCATTATTTATAAAAGATTGTAATTCAAAAATATAATCAAGGGCTAGAATTGTTTTAGGGTTATCTACAGTCAACATGACTGTGATATGTTTACTATCGGACTTTCCATCTGTTGAGGCCTTCAAAACAAATTGGTTAGTATCATGGCTTACCAGAGGAATAATTTCCGGAAACTTATTACTCGTTCCCTCTCTAACATCCCTAACAACAAATGATTTCACGTTCATATCAGATACGAAGTGAGAATCCTCACTCATATCCAAAGCGAAGGACAGACCATTTAAAGAAAGAGAAGAGATCTTAGTTGACTCATAATTCGAAATCCCAAATGTTCTGTTATATAAAGTTAAAGATAACCTAGGTATATCAAAACTGGCAATAACCTTCTTATGTTTACTTGGAGGCGCCTGTTTCTCATCTCTAACTATAGATGCTTCTCGAGTAATATTCTCTGAATTGTTAGCCTGATTGTCATACTTGACAACGGCGTTGGCATTTGCAGCATCTGCTTCTATATCATCAAGCAGTTCATCGATATCCGAAACGTTAAGTACCCTACTAACTGATTCAGAAAGCTCCATCAAATATTGCAACTGCAATTCAGTTAAATGCAAATCAACTTCTGGCATTTTTCCTGTAACGACAAATGTAGGCTTTGATTCTACATACTCTTCGGAATAGTCTACTTTGAAACTAATATCAAGATCATTTACAAGTTCTGATTGTTGCTCAACTCCTTCATCGAAATGAAACTGTGATTTAAGACTAATTTTACGAATACCAGCCGTGATAACATTCTGAATTGTCGAATCATTTTCAGCTTTAACAAATTCGTTAGAAGCATATAATTCACCTAGATGAGCAGTCATATTATCGTACTTATTTCTAGGGCTATCGACTAGTTTTGGAAAAACAATTATAGGAGCCTGAACCAAGAAATTGAACCTTATTTTATTTGCTCCTTCGATTTGACTTGCTTGATTAATCGCTGCCTCTCGAGCCTGGTCATAAATAGCTTTCATCCTTTGAAATTGACTCAAGTAATTAAATATTTTACCAAATGCTTCCTCAACAAAATTAACTCTAGCGGAACCTGTTTTGAATTCAATTAAAGTATTATATGGATTACAATTTGTTTCGTTATCAAAGGTTTTGTAAGTAAATTCGGCTAAGTTGTTCCCTTCGATACTTATCAAACGACGCAATATTGAATCTCTCGGAGAACCTTGATTAACTTCATCGTGTAAACTTAAAGCTCCAAGTCTACCTTGGACTTCCAACTCCTCAGGCAATAAGAAAACGTTAATACTAGCAGTACTTAATTGCAATGTTGCTAATTTTAGTCCGTCTTCATTCAAAACCATAATAATACTCTCTAAATTAACAACAACATTAATTTTTTGTGGAGATGTATCGGCATCATCAGAATTGTTATGTTTTATCTCATCTGCTTCGTTAGGTGGCTCATTTGGATCTGTAAATGTATTCAAAATAAAATTAAGAAGGCTCAAAATCGATTTACGAGAAACAACAAACTTAACAGTAGCAATGTCAACAACAATGTCCTGATCAAATACCTCTATTTCCTTTCCGTTGTGTTCAACAACTCTTTGAGTTCTCAGATAATCTAACTTGAATAAGTCCTTATTCTTTTCTTTACTTTGATTATCAATTTCAGAAAACTTATTTGATGAGACCAATGCTTCAAATTCTGGAACTCCTGACTTTTCGATATGATCAATCAAGTTGATATCAGTAAGAGCCAAGTCAAGGTGCATGTCATTCGAAGTTTTGGAGAAAAATAATTTTAGAGAATCACCTACTAAATCGACAAGCGGTTCAGTCTCTAAACTAATGCCATTAATGCATCTAGAGAGCGATACGTTAACAACATCGACCTTAAAATCAAATTCGAATAGTTTCTCTTGAATAGGATCCGTCTTCAGATCTTTTGTAGGTTTAGTCGATATAATTGAAGATGTTTCTGTATCATCTATTTCTCTAATCTCTCTTTCCTTGTGATTACCATACGCATCAAATATACTTGAATCATCAAAATCAGTCGTATCAAGATTTGGTATAGCTTTATCAATAATCTTCATTATTGTTTTATACTGAAAATCATTGATTGCAACATCAAATTTAGTGACCTCTCCTCCGACTTTAATTTTCGCTAAATTATATGCATCTGGTAGAATTGATATTCCCAATAATAATTTAAGATTCAATTTATCTAAAATCAAAGCTGATTTATGTTTGTCGTCGGTATGTAACTGCTCCATAGTCGATTTAATGTTAGGGCCAACCAAGAATTGTGCATCTTGTAAATGAAGATTAAACTGGTCATACATCAAGTTCTTCAATTGGTCCCAATCATCAGAAGTATATCTTTCTTTGGCTTTTATTTCTTCGATCTTAGATTTTTCAACTAAATTGCTTACAACACTAATATGACCAGCATCCAAGATTGCCACAGGCGATTTCCAACTCGTAGGATCTAATGGTAATATAATTAGAGGAGCTTGTAAATCCAACTTCACATTAAGAGTCTTGTGTTCTTCCAACGCATACTGAAGCCCTATCCGTGTTTGTGATGTCAATCCCTCCATAGTTGCTTCTGCAGCATTCATAACAGCTCCAATAGTATCAAGGTGAACTTTTGGAGGAGTAAAGAATTTAATAATCTCCTCTATGAAATGCGGGTTATAAAAAATTGTCATAGATTTTAATTTACCTAATAACATGGAATCGGCACTTTCATCCAATGGATTATTTTCAAAAGAAACCTTGAAAAATGGGTCGTTAGTATTTAATCCCAATGATGACACATCTGATTCTGAATCATCATTATGCAAATGAGAATGTTCCTGTTTCACGCTAACAATATGTTTATATAACGTAGTCTTCGTACCATCTTCAACTCTAAATTCTTGCAACTGCAAATTAATCAAAAAAGAATCCGGTCTTTGATATATTTGAGTCGTAAATCCTTCGAATATAACTTCTGCTAAATTCGGTTCGTGCTTTTTCTGTCTTATGGAGATACCACCTTTCTTCAACGATGTCAAGAGTTCAACTTTTACTCTATCTCTAGGCATATCAATTGAATCTACTAATGCTTGATTTTCGTCATATTCGATCGCTTCATATAGCGCTTTTCGTTGATCTTCACTTAACAGTAAGTCATTATTTGAATCTGGCTCTACGGTACTATTTTCAACTGGCTTAGAGCCACCCCACCAAGATGAAAGCCAACCACCACTTTGTTGATCTTTAGTTTGAGAAGCCGAAGAACTAGATGTGAGAACCTTTTTATTTTCCTTGCGGATTTCGGTCTTAGCTAATGACCTATAGAACTTGATATCTTCAAATGGAAGCTTTATCTCTAAGTCCTCGAATTCTTTTTCTTCTTCCGAAGTCAATGACTTACTCAATTGCTTCATTTTCCAAAGCTTTATATACGCCTTTCTTTGATCCCTTCTAGTTGCAAAATATTCCCAACTCCATTTATAGTTCTTTTCATGAATTTCATTCAATATAGATTTAGCTGCATATCTAAACCATTCCTTAGGGTCTTCTTCTACTTCAACTTTTGGTCTAAATTTTCTGAATTTCTGAGTTTTAATGTACCAATGGAATTTAGATGCTGTCCATAAAATATCCCTATATTGTTGTGAATCTAAATCAATTCCAAATTCATCGAAAAATAGCTCGGCCTTAATATGAGGAGATGTTTCTGTTGCTCCTCTTTTATGTACAGTTAACCTCCCTTCACCAGAAATAGGTTTAAGTAAGTACTGTATGTCATTTATAAATGCTTCACTCGAAACTGATTCCTTGAAAATTTTCAAAAGCTTCTCAGAATCTTCTGTAAATATGGTAGCAGAATCCGTATTCATGTAACAACTTAAATTCTTTAATGTTAATAACTTGTGAGTGAACGCTTGAGTAATTGAAATGAAACTTGCGACCCACGATTCGTTACATGAAACAGCAGATAATTCTGTCAACCTAAATCCAACAGAGTATGGATTTTCTGTCAAAACCGAATCGTCTTCATATCTAACATGAATATTCTTGATTGTGACTTGTAAATTATCAACTATCTTGGTCACCAAACTCTCAGTAAATGACTCGTTATTACTCAAGTCCGATGCTACATCCCGATTCTGTGCTGCTGCACTCTCGATAGCCTTCAACCCTTCAAGCTTTTCTTTTTTCATTTGCAATTCTCTTCTTTCCTCCTCCTCTAGGTCAAACTCCTGAACAACTATTGGTGATGCCAACACATATACATCCTCTATTGTGATTTTCACTGGTTTGGACTTTAAATTCGACCATGGAATCAGAATCGTCAACTCGCCTAAGTGCCCAAATTTAACATCTACGGGAAGTTTTAACTTGTCGAGCGACTCCTTCTTCAACCGCATATTCTTCAATTTCACATCTCCACTCCAAATTCCAATATTCAACTGTTTGGGATCAAAATTCTCAATAAACGATCCCAAAAACCTGTTAAGAAGGTTAGCAACAAGAGATTCAAACATTTCTTCTTAAGTTATCTTGTATCTTGTCGTTTAATTCAAAAGCTATAAATAATTTCTGCAATTATATCAACAATTGATCTCAAATACCTTATTTTTGCTTATTGTTTGTTCTTTGTATACGGTTTCTTCGACTTATCTAATACCCGCCCTCTTCATATATAGAATCGCAATCAAAATCTCGCTAAGGTTGCGAGTAGATGGAATTGTTATTTTGGTATGTATGGATGTATACTTTTACATCCATACATCAGATAACTGTCATTTTGTATCGTGACTAACGATTACTCATGCTCGTTAGACCCCATAGTTACGATGTGGCGTTATCTTATCATATCCTTTGTTACACAGTATTAATATCTTTATATTAGCATATCGAATACATATAGATAGAAACATTCGATAGTGTTTTTATTACATTAGTCAGTTCGTATAGTGATCAACAAACTTGAATCGCTATCAGAATACGAATAGCAGTTAATCATACTTGACAACCAGTGGTTCTAGCTTCGCAAAAGCGGCAGAATTTGACAGGAGTCAAACAGTGGTAAACAACAAGGGTAATATAGGCCAGGCATTAGTGTTTTTTACAAGCCGACTAGTATTACTGAGTGTCGTTGCACAACTAAGCAGATTTAGAGGGTTGATTATCAGTCATACCCTTATCTATTACACGTCTTTATACACAGTATCACCCCTCCTTTGGATAACATAAGTAAGAGGATTTATTTGGTTTGGTAATCAAAGAAAGAAAACGCATTAATAATAATGTCAACAGCTAGCATAGAGTCGAACAAGGATGGTGGACGGCCAGTCAAGACTATAGGGGTATATAGCATTGGACCTGAGATAGGAAAAGGGTCTTTCGCCACAGTTTACAAGTGTATTAACACTAAGACAAATGAGTCAGTGGCTATCAAGTCGGTAGTGAGGTCAAAGTTGAAATCCAAGAAATTGGTAGAGAACCTTGAGATTGAAATATCCATATTGAAGACGATGAAGCATCCGCATATTGTGGGGTTGCTAGACTACAAACAAACTACATCACACTTTCACCTAGTGATGGACTACTGTTCCATGGGGGATTTGTCATACTTTATACGTAAGAGAAACCAGCTTATCAAAACACATCCAGTGATATCATCGTTATTGGAGCGGTACCCATCGCCGGAGGGATCACATGGATTAAATGAAGTATTGGTGATTCACTTCCTCAAGCAGTTAGTTTCCGCTTTAGAATTTTTAAGAAGTAAGAGTTTGGTACATAGGGATATCAAACCTCAAAACCTATTGCTATGCCCTCCCTTACATTCAAAACAAGAGTTCAAGGATGGTGGGTTTGTCGGGTTATGGGAATTGCCTCTCTTGAAAATAGCTGATTTTGGATTTGCTAGGTTTTTGCCATCAACTTCCATGGCAGAGACGTTATGTGGATCCCCACTTTACATGGCACCCGAAATTTTACGATATGAAAAGTATAACGCAAAGGCTGACTTGTGGTCAGTTGGAGCAGTCTTATATGAGATGACTGTAGGTAAACCACCATTTAGAGCTGATAACCACGTTCAGTTACTTAAGAATATTGAAAAGTCTAACGATCGTATTAAATTTCCTTCTGCGGCACAAGTGCCTGAATCTTTGAAAAGGTTGATTAGGTCGCTATTAAAGTACAATCCAACTGAAAGAGTTTCTTTCAACGAATTTTTCAATGACCCTTTGATTATTAATGAATTAGAGGGCAACGATGAACCATTAGAGACATCAGAAATGGATGAAAATTTGTTTATCAGTGAATACATTTCTCCAATTAAGCCTTCACATAAATCTCAGTATATTGAGCCAATTACTACAGAAGGTGCCCTGAAAGAACATCCTAAAGAATTTTTGCCAACACAGGAATCATCGAAGCTTGCTAATGAGTTAACAACAAAAGCAGCTGATGTAAGGTCTTCAAGTAGAGATGAAGAAATTAAGGAGATAATAAATAAGAATAGTCCTGGACCTGAAACTTCATCCCGTTCGATCCAACCGCGTAACTTAAAAGACAAGTCATTAGTATTAAAGAATAAAGATAATGATATCGTCTTAGAGCGGGACTATGTTGTGGTTGAGAAAAGGGCTGTTGAAGTTAATGCTATAGCTGACGAATTAGCACATGCCGGTAGTGGTGCCTTAGCTATTAATCCACGTCGGAAATCTTCTGGCTCTGATAATAGTTACAGTCCTAATAATATGCAGCTTTATAGAAGACCATCTCTCAGATCAAATTCATCAGGAAGTCAAAGGAGACCAAGTTTTACTGATCGGAGGATTTCTATTTCAATATCACCTACAAATGCTTTAACGAAAGCTATAGGATTAGCTTCAAATAGATTATTTGGAGTAAATGCAAGCAATTCTCCAACTAATCAATTAATTGAGGAAACAGATGAAAAGTTAGCAATTAATGAAAATAATAGTAGCATGAATGTTACGAATAATACATTCTCCACTATTCTCTCAAATCCAAACTTTGCAAACAATTTATTAGTTCAAAAATTGAATCTACCAACATCTACTACCGTTACTAATAGTTTGCAAAACAATGCTCCATCGCAATCGTCATTGCAGTCTAAAGCTGATGAGTCGGTTCTTGATAGGCTTGAATCTTTAGCAACTAAAGCGCATGCAATAAACTTATTTGCGGATGTTAAATTTAGTCAATTGATTCCATCTCCACCTTCATCAGATGCTCTAGATGATGATTTATTGCATCAGAATGATATGCTACCTCCAAAAATTGTCAAGTCAATAAGTGAAGAAGGCGTTGTACTTTATGTTAAAACTTTGTCCTTGTTGGCTAAGGGTATGGTTATAGCAAGCGATTGGTGGTATAGCCAGTTTGAAATTGATGAACCTAGCAATAAGAATTCAAATGAAAATCCGCTAAAACCCAGTGCAAGCAATAATAGCAATGGCTTACTGTTAGCTGTCAGAATCAATGAATTGGTACAATGGATACGAGAAAAATTCAATGAGTGTTTAGAGAAGGCAGAATTTATTAGATTGACGTTACAAGAAGCTAATGCGTTATTATCTAGTGAAGGAAACTCTGAATATATGGATAATTCCAATTCAGTTGCTGATAAAACGAGAGTAGTTGCAGAAAAGTTAATTTTTGATAGAGCCTTGGAAATGTCCAGAAATGCAGCAGTCAACGAATTAGTCAAAGAAGACTTGAAGGGCTGCGAATTGGCGTATAGCACTGCAATATGGATGTTGGAAGCTTTGTTGGATGAAGACGCATCTAATGATGAAGATAGACTTGATGATGAAGATAAAGCAATGGTAGAGAAATTTATTGTTAGCATTGGCAATAGATTATCTGTATTAAAACGAAAGCTTGAATTGATCTAATTTTCTGCCTTCTTTTATGTGTTATGTATTAGCATGAATCTATTTATTTTGCAAATCTGTACGAATTGATTTACAGATTTATTTTTATTTTATTTTAAACATGTTATTCTATTTTATTTATCAACGGTTTTATGGCTGGATCTTGGTTTTTTTTTCTATATGGGTTAATTTTATTTCTTGGGTAACTTCATTTTTCTTTTGGTAATTTATGATTCATGGTACATATACATATAATTTTATACAATTGATAATATATTTTTACAGAAAGGCTAGTATGTCTTAATTGTGTTTCGAGTCAAAATTATTTTATGATTGAAGGCTTTAACGATTAAAGAATTCTATAGCGCGATCGTAAATCTTAAAGTTCCAAAGTTCTACTGCAAGCAGCGAAGAACTAGAGTAGCGTATATATTTCAAAGGAAATGAGTATTCTCTTGTAAATGTAAATTATAACAAAACAATTTATTAATTATTAAGCCCTGACTTCTAAGTTAATGACATAATTTCATACAATTAATTATATATATATATATATATAATTGCAAAAAAATGGTATGTTATATATATTACGACACAAGCTATTTTACGTGTAACTTTTACCCATCTTTTTTCTTTTCTCTGTCATGCTGTAACAACCCAACTGTAACCGAATTGGATCTATAATAACTTGGTCTACGTGTAATTCCCAGGTTTGAGGTAGACTTCGTTTCACTCTCCTTATCATTATCATAATGCAATGCATTCGGGAAAGGATAATATATCGGATCTTTCTTATAATGGTTATTAAATTGATTATTCGACTGATTATTATTATTATAATAATTATTATAATAATTGTCCTTATGATTCTTAAACAATTGTTTGACTAAATGAGAATTTGTAGTAGCTTTAGGAGATGTGGGTGCATTGTTAATTAAAGGTGATGGTATTCTATTATTGTCCTTTTGTAACTTATCCAATTTTGGCGATGAAATGCAATTATCTTTTTTCAATTCAGTTGTGTTCACCTTCCTATTAGGAACCTCTGTACTTGAACGGTTGCCTAATGTCTCCGCAGTCAAAGTAGTACTTGAACCATTACTCGATACGACCGAAACCGTTGGGTTCATTAAAACATCGGCTGACACGCTGGGTCGAGGTACACTTGACATTAGTCCCTCTGGTATATCTTCAAATTCAGGTATGTCGTCTTGAAATATAACAGGCGTATCGTAACGCTGAATTGAAGGACGTGTAACGATTCCAGGTAAATGAGAATCGTGTGACTTAGCTCTGTTACCGAGAGATAAAAATTTAGGTTTTGATGGAGGTGAAAGCTTTGATGAAAATGCTAACGTTAAATTTCCTTCTTCATCACTTTCACTCTCTGAAATTGATGATGACGACGATGAGCAAGATTGTGAAGATGAAGAATCACTCAGACCTTGAATTAATGTTTTTGGTGCGATTCCTTCATGTTCATTAAGCTTCTCCGAATTAAGGTTGAAAGTAATTGTTTCATTTTTCATCTGGGCGTTTAAATTAAAGTTTTTAAACTTCTCATTAATTGTATCAAAATTCGATTTCAAATCAGCGATATGATTAATATTAGGATCAGAATGTGTTACATCACTGTCACGTCTTAATGAAAGATGCTTACTATTTGGATGGTTACTATGATATTCTTGATACTTGAATTTCAAATAGTCATCACTGAAACTGTCGAGTGAAGCAAAACTCTCATTCAAAGGTAAAGAGATGACTGAAGAAGGCCTTCTATCATTGCTTATATTGATTGGATCGATCCTTAATTGGTTATTTGAATGTTGCGCAACCTGTACTGGATTTCCAGCAGATAAAGACGCAGACGAGTCTTCTTGTCCCCAATGAGAGGAAATAGAAGTCTTCGGAGTATTAGCATTTGATGCATGAATAGATGACGATATTGCACTAGATCTGCGTCTCTTATCATCTTGTTGCTGAATTACCTTGAAGGTATCAACAAGTGATTGGTTTTTCAAATATAAATCACCTCCGACATTGCGCTTGGTTTCAATCTGTACAGCTTCGTACCCTGCCGAACTTCCACGTCTACTAGAACTGTTTGAATGTGAATCAATCACATCCTGTAAAAGTATATTCGGTGTTCTACTTTCTCGAGTAGTTGCAATAGAATGTGATGAGAAATTAGGTATAGCATTTTGCTGTGTTGATAAATTCGACGGTATATGAGGAGCATTTGTTGGAAAATTAACAGACGAATCAGGTTGTTGGCTCCCAGACCTCACTTTGTAAAAATTTTGAAAACTTGGAGGGGTAGTCAATTGCGAAGCTTCTGATAATATTACAGAATTCCCCAGGCTCTCGTTTAATCCTGACGTCGAATTATAACGAGAATTAACGTATGAAGAATCTTCAGATGATGATACGCTTGTATTAGGCTCCAAATACTGAACAATCCCTCTACGAGGATCGAAATCTCTTCCACTGGCCTTAATCGATTTCAACAAGCTACTCCTGATTCTGTTTCCAATACCCACTATTGCATTATCAATGTCTTCTTTCAGAACCTCCTCGTCAGTTCCAAATGTCTTAAAAAAAGTAGCATTTTTGTCATTTAGATAAAGTAGTTCATTTAAAGCATCCAAGTCATCTTCTAAATCTAAAAGAACAAAAGGGTGGTTCTTGATATCTTTTATTTCAATACGCGAATCTTTATTCTTATCCAATAGCTTTGATAATAAATCTTTTGCCAATTCAAATTCAGTTTCACCTACTTCGCAAGGAGAGTTAAATGCATTTCTATCAGTAGGAAACTCCAATTGTTGATTAACAATAACCAGGAATAATTCAAACTCAGATTCTGCATTAAACGGAACCTTACCGAACAATAAACAATACAATGTAACACCAAGGGCCCAAATATCAATCTTGTAGTCTATCTTGGGGAGTAATTTAGTAAGTTTTAACTGATCATTTCTCAAAATTTCTAGGGACGAAGCTGAAACTGATTTGGAACTTGTAGAAGATGAGAAATTAGTTTCACATAATTCTGGGGCGAAAAATGCAGGCGTGCCAGCCGTCTTTGCTAATTCAACTTCATTAACTAAATTAGAATCTTCATTATCCAAAGATGACACAAATGAAACACCAAAATCACTAATTTTAATAATGTTGTCTGAGCTAACTAATAAATTTGCAGGTTTGATATCTCTATGAACTATACCTTGCATATGTAGGTACTCCATACCCAATAAAACGTCACGAAAAATTTTTCTTGATTGCTTGAATGTTAAATAAGGCGAAAATTCGTTTGATAACAAGTCTTCATCTTCATCTGCTTGTGTATATGCTATGCTTTTTTTCCTAAAACCACTTCGGCAAGGAATATCGTCGGGATTATTTACATCGACATGAGATGTATCTTCACTATTTGTCTTCTGACGTTTCCACTTGATTTCTCCTTTTTCAAGATATTCCAATACCATGTATATCTTGTGAGAATTCAAATCATCTAAGAGTTCTTTCAACCTAACAATATGTTTATGCTGACACATTTTCATAATAGCAATTTCTCGTTTTATTTTAATATCATAATCACTAGGTGTGTTGCTTTGCACTTTAGAGCCATGCCTCATTCTTAACAAAGGTCTCTCTCTTTTAGACTTTCTGTTGACAATCTTTATTGCAACTAGCTCATTATGAACTAAGTCCCTGGCTAATTTAACTTTACCATGCTCCCCTCTACCTATTTCACGCAATATTTCGTATGTATTGAGTACTTTACGTTTAGTTAGTGGATCATATTCTAGAAAAACGCTGTTTGTTTCCTTCACTGATTTCTTTGAGGGAAGAGGTGTATTTGAAGTTTCTCTCACTAAATCTCCTCTACTTCCTGGCCTGCTTCCTGCAAGACTCCCTGTAAGGCTCCCTGCACGACTGTTTGTACGGCTATCTGTACTACTATCGTTGTTTGTTTCCTTCACTGATTTCTTTGAGGGAAGAGGTGTATTTGAAGTTTCTCTCACTATATCTCCTCTACTTCCTGACCTGCTTCCTGCCACGCTTCCTGCACGACTCCCTGTACGGCTGCCTGTACGACTGTCTACTCTGCTTCCAGTCCGACTTCTACTTGAAGTATCAAGTGGGTCTTTCCCTAGTGAAGTCGTTGAATTCTTCCTGGATTCACTCAAAGATCGATGTAGCATCCCCGTAACCTTTCCAAACAAGTTATGTCTCAAACCTTTATCATCTAATCCATTTGCATCACCTAGAGGTTCGTATTCTCTGGACGCCGATATCGTAGGACTTAATGCTTCCGATGTAGATATGCCCGTTGTCGCCGTAGCAAGTTTATTAAAAATTACAGAATGTCCAGCATTGTTGGGTATACGTTCATTATTCCCATTGGCATGTGTCGATGACATTTCCACTATTTATTTCCTAGTATAGCTCGCTTTAATGCGTATATTTATAAAATTTGGATCTTAATTAACACTTTCAATAATGATGTACCATTTGGTGGATATTCAATTATTTTGTCGACAAACTAATAGAACCTAGCGCCGTCTTTTTTTTTTTTCAAATATCCTCTATAGTCTTGATACGTCTTTACAATTGTATTACCCCTGACTTGATTTATATAGTATCTCTTAACAAATTTTGTCTTATCTAATACTTTACCCTTACTCATTCTTGTTGACAATACTCATATGCCCACACCAGATTTAAAAAAATCATGTGACAAATTTTGCTCTTTTACTATCTATACTAAACGAATATAACACTATATAAAAAGCATATAATACAGAATAATCTATTGGTTTATGTCATCTTCATTCTTGGAATCGGTACTATGATTCTCTTTTTTCTGTTCTTTTTCTTTCTCTTCCTTTATACCTAATTCTCTCACACCGTTCAAGAAAGACTCAATTCCCTCACCTTGATAACTATATTTCAAACTCTGGGCTAAGAGATATCCAGCGCCATTTCCTTCCCTCAACAGCTCGCTCAATTTGTTCGTAGATTGCTGGAAAAAGCCACTTCTCACGACATCCAAAATATCGTGTTTTGTGGGGGATGTCGATTCAGGTAAGTGCTTCGCATATAACTCAGATAATTGGTCAGAAGACAAAGAGTCTAGGTGATTTTCGATCACTTCCAACGTCAAAACATCCGAAATGGATGCGATAGGCAACTTTATGTCTTCTTGGCTGGCAGTGTTAGCTTCCATGATGGGGACCGAAGGAGTGTTGCTCTTTGGTAGTACGGCCTCCGGCTTGCTTCTAGTTGCGTTAATAGACTTGATTCTAAGGATACTCTTTTTTATTATGTTTGGCTTTATTTACATTATATTGTGCTTGTATAACTTAAATAGAAAGAACGTACTTACTCTTCGGTTTCTTCTTTAGCTTCGGTTTCTTCTTCTTCACCACTTGGAGAAATCAATTCGTTCACCTTATCCAATATGCTTTTGTCCTTAGGGGTCAATTTGCTTAATTCTTCGTCGTCCCCGACGTCTTGTAACCAATACAAATTCTTTCCTCCTGAACTCAAAAATGTCAATGCAACTACTCGTCCTGTTTTACACGATGTCATCTGTTTGAAACTAACATCTCCTGGTATGACTAGCAATTCATCCTTCTCGATGTTTCCTGAGCTACTTGACTTTGGCGACCATGTAAAGTCAAAGAAATCTTCATCATCTGCATTTGGCTTGAGTGAGATGACTCCCTTGTGTGGTAATGGAGTGCAGCGCTTTGTTTCTTCATCATATTCCACCTTACCGGCATTGAATTTTATTGTTTTAGACGCCATATTCGATGTGTTATATATTTATTTCTCAATGGATGCTCTATTAGTCTACAATGAACAGAAACAGTGGTTCTATTCAACTGTTGGGATCATAAATATCGCCACTCAAATACTCAAGTGCGCGTACACGACTCACTTTTTGATAAACTATCAACCTTTAATTATATGAATTGTCATATATTTCGAGGGAAAATACATATAAATACACAACAATATGGGATTTCCACCTGCAGAAATTGAAGAATTGGTTGGTAAAATAGCTGAGGTTTTGAGGTCAAGAAACCAGACATTAGCAATATCAGAAGCAGCTTGCGGAGGATTATTATCAGCATACATAATATCAGTTCCTGGAGCATCCAATTTCTATATTGGAGGTAAGTTGGTATATGCATTGAAACAGAGATTGAAGCTTTCTGGGTGGTCTGACGAAGAAATCAGTCATTATACGGGGCCATCGGAGCAGGTTGCATTAAAATTGGCACGGACAACTAAATACGAGCTTGGGTCGACATTTGTGTTGTCAGAAACTGGTTTTGCGGGACCTACAACGGACTTACATATGCTGAATTTGGCCAGCGATGTAGATAGAGTTGGGACTGTTTATTTGGGTTTAAGTGGGCCTAGTGGGGAGGTGTCGTGTGAAAGACATACCGATAGTGGGAATAGATCGGAAAACATGGCAGCATTTGCCAAAATGGGGTTGGAGTTCTTATATGAACAATTGGAAAAGCAATAAGCATGAAGTTATGATATTAGATTTATAGATGTATGTATTAGGGTGCACGATGTTAATTATTTCAACCGATCCTATTATTGGGATGGGAGAAAGTTGGTGCAATTCAGAATTAATACATATTAAGAGTTAACCAATAGTGGAATTTTTAGTTTGTAGTTACGTTTCTATCTAATGATATTGTTTCTATCCAATGCTTGTGACAAACTTTGGTATCATTAGCTCTTTATCAAGAAAAGTAAGACAGATAATTGAGTTGATTAATGAGATAGTTCTTTATCAAGATAAAAATAAGATAGCAAATTGAAGAAAGAGTGAACAGTCCTCTTAGAAGGCTTGTCGTCTTGTATGTTTTCAAGAGGTAAAGTCTCTGTATTGTTTTTCGGTAGTAGTGCTTCATAGTACCCACAATGCCACAAACTAACCCTTTTAAAGAGTATTACGAGTTGAACACAATTGACCCATACTATTATCCATATATTTCAAGGTATAAATGTCTATTTAGAAAATTGGAGTTCAGTGCATGTCCAAAATCAAAATCAGTGAAGCAATTTCCATGTGAGCGCTCTTTGCAGCCTACCATCAAGCTATTTTTCCATTTTTCAACACTTAACACATCCTTTTTTTGGAATGAAGATACTACCTAGGTAAGTGATATTCTAGTTTTATTATACAGCATCGTTAGTAATTAATTGATTTTTTTCTGACTTTTTATAAATAATTTTTATATTTATTCCAAATTTTCAGACTTTTCTATAAATGGTAAATTATGCAACAAATTCTTTTGCTAGATCTCATAGATCTCACTAAATAAAAAGCACAATATTTTTAAAATAATTATTAAATATACGTCTACTCAGATATACTACAGGAAAATGGACTACTGATAGCCCCACGTCTATTATGGACAATTTATGTACTAAAAATACCTTTGCCGTGGACTTAGAGCGAGAACACTAGATCTATTGGTATGCACTTGACCACATAAATACAAACTGCAATAAAGATAGCAGAAATTAGTAAGTATACCCTTCATCCTTCGTTACCTTGAAAATCTTTTCAGCTCAATTCTTTGTTCTATCAGTTCATATTCAAGGGATATGTTAAGCCGGACAATCTTTTTCATACCACCTCTTACAAACTCCATCCTTCCTTAAGTTATATACTGCTAATATGCCCAATTCGACAAACATGGTATAAGAATAACTAGTTTTAATACATATACTCTACAAAATAGTTACATAGATTAGAATTAAAACATTGCTTCATCTCAGTATGCGAAGAAATTGGCTAGAACAGTTCAACGAGAATGAATTCATACTAATGTAATATGAATATACGCCAAAAACTCAGAAGCATCCGTAGCAATGAGTGGACAGTATGTCTATACGTCAGACTCGATTACATTGTATTAAGACTATCTCGAAAATAGTTGCAATAAAAAGTAAGTAATTTTACACCCATTTTAAACATGTGAGTGACACGTATTTGTGTTTTTTTTTTTCAAACCAAAAAACGAACGATCTCGAATCAATTATTGGAAAGACAACAAACAATTAATTCATCAATAAATTCTACTTATAATTAAGTACAGATTATCTTATTAGGATTGATTATTGTATAATTCAATAAATTACCAAGGGATTTTTGTTTTCATATTTATTGAGATTATTTTATAATGAGTGGTATGTTTTCTTGTGATCAACGGGCGTTAATAACGATTTGACAATACTAACATAATATAGCCGAAGTACAATCTATTCCTCAAGCTGAGAACCAAGAACCTCAAGCGTTTGAAAATACCGCTAGGCAAAATCCAATAGAGGACATTCAACAAGACCTTAAGATTATTAAGCGTAAGTTAAATGGATACGTTGGGTTTGCAAACTTACCAAAGCAATGGCACAGGAAATCGGTTAGAAGAGGTTTCACTTTGAATATAATGGTTGCCGGAGAAAGTGGATTGGGTAAAAAGACTTTGATTAACACGTTATTCAACAGGGAAATTTTACCACTTGATATTAACGAAGAACCAGCAGAACTCGACGACGAGACCCACTCGGTCAGAATCAAAACTGACAAGGCTGACATTGAAGAAGATGGTGTTAAATTGAGCTTGAGTGTTATATCAACACCAGGATTTGGTGAAGCAATTAACAATGCCGACTCATGGAAGCCAATTGTTGACGAAATTAATGACAGATTTGATGCCCATTTAGAGGCAGAGAGCAGAATAAATAGATCTGCTATTGTTGACAACAGAATCCACGCGTTCCTTTATTTCATTGAACCAACTGGTCACTCCTTGAGATCCTTGGATATTGCTCTTATGAAAGAAATTCACGAAAAGGTTAACTTAATTCCGGTTATTGCTAAGTCTGATACCTTGACTGAAGAAGAAATTATTGATTTCAAGCAAAGAATCTTAGAAGATATTAGATACCAAGGAATTAAGACTTTCAACCCGACCGAATACGACAACGATGATGAAGAATCTCTTGCTAACACTCAGAGCATCATGAACAAATTACCATTTGCTGTGGTTGGGTCTACTAAGGAAGTTGAAACTGTGGACGGTAGAATCGTTAGAGGTAGAAGCTATCCATGGGGTATAATTGAAGTTGACAATGAGGAACATTGTGACTTCATAAAATTACGTCAATTATTGATAAGAAACTTCTTAGAAGAATTAAAAGAAAACACTGCCAACACATTATATGAAAACTATAGATCTGAAAAATTATTGAGAATGGGAATTCAACAAGATAACTCGGTTTTCAAGGAATTCGATCCATTGGCAAGACAAGAAGAAGAGAAGAGTCTCCACGAAGCTAAATTGGCCAAGATGGAGGCAGAAATGAAGAATGTTTTCCAACAAAAGGTTTCAGAAAAAGAGAAAAAATTACAAAGATCAGAAGCTGATTTGTTTGCTAGACACAAAGAAATGAAGGACAAATTATCCAAACAAATAAAATTATTAGAAGATAAGAAAGAACAATTAGAGAAGCAAAAGTCATTACCACAAGAGCCAGCGCAACCAGCGCCAGCACCAACAAAGAGTCGTAAGGGTTTCTTACGTTAGATAAGATTAATGAATTTATTTTTATCTTTTAGGGAGAATCTTTATTATCATTTTATTGGATTTTATATATGTTTTAAATATAGGTAATGCGAGATAAATGTAGATCCAAATTTTAATACCTGTCAAAAGTCTGATACTACTAAGATAATCATGTATATATATTTCATGTAGTATAGCATATTAAATTTCTGGCCTATTGTTCAGGAGCGAATATTTATGACCATCTGGAATTCTGTCCGTTTGACTATTGTACTCGGCTTGAATAAGTAGGAGAAGTTTTCAATATCTCGTGACCGGTATAATAGCAATTTTTCAAAATGAATATGACAATCCAAATTACGTTAGCCCTTGAAATTTGTATAAATAATTCAAGTATTTAAAGAATTGACACACAATTTATCAGTTAAGCCTTGTTCAAATTGTTTAATATAATTAATTGATATTTAAATGTCTAATCAAACTAAATCTGCTCCGAATGCTGCTACCAGCAAGCCAGCTACTTCTTCCTCAAGTACTGCAGGGACCACAAAGAGTAAAGGGGTGAATACTAACCAATTAGTTGAAACTGTCCAAGTATGTATAACCAACCTTGTTTCTACAACAAAGAATGTATTACTAACTATCTATTCCTAGACATTGCAATTTGCCTGGTTTGTGGGTCATGTTTTGACATTATGGGGAATCTTCTTATTCACCTTGACTTTTATCAAGAGTGGAAGCCGTTTCCATAGATTTTGGTACCAGTTGGCATTATTTGGTATTATCGAAAGTTTCGGTATCTTGTTGTACCAATTAATTACCAAGAAGGCTCTCAAAGTTAACCAAATTTTGAAAGACGATAACACCCAGTACTTCTTATTGGGAAGTGTATTGCTTTTAATCAGACCATATGTGCTTATTCCATTATTACCATTTGCATTGTTTTCTTTATTCCACGTCTTAGCGTACACCAAGGGATACCTTTTACCTATTTTCGGTATGGCTGATAGCGGAATCTCCAAGCAAATTGAGAACTTCATCAGCAAGAACAACACCAAGTCCATTCAAGTTGCCAGTTTATTAGAAATCTACAGTTTCTTGTGGTTGACCATCAGGGTTATCTTATTCAGAAAGAGATCTCTCATCCCATGGGTCTTCTACGCTGTCTTCCTCAAAATGAGATACGAAAAGTCGATCTTCACTAGAAACTACTTCAAGTCTTTGGAACTCCAATTAGACGAAGTCGTTAACAAGATTAACAACCCAGCTGTCAAGGATGTGTGGATCAAAGTAAAGGGTGTCATCAGAAATGCCGGTGGTATTTACCTTGTCAACGACTACACCAAGGAAAAGCTGAACTAACCTCATCACCCCTTCTCTCCATTACCATTTTTCCACCTTATGTTAATTAATTTTTTTCTATAATATTGTTATTACTATGTTTACTTTAATACATTTTTTATTCGTCTTTATGCCTACATCTACATTCCTATGGATTTTTCCCTCAACAGCATCAGCAATGGTGTCCAGCCAAAGTTCTGTCATGACAGTTGTATTGTTTGGACACTACGAAAACACTTCAACGACTTATAGTATTCTTTTATGAATAATTGGCTTTTTGCAATAGAGGTTCTATTTCGAAGTACAGAATACCATATTAAGTTTCTGTAACCAAAGAGATTAATTTTCACTACGTCATAAGGTTTTTCCATGCGCTAAGTTCCATGCATTGCCTGGTGCGCGATGAAACCTTATTGGTGCACAAATGTATTTGGTGTATAGCACTTAAAATCTCATCGATGATATCATAATGCAACTTTTTTCGCAACATTTGGTTGTTCTAAAAATTTCCATTGGGTTCCGCAGGCTTCGACTGGAGTCGAAAAGGCCAAGGGGCCGCAGAATTGTGCGATTTTTCAGTAATTATTCTCAATCTAGTATAGAATATTGTAGAATTATATGGAACGAGATTGTGCATGGGCGATCAAAAAAAATTGATTAGTCCAAGTATAAAGGTGGACCGAAATCCTTAATTAATTATTAGATTTTTCTTCTTCTAGATATAGATAATTAGTTATTATATTTCTAATAAATTAATTAATTTTCATTATAATATACAAATATGTCCAAAGCTGTTGGTATTGATTTAGGTACAACCTATTCTTGTGTTGCTCACTTCGCTAACGATAGAGTCGAAATTATCGCTAACGACCAAGGTAACAGAACCACTCCATCTTTCGTTGCATTCACTGATTCTGAAAGATTAATTGGTGATGCTGCTAAGAATCAAGCTGCTATGAACCCATCTAACACCGTTTTCGATGCTAAGAGATTGATCGGTAGAAAGTTTGATGACGCCGAAGTCACTGAAGATGCTAAGCACTTCCCATTCAAGATCGTTGAAAAGTCCGGTAAGCCACACATTCAAGTTGAATACAAGGGTGAAACCAAGGTTTTCACTCCAGAAGAAATCTCTTCTATGGTCTTAGGTAAGATGAAGGAAACCGCTGAAGGTTACTTAGGTGACAAGGTCAATGACGCTGTTGTTACTGTCCCAGCTTACTTCAATGACTCCCAAAGACAAGCTACCAAGGATGCCGGTTTGATTGCTGGTTTAAACGTTATGAGAATTATTAACGAACCAACCGCCGCTGCTATTGCTTACGGTTTAGACAAGAAGGACGCCGAAGAAAAGAACGTTTTAATTTTCGATTTAGGTGGTGGTACTTTCGATGTCTCTTTATTATCTATTGAAGATGGTATTTTCGAAGTTAAGTCTACCGCTGGTGACACTCACTTAGGTGGTGAAGATTTCGATCACAGATTAGTTAACCACTTTGTTAACGAATTCAAGAGAAAGAACAAGAAGGACTTATCTACTAACCAAAGAGCTTTAAGAAGATTAAGAACTGCTTGTGAAAGAGCTAAGAGAACCTTATCTTCTTCCGCTCAAACCTCCATTGAAATCGATTCCTTATACGAAGGTATTGACTTCTACACTTCTATCACCAGAGCTAGATTCGAAGAATTATGTCAAGACTTATTCAGATCTACCATCGACCCAGTCGAAAAGGTCTTAAGAGATGCTAAGGTTGACAAGTCTCAAGTTCACGAAATCGTCTTAGTCGGTGGTTCTACCAGAATTCCAAAGGTCCAAAAGTTAGTCTCTGACTTCTTCAACGGTAAGGAACCAAACAGATCTATCAACCCAGATGAAGCCGTTGCTTACGGTGCTGCTGTCCAAGCTGCTATCTTATCTGGTGACACTTCATCTAAGACTCAAGACTTATTGTTATTAGATGTTGCTCCATTATCTATGGGTATTGAAACCGCTGGTGGTATCATGACCAAGTTGATTCCAAGAAACTCTACTATCCCAACCAAGAAGTCCGAAACCTTCTCTACTTACGCTGACAACCAACCAGGTGTCTTGATTCAAGTTTTCGAAGGTGAAAGAGCTAAGACCCAAGACAACAACTTATTGGGTAAGTTCGAATTATCTGGTATTCCACCAGCACCAAGAGGTGTTCCACAAATTGAAGTTACCTTCGATGTCGATGCTAATGGTATCTTGAACGTCTCCGCCTTAGAAAAGGGTACCGGTAAGACTCAAAAGATTACTATTACTAACGATAAGGGTAGATTATCTAAGGAAGATATCGAAAGAATGGTTTCTGAAGCCGAAAAATTCAAGGATGAAGATGAAAAGGAAGCTGGTAGAGTCCAAGCCAAGAACGCTTTAGAATCTTACGCTTACTCCTTAAAGTCTACCTTAGGTGAAGAACAATTCAAGGAAAAGTTGGATGCTGCTGAAATCGAAGAAGTTACTAAGGCTGCTGACGAAACCATTGAATGGTTAGACTCCAACACTACTGCCACCCAAGAAGAATTCTCTGACAAACAAAAGGAATTAGAAGGTAAGGCCAACCCAATCATGGCTAAGGCTTACCAAGCCGGTGCTGCTCCAGGTGGTGCTGCCGGTGCCGCTCCAGGTGGTTTCCCAGGTGCTCCAGGTGGTGCTGCTCCAGATGCTTCTGCTGACGGTCCAACTGTCGAAGAAGTTGATTAATTTAATAATACAAAAAGATAAATATAAATATTTGCGAATATTTCGGGTTAAATTGTGCTAGATAAAGAATAGATAATTGTATATTTTTTATTTATTAATGATTAAAAGATTTAGATATAACTTAGAATATGTAATTATTTTTTTATAATTAATCTCCAAACTCACGATGGAGTAAAATATTGAACTGGTTACTTGTAATCTGTAGCTAAAGCTTATCAAAGCCATATTCGTGTTAAAATATCTTCTTCAATTTCTGGATTGGTGCATGAAATTCTGCTAGAACTGATGACAACGACCCTCTAGTTGCATGTATGACCTACGCATGGCTAACCTATATGAATTTAGAGGTTATAATCTTGAAGAAAAGAAAGACGTATGCTATGAATGGTATCACACCGAAAGGGTGTGTTATTCTATCTTGTCCAGAGATCCAGAATTCAAAAGTTGTTATGTGCCTCAAAAAATGGGACAAATCATGGTCACCATGGACAGGCTGTATGTTGCGAAAGGACATTTCAACATATTTCGATACATCGAAAAAGTGCCATTACCTAAGGACCAGGAGACATACGAGAAGGCCAAGCAACAATTGGAGGTGATTCACCGGAACGGAATCGTACACAGGGATATCAAAGAGGATAATATTCTCTGTACGAAAGAAGGTCAAGTATACATCATTGATTTCGCACTAGCTAAGCCCAGTGTTAATACTTATGATAGTGGACTGGAGCAACTAGACCTTCGTGCTTTAGAATGTGTATTTCTGTGATTTACATTGGTTAAAAATGGGAATATAAGGATCCTTTCGCAAATCATTTACATACACCGTACAACATCCCTCAGATCAGTAAAAATACTAATGTGGCACAGTTTGTCGTTAGCTCTTCATCCTACATCCATACTGACCATTACCTTATCACACGAGTGAACCAAGTATGATCTCTTAGGGGCAAATGTGCCACCTGCATGCTCACCAACAGATGTTGAATTGTTAAATACCTGTAGGAGATTTTTGAGGTACGCCAGGTGGTGCTGCTCCGGATTTATGCTGACGGTCAACTGTCGAAGAAGCTGATAATTTAATAATACAAAAAGATAAATATAACTATTTTAGTTCGGGTTAAATTGTACTAGAAAAGAATAGTTAATTATATATTTTTTATTTATTAATGATTGAAAGATTATATTGAAATACAAATCGTAGGAATACTGTATAGAAATCAAGATCTTCAAATAATAGAGAGCATGTCGAAACTAAGTCGACGATTGTGATTTGTGGGGAAATAATGTAATGCGTCGAAGATATTAATCTATTCAGAGAGTTGAAGAAACTGTTACAGGTTCAAGTGACTTAATGTGATGACATCAGGATCTTACGAACGAAGAATACTAGACAATTTACAAGTATGAGTCAATGACGTCAATACGCTCTCCTTTGGCTACCAATGGTTAATATCCAAGGCGCAATCATCTTCTGAACAAATACTGAATGTAATGGTGAAATGCAGCAAATGTAACCCTATGTAGCCTAATGTAATCCTCTATTATCTAAATAAGGTTCAAAGTTTTCTGGGGCTAATCACCGTAAATAATTACGATTTCCGATAACCTATCGGTCGGCTAACCAATCCTGATCGCCGGATATTTCGTTCATTACGATATTTCTGCTATTATGGACTACGGACTTGCTCGGATATGCCTGTTTCATACTGTCGCACAATCTCTACATTGCTTACCTGTTACCTGGCCCGGTAAATCATGGGGTCATGTCCTGCCCTCTTTGTCTCTTCGTACGTGGCCACTACCGCACTCTCCATGGCCTCTCACTACTGACTCACTCTGGGCTTTTATGGTCCGCTAATCGCCTGCATACATTCCAACAAATGTTGAATTTTTCAACCCTTGTTGGTTGGGTCATACAAAATCCATTGTGAGCCCGTTGGGACTTTCATTCCTATTCGCTTCAACATATCCCTAGTACTGTTCTGTGTGTAGCTAATTGACCTGCGATCGTAACTTATGTCCCAAGAATTTCACTTTCGATTTATATCCTTTCATCCAGACATTATGCTTCACCTACAGACAATAACCTAAGTCCGTCCCCCAGATAAACCGGTTCTCAAGTCACATTTCTGTTGCTTCTAACCCTATTAGCGTATTATCCACGGGCCCGTATACAGTCATTGGACTAATATTATTGCAAAAGCAGCATGAAATACCCATCAAAACGTCTTGAGTTACACAAAATTACCTCACTCAACAACTTTTTGGATCGCATTATTCTCGTTCGTCTGTACGAGCGTTCAATAATTTTCAGTCAAATCTTTAAGTCCGATTCTTTTTTGCAAATATTATTCTAAGGTTGAATACAACGATTATATAATAATAGACAATAATATAATCACAATTACTGGATAGAAACAAGTATCTGCACTTATCAATTGAATAATACCGTTAGTATATAAAGAATTGTATCCCCACAAATAATTTTTCAGTATATTTGGAAAGTTTCACATACAAATATTTTATATATTAGATTTTTTACATTTTGTCCATTATTTATTGTGATATTTATTCAATTATAATTAGTATTTATTAGACATGACTAGTTCTCCAGCACATCAAGTTGTGCACGAAGCCAACAACATTAAGAAGCATGAGACTCCAAAAGAATTTTTTGAGAGACAACCACGTCAAGGGCACGTAAGCTCATTAGAACAATACCAGGAGTTATACGATAAGTCAATTAAGGACCCAGAAACGTTTTTTGGTGACTTTGGTAAGGAATTGTTGCACTGGGATAGAGACTTTGAAAAAGTCAAGTCTGGATCTTTGTTGCATGGTGATGCAGCATGGTTCATCGGAGGTCAATTGAACGCATGTTACAACTGTGTTGATAGACATGCATTTGCTACTCCAAATAAGCCTGCCATTATCTACGAAGCAGACGAAGAAAAGGACTCTAAGATCTTAACCTTCGCTGAATTGTTGAGAGAAGTGTGCCAAGTTGCAGGTGTTTTACAAAGCTGGGGTGTTAAGAAGGGTGATACTGTTGCCATTTACATGCCAATGAACTCGCAAGCGATCATTGCTATGTTGGCAGTTGCTAGATTGGGTGCTATCCACTCAGTTATTTTCGCTGGTTTTTCTTCTGGTTCCATCAAGGACAGAATTAACGATGCCTCTTGTAAGGCTTTGATCACCTGTGACGAAGGTCGTCGTGGTGGTAAAACCATTAATATCAAGAAATTGTGCGATGAAGCTTTATTGAATTGTCCATCTATTGAAAAAGTTCTTGTTTACGAAAGAACAGGTAATAAGGAAGTCACCTTGAAGGAGGGCCGTGATTACTGGTGGTCAGAAGAAACTCAAAAGTTTGCCGGCTATTTAGCTCCAGTTCCAGTTAACTCTGAAGATCCATTATTCTTATTATATACCTCAGGTTCTACTGGTACTCCAAAGGGTGTTGTCCACTCCACTGCTGGTTACTTATTAGGTGCTGCTTTAACTACTAAATATGTGTTTGATATCCACCCAGAAGATGTCTTATTCACTGCTGGTGATGTCGGTTGGATTACTGGTCATACTTACGCTTTATATGGTCCATTATCTCTTGGTGTTCCAACTGTTGTTTTCGAAGGTACCCCAGCTTACCCAGATTACGGTAGATTATGGCAAATTGTTGAAAAGCATAAGGCCACTCACTTCTATGTTGCTCCAACTGCCTTAAGATTATTAAGAAAATCTGGTGAACAAGAAATCGAAAAATACGACTTATCTTCCTTGAGGACCTTAGGTTCTGTCGGAGAACCTATCTCTCCAGATATCTGGGAATGGTACCATGAAAAGGTTGGTAAAGGTCAATGTCACGTCACTGATACTTACTGGCAAACAGAATCTGGATCGCACTTCATTGCTCCAATTGCAGGTGTTGTTCCAAACAAACCTGGTTCTGCCTCCGTTCCATTCTTTGGTATCCAAACTTGTCTTATTGACCCAGTCAGTGGTATTGAAATTCAAGGTAACGACGTCGAAGGTGTTTTAGCCGTCAAAGATACCTGGCCATCCATGGCTAGATCTGTTTACAAGAACCACACCAAATATATGGATACCTACTTGAAGCCATACCCAGGATACTACTTCACAGGTGATGGTGCTGCAAGAGATCACGATGGATACTACTGGATTCGTGGTAGAGTTGATGATGTTGTTAACGTTTCAGGTCACAGATTATCCACTGCTGAAATTGAAGCTGCTTTAATTGAACACGCTGCTATTTCTGAGGCTGCCGTTGTTGGTATGAATGATGACTTAACCGGTCAAACGGTTGTTGCGTTTGTTGCTTTGAAGGAACACCTTATTGCTAACATTAATGCTAATGAGTCCTCAGAAGAAGTTTTCAAGTTGAAGAAAGAAATGATCTTACAAGTAAGAACTGAAATCGGTCCATTTGCTGCTCCAAAGGCCGTTATTATTGTTGAAGATTTACCAAAGACTAGATCTGGTAAGATCATGAGAAGAATCTTAAGAAAGATCGCAGCTGGTGAAGCTGACCAATTAGGTGACATTACTACTTTATCTAACCCACAATCTGTTGCTGGTATCATTGAATCTTTTGACTCTCAATTCGGTAAGAAATAGGTTTATATAAGTTTATTTATTCCTTAGGACGCAGATATAGTCTTATATAATGTTCGTGTATTATTGTTAAGTGTCGCAACTTTTTGTCTGTAAATTTATATAGTGGTATTTTTTTCACTATAAACTCATCTTTATATAGGTAGACATGAAAGATATATCTATTATAGCGAAATACTTTTTGTTATTTAAGAGTATTCAGCTAATAGTAGTATACTTTACGCCGGTTCAATTTGACACGTCTTCACAATTAATAGTTGAAAAATATCAGGATGATAGGTTGCAGGTTATAGGAGATTGGAATCTTCCATTTCAGATCGGCGATTCAATACTATCCAATATAATCGATAAATTCATTACCTGGGATGCAGTGTACTTCAGTGATCTATTTGTCAATGACATAAAGTATGAACATCAATTCGTGTTTTGTCCTTTATTGTGGAGAATGATCAAATGCATACCGATAGGTGGAACTAATTTTTATAAGAAATTAATGTTGGGGATGCTATGCTCAAATATATGCCATTTTGGTACTTGCATTATACTATACTACTTGACATTTGAGATGTTCAAAACATCAAGCCTTTTTGCTAAGTCGTTGCTGAGGTTTTCATTGGTTTCATCGATTATTTACATTATATCACCGGCCGGAATATTTTTGACAGCATCATATTCTGAAGGTCCGTGTGCATTTTTTTCAATGGTGTCAATATACTTGAGAGAGATATCTATAAATCGGGAGAATTTTGATCTTTTGAATTCGAAAACCTCTTTGAAGACGAATTGGATATATAAAGTGACATACATTCTTTCTGGGACGATGGTCAGCATCGCATACGGGATAAGAATCAACTGTTTATTATTGGGATCAATGTTTCTTTTCGATTTATATGAGTTTGGAATCAGAAACCGGGATATCACAGATATTATATTCCCGTTGATCAGTGGAGGCCAATTATTCGTGTCAATTGTGGCACTTAATTGGTACACATATGCAATTTTCTGCCCCGCTAGAGGAGAATGGTGCCAGCAATGGATCCCTTCCTTATTCAGCTATGCCCAATCACATTACTGGAACGTCGGGTTTTTGAGTTACTGGTCGTTTGCTAACATACCTAACTTTTTATTTGCATTGCCAACGATTTTATTAACGTTACAGAGTTTTAAGCATTTTACACAGGAAAAACCGGTCAAGAATCTCCTTCCATTAATGATAGTAAATGGCATTTTATTAGTAGGTGGGTTATTCTGGTGGCACGTACAAATATTGACGAGAATTTCTTCGTTTTTACCACTTATGTACTGGTTCGTGGCAAGTTTGTGGATATCAGAGAACATGGTCTACAAGAAATATAGCGAGTATATCATGAAGTTCATGATTGGGTGGAACTTAATCCAGGCGAGTATGTTTGCAGCCTTCTTACCACCGGCGTGAGGCATTTAGTGGAACAAGAAAGCTAAACTTCAAAAATGTCTATAATCGTGTAATATATAGCTTGTCAGATACGTATATAATATCACACATTTCATGTGTGTAATGTTATGTAATATAAGCTACGAAACCCAATGACTTTGAGAAACTCAATGTCTACCATAAAATAATGCAAATCATTTAAACACAAGCTCTAAAGCACAAAGGTCTAGCTGCTCCAGTCCACTATCATAAGTATTAACACTGGGCTTAGCTAGTGCAAAATCAATGATGTATACTTGACCTTCTTTCGTACAGAGAATATTATCCTCTTTGATATCCCTGTGTACGATTCCGTTCCGGTGAATTACCTCCAATTGCTTCTTGGCCTTCTCGTATGTCTCCTGGTCCTTCGGTAATGGCACTTTTTCGATGTATCGAAATATGTTGCAGTACCCTTTCGCAACGTACAGCTTGTCCATGGTGACCATGATTTGTCCCATTTTTTGAGGTACATAACAACTTTTGAATTCTGGATCTCTGAATAGGATAGTATAACAAGTCCGTTCGGTGCGGTACCATTCATAGCATATGCCTTTCTTTTCTTCAAAAGTATAACCTCTAAATTCATATAGGTTAGCCATGCGCGGATCATACACCTTTGCAACTAGAGTCTCGTTATCGTCGATCTGTTCTAACATAAATTTCTTGAAATAAGAAGCTTCTAGCTTAACTAATTGTGAATTAAATTCATCTGAATTTTGCATTAGCACGTAGTTGCTGCTATCCCTAGGCACATCGATAGATATTTCGCCAACTTCTACTTCTTCATCTTCGTTTATTTCGTTAACAGATTCTAGCACGGACATGTTCGTACTTCTTGTGCTGGGGCGACTTCGTGAGCCCTCCGACAGGTCCAAACTATCCTCACTCAAAATAGCAACTGTCAATGCTTCTCCAGATAGCTTTAGATGTTCTTCTAATTTGCGAACCCTGTCTCGTTTGATTTCCATCTCAGAATCTGCCTCTATTGACTTATATATGTATGCCAATAGTGATTCTCGCAACGTAGGTTTAGCTGAATGGCAATCTCGAATCAGATACTTTATTGGAACTATTTTCTCCTCCTTGAACGTTTTCACTGGTCTCAGATTGAGGACATTCCGTTCGAAAGAATCAAGGTCTAGTTCAACAAACACAACGATATAAGAGTCTGTGATAATACCCTTGTTGGTCCTAAAGTATAGCATCTCGCATATCAACTGTTTCATTATTCCGTTTTTGTGAGAAAAAAGGCTTCTTATTCCGTCTAATGGTTCGCCATTATAGTTAGCCAAAAGAGGATACTTCTTAACCTCTGTAACACAGTACACTAGGGTCCCTTTACTAATAACTATGTCCGTTCGAAGTGTGAAGTTAACCATAATATCTAACGGACGGTGCCATATTGTTGGTCTTTCAGTCTCAACTTTTGTCACAATACCTAAGGTCATTTTCAACATTGAGCATATTGGCTTTATCAAATAAATAAGAAATGCTAGTTTATAAGGAGCTTCTGGTGATCCACTAGGAGAAATTGTTTCGTATTCATTGAAAGCAAAATTAGTTAAAGCTTTTTCCATTTGTTTATTTTCAATTTGATTAATGATCTCTCTGATCGTGTAACCTGCTTCATCATCTTCTATCTTCGTTAAATAGCTGTCATCGCACCTAAAATGGGGAAATTGTTTGTTGTAATTGTTAGAGCTTCCTTTGCTACCACTGCTAGTATAATTACCGTTAGGTTTTATTTCGTATTCACACATAGGAAGCGACAAAATCAACCTGAAAAGTCTCTTCACTTGTTGTGGATAGCCTTTCCTCAACTCATATACAAAACTTTGATATTGAAATTGTACATCTGTAGTAAAATCTGCTACTTCCCATCTCTCTAGCTTGAACAATTCTTGGATTAGAATCTGGTAATTCACTATTATCTCCCTCCAATGTGGGAAAAAATCATGATAATCGTACATCTCCATTTCATCTTCGACACATTTACACATTGTGAGATACAATGGATGCTGCGATACTATATCTCTCAAATAGTCATTCATAACTACTCTATTGTGATCAACACTTTCATGTTACATTCCTTGTATATTTCTTCTGAAACTAGCTTAAGTAGAATTGTGTCTAAACGTAATATTGTATGTATACCTGAAACGTAGTATGCTGCACATTAAATCCACAAAAAATTCCGCTCATGCTCATGGCGAACTGGAAAGTATAGCTAGGCCAATGACGTGATCCATCAATTGACAATTTAAACTCTGCATTACATTCTACTCCTTCATAATTCATCAAAATATATTACTAATGATTCTAATATACAAGAAATAAACATTACATACACCCTTAGGATCTTTCACCTCTTAATCTTCTGGCCAATTGGATATCCTTCTTTTGGATAGTAACTCTCTTGGCATGGATAGCACACAAGTTAGTGTCTTCGAATAAAGAAACCAAGTAAGCTTCAACGGATTCTTGTAAAGCACCAATGGCGGAGGATTGGAATCTTAAATCGGTCTTGAAATCTTGTGCGATTTCTCTGACTAATCTTTGGAATGGCAACTTTCTGATCAATAATTCAGTAGACTTTTGGAATCTTCTGATTTCTCTCAAAGCAACGGTACCTGGCTTATATCTGTGAGGCTTCTTAACACCACCGGTAGATGGAGCAGATTTTCTGGCAGCCTTGGAGGCTAATTGTTTTCTTGGAGCCTTACCACCAGTGGATTTTCTAGCTGTTTGCTTGGTTCTAGCCATCTTTTATGATTAATATAATATACTATAATATAAAATATAAGATAATATAAGAGATAATAAAAATAAATAATACAAGACGTTCGCTCCTATATATACAAATTCCTTAATTACTGCCGCTAAGAATATGCCAGTTTATTCTGCGCGGGTTATGTTTGCTTATGTTTGCGTATGTTTGGGCATGTTTACTTGTGCGACATGGATAATATTCGCTGAAACCGCTAAAGGTGCTGCTTTTTCTCTCCTTTCACGCCACTTCGCACCGTAAATAAACCACATTCTCACTATTTTCGCCCTACATATTCTATTCTCCACCATCAATAACCACACTTTTAGTGCATTAAGGGACTCGAACGTTTGTTTACCTCGGCGCGATCGATTTTTTTGTGCTTTTCTATGGCTTTTCGGTCGCACATTATCGCACGTCTTGTCTTTTCGCAGTGTCTTCTCCCCAACGTAAACAAACAAACAGTGCGAAAGCTCATCGTTTCTGTGCTGAGAATTGCAACACCACCCGGTAATTCACAGCACCTCGATTAGGAGGTTCGCGACCGCGCAAACGTCACGATCTGCCGGTACTGGTACTGGATCCACGCCTAACTTACTCCAGTATTATTGCGAGCGGAAAAGACACGATATGGGTGCGAGGAAATAGGTGAGATATTGTCTTTGTTTAGTGTAGAATATGTAATGAGCAAATCTCAATATATGGTGGAATATTTTTATCATCCCTTATATATATATAAGGCCGCACTTTTAAAATTAATAGAAAATTATTATATATATTAATATATTTAATTAATATATCTTCATACTAATAATATAATATAATAAAATGTCCGGTAGAGGAAAAGGTGGAAAAGGTTTAGGAAAAGGTGGTGCTAAGCGTCACAGAAAGATCTTAAGAGATAACATTCAAGGTATTACCAAGCCAGCTATCAGAAGATTGGCCAGAAGAGGTGGTGTTAAGCGTATTTCTGGGTTAATTTACGAAGAAGTCAGAGGAGTTTTAAAGACATTTTTGGAAAATGTCATCAGAGATGCAGTCACATACACAGAACACGCCAAGAGAAAGACTGTTACTTCATTGGATGTTGTTTACGCTTTGAAGAGACAAGGTAGAACCTTGTACGGTTTCGGGGGTTAGTTTTTGTACGATCAATATATGGGTTTATGTTATGAGAACCATTGTAGGATGTAGGATAGAGGAGTGAGATGGAAGAAGGTGTAGATGGAATGGAAAGGGGGAATACGGATTAAGGGGTTGAAAATAGGGCTTGTATCTGTTCTAAGGTGGGTACTGTTGTACGCCGTAATTTTTTTTAATTTGGTGGTATTGGGTACGACATCGACTTGTTCTATGTAGCAGGTATATTGGTATTCTATTTATGCATTCTATTTAGGGATATTCTATTACAGCATCTCTTGTTCAGGGGTGTTATGGTGGCAATTCATTTCATATCGCTCGGGGTCAACACCTCACCTGGCTTATACAATACCAGCTCTAATTGGGCCTCAGTCATGCCTTTCACGAGCACATGGAGATGCGAGATCGTCTTCACCGACTGCAACGCCTCCCAATTCTTGAACCACACTATGTTCTCGCGGTCGATGCCCATCCCGTCCACAAACGTCTTACAGACGTATTTTTCAATGATTTCTCTTGTGGCAGGCGAAATGTCACCGATGGGAGATGTTTCGTCCGGCTCAATCCGCAACTTCGTCCACACACACATATGTGTCACATCATCCTCAAAATAATACGGAAAGTGGTTGGGCACAATCTTCAAGTCATCTGGGTTGGTAAATAACTTATAGCTTGCAGGATTGATAACAATCTGGTTGTCAGGAATCCTATTTTGAACAACCTCATCCCAACTCATGCCCCCGTTGTCCTTCGGTTCGTACCATTTCAACTCGTTGCTCAACAAATGCTTGAAAATTGTAGTATGGTTCTTCTGGAGCTGCGCTTTGAAATTATGGTAGTTCTCCGTTTGGTGCAAAGACCGGGCAAATTTTTCAAGTTTATTATCCCTAATGATCTCTTTAACCTCCTCCCACGTATATTCTATGTCTCTAATCTTAGATGGTGGCATACCTGGCGAATGAACAACTTTGATTTTAATGTGTGTATCGGTTTTTGTAGTGATCATTGCGAAATTTCTTATTTGTCGCTTCTTTAGTGTACGGTAACCGAAATTGTCTTTTTTTAGGAACTTTTGTTAGAAATATACCTTCAAAAACTACCAGCTATCATCTTAGCATCCTACCGGAACCCATGGGACATCCCCAATATATATGAGTGCAAAATTTACTGATAAGTAGGGTGGTTACATTATCGATGTTACATTCTGCAAAAATGCAACCAGAACGCTCGTGGATCTTTTCGGTTTTGTGTCATAGTACTCGATTTTTCAGTATCTTGACATCGTATTGTTCATTACGATAAATGATTGCAAGAAACGGAACCGATTTGGCCAATTAAAGACATACGGAATGGCTATTCATAAATTAATAATACTACGTCATGGAGAGTCAGAATGGAATCATGAAAATAAGTTCTGTGGGTGGATCGATATACCATTAAGTGAAAAGGGCCGGGATGAAGCACGATTTGCTGGCCATTTGATTCAAAAGTATAATCTCAAGCCGACGATAACTTATACGTCAAAATTGACAAGATCCATACAGACCGGAGACATTATACTTGAAGAATTGGGACGGTTGTGGTGCGATGTTGTGAAGACATGGAGGTTGAACGAAAGACATTACGGGGCATTTCAAGGAAGAGATAAGAACGAGGTGTATTGTGAATTGGGTGCAGAAAAGTACCAGTACATAAGAAGGGACTATAATGGGACACCACCGCCTGTCGAAACGCAATCTAAGGATGATTGTATCGATGAGAGATACGAGGTGGACAACGTTGACATTTCAGATCTTCCCCGAGGCGAGTCGTTGAAGTTGGTGATGGAGAGGGTGATTCCATATTTGCAGAAAGAAATTGTGCAGGGAAGCTTGATTGGTGACAACAAGACTGTGCTTGTGGTAACACATGGAAGTATAGTAAGGAGTGTGATCAAGTATTTCAAGGGTGTGAGCGATGCTGATATCTCGAAGATTAATGTTCCGACCGGGGTTCCGATGGTGTTTGAACTTGATGACGATTGTAACATGGTGGGGGACTACTACTATCTTGATCCAGAGTTGGCAAAGAAAGGAATTGAGAAGGTAAGCAACGAGGGTACCAAGTAATGGTCCGGGTATCGATCTCTATAAGATTATTTATTAAGGCACCTGGAGAAGATCCGAGTATTAGCATTATGAGATATCTACAAATACTTGAATTCTGGATAATCACAACATGAATTCGTAGGTAACGAGTGATAATGATAAGGAATTCTAAAAGACTTATCAAATAACATAGCCAGAACTAAGAAAGCCACTTCTAGATCACTTTATAGAGTATATTATATTTATTTACGTTTACGGTTCATAATTTGGCTAATTTCATAATTAATATTAACATGATGAAGAGAAGTACTTTAGATTAAATACCCAGAACCTCTGATTTCCCAAAACCTTGATTCGTTAGCTTGAATGACTAAACTGACTGAGATGGTATACAGTGAAAATCATACAGCTTGTATCAGAAGAAAGAAGAATTGCAAATTATCTATTCTTAATATTATCAGGTTCGAGATATAGACTATAATATCTTCAATCGATAATTAATTTGAAGTGGTAAGCTGTTGAAAGTATACCCTGTCAAACCTTAAGCCTTGTTGAAGAATTCAATGTTGACAAAAAGTACATCCTAGAATCTCTCCTCAAAACATTCTGAATAAAAAAAACTATCATTCATTTCAACTATCATTTCTATTCGATTTGAATATAGTCGTTTATTCATACTTTTGACGGATAGAAATGGCCAAATCTCACTGCCCTTAGGAGATATCGTTAATTCCGGCAAAGCTCACTTCCAGGAGATATAGTTAATTCCGTAAAGATAAGCTCTCGGAGTTGGCACTAAATCCGGGTTGCATTCTTATATAAGTAGCTGACAATCTATCAAACAAGAAGATAATTCAGAATTCAACAAATAACAACCAATAAATAAACATGTCTGCTACATGGAATGAATCTGATAAAGAAAAGGTGAACTATTTGGTACAATTCTTTAGCACAGGTACAAGAACTCCTGTGTTTAGACGTCCAGATGAGGTAGGTTTAGCGTACGAAGACGTATATTTCCCCTCTGACGATGGAATTCCTCTTGAAGGTTGGTTTATTCCTGCAAATTCCAACAAAATAATCATTTGTAATCATTTTATGCCTGGAAATCGTTATGGGTATGCAGGTCATTTAGAAGGGCTTGGGGGTTTTGGTGGTTTTGAGGTCAACTTTCTTCCTCAATATAAAGCACTTCATGATGCTGGCTACAATGTATTGGCATATGACTTAAGAAATCATGGTTTTAGCGGCCAAGCAAATGGTGGTAATTGTGCCATTGGCCTTCGTGAATACCGTGATGTAATCGGATCTTTGAAATATGTTAATTCAAGACCTGACACTAAAGATATGCAAAAAGGATTACTTAGTGTTTGTTTGGGCTGCAACTCTACTATTATCGCTATGGATAAACATCCCGAATACTTCAAGGATATTAAATGTATGCTTGCTCTTCAACCAATTTCCTTGAGGTGTTTTATTGAAAAGGCTGCAGAAGGTATGAATTTGAAGGTTAAGGAAGCGACTGATTATTTTAACGAAAAATTCCGCTCTGTTAACGGGTTTTTTCTCGACGAGTTTACCCCCAAACCATATGCAAAGGGTGTAACAGTCCCTACTAAGGTGTTCCAAGTGCATGATGACTTCCGTACTGATGTTGCGGATGTGCAAGAGATCTACGATAAATTGCTGTCCAAAGAAAAGGAGCTTTATTGGATCGAAGGAACCAATGAAAGATTTCAGGGGTACAACTTTCTCGCAAAAAATCCGCAATATATGCTTGAATGGCTTGATAAGTATGTTTAAAAAAGATGTTTATAGCAAATTATTTAGTTTGAATGAAAAAAATTATACTAGACAACTTTTAATTAATGAAGCGAGCTTTAAATTAGCCATAGCAAAGAAAATTCTCTTACACATTAAGATTTTAGGGTGATATCAAAGTACTTTATAAAATATTTACAATTTATCTTTTAGGATATAATTTTAATATTTTTTTGTCATGCTTTAGTTAATATCATTGATAAAAGGATCCACATTGTAATTAAGATGAGCCAAAAATTCTTCAAATGTACAATCAAGGACAAAATCAGTGCTATTCCAGAATTCATCAATCAGCATTGTATTTCCTAGTACCTTATCAGTGTTCTTATCAATCGAGTAATTATTTTGCATCATTTCTGGATATTTGTTTTTAAAATAATCCAAAACAAGTTTTGCTGTGAAACAGAGGAGAAAACAATGGAAATATTTCACTGAAAGCTGAACTGCTGTTCCGTAGAACTGTTCAATTACTCGAAGAAAATTCTTAAGACATTCTTCATTGTTTTCGTGCATTATATTAGCCCAAAATGCTGTAGCTATAGAAGACTTTAATTTTTCGGCTGCTTTTATTAATGACAATTCACCCTTCATAGCCCTATTCAAAAGTCCACCAACTACGCACATAACTGTTTTCACTGGATTCCAGATTTGAGGAGCAATCAAGGTTTCCAATTCAGGACCAACTACACTAGAAGGGTCTTTTGCAAATTGGATTGAAACACCAAGAATAATGAAAATGTTTTCAACAACAAGGTGCAAATATTTTTCCTTGGTTTGTCCAGTGGATGATAAATATAGCAAATATTGTAGAGTGAACATGTTATGTATAATCATCAAACGAAGCATAATTTCGTACGCCGCTTCAATCATTTCAGTAACCAGACCTCTCGAATTGTATAAAATTTCAAACGGACGTATTCTTTTGTTCAACAAGTCATCAAATTCTGATAACAATTCTTCCACTTCGGATATCATTGCAAAATCGTTTCCCTGGTTAAGAATTTTCACCGTTCTCCTCAATAAGCGTGTTGCTATACATTTAATATTGAAAGAACTAGCTATTGTTTCATTTGATGACCAAAATTCGTTACTCAAGAGGTCTCTGAAAGGTTCTTTAGTCCCATTACCATCATCTTGTACTAACAACGGCATTCCGAACTCGAATGCCTGCATAGCATCAACGTATAAGAGAGACGCCCAAGTCTTTCTCCATAAGTGAATATCACTATTGTCAATAGTAAGGACAGTTAGATCACTAGGATCCTTATGCAAACCATGAAACCTAGCCATTTGTGCAGCAATTGCCACAAGAATATTCGATCCTGACGTCCTATCTTCATCCTCAGGACAATGCATTCTATAAGCCTTAAGAAACAAGACAGCTTGTATTTTTCTAAAGTCAATCTTTTCGTATCCCCTGGATCGCAATATAAGATGTTGAGCATACTCCACATAGGAAGAGGGTATATTTGCGTTTGTACTTTCTAATAATCGTAAAAAATCACTATCGGGCCCGCTCAAATAGCTATTTGAATTTTTTTTCAACGGAATAGTTAAATATGCAAATCGTAACATGATTAAGAGTATGGCAATCGTTGAGCCTCTATAACAGAGATCATCGTGACTTATTATATCTTTACTTTTAAATATTTGGCCAACCTCATTCATGAATATTCTTTCATCAATGATAGGCGCAAATATATAACAAAATTTGAAGAACCGTTGAATCAAACCGTTAACAATTCGAAGCGATGGAAGCGATGGAAGTTGCAATTGTTCATCAGGACAAGTATCAACTTTAGTGCAATCAACTAACGTAGGACCGTTTTGGCTAAAAGCCGCATCGTTCTGTATTTCTAGTGAAGTTGATTTGAGTCTGAACTTTTGGCTCTGTTCTTTAAGATAATCAGAAAACACTTCTACTGAGTAGCTATCATTCAAGAGTAGAAACATATGGGATGTGGGACCAAAATAGAGCACCTTCAAGTTCTTTATGCAAAACCGGTGTGAAAAATTGCTTAAATCAAGAGTTCCTCTACGCTCCTGTTGTTTAGTTATTATACTTTCATTGTTATCGAACATCGACGTTGGTGAGGTATCCGTTGATGCAAGACTTGCATTGTCCAACTCACGTTTCTGTAATTCTACCTTTGATTCCAAAGATTTTATTTTATCATTTAATCCCACTATCTCATCTTGTAATCTTTCTATTGCCGCTTCAGCGTTGGGCGTATCTTTGGGCCATGGTTGTACTTCGTACTTACATGTTTCGCCATCTTTTAAAAGGCAGTTGCTGCATGAGGGCCGGGTCTTATCACATTTGATTTTTTTCGCTCGACATGTCGAACACGACGTGGGTATTCTTGTCCGAGACTTTCTGACTCTATTTCCTACGGAATGAGTGGTTCTAGGCAGTGAATCAAGCATAGTTCCGGAGCTTAATACGATCCAGTGAGGTTAGAATGATATTTATGCGTATTTTTGGTTTCGCCCGGTAAATCCGTTCACGTGAGACAACATGTCTTCGTCCTACTTGCTGCAACCGTTTTCATGTAATGGATTATACCTTGGTCTAAATATCCTCTTAAAGCTCAAAGAATAAGATCTGTGCCACACCAGCCTAAGTAATAGTAGCCTAATCTAGAACTAGAATAGCCTTGTCAGCAGTGGGAACCGGTAATGTTGGATAAGTGTGCTGCGAATCGCGTTCTTCTTAGTCTGTACCGTATGCCATTAAATCTACTAATACCATCCATCTCTACCATCACCACAATACCTGTATTTCCTAGGCCATTAGATATAGACTCACAATGTATCCAATTTGGCCAAGCCAGTTTATCTAAACTCGGAGTTTCTGTTATACTCCGACTATATCCGACTATTCCATCGCTTTCACCGAACATTCATTTGCATAACAAACCCTCGCCTCGCTTTCCTCCTTTAGCTCACTATTTCTATTTTTATAGTCTCATGTAGCTCCTAATTTCTCTCATGATTCGTGTCCTTAGTCAGTCTATATCCCTTTCCATATTTGACACGTCTCCACTATCTCATTCCCGATGCTCCGGCCTCATCACCATTTATCGTATCTGTCTCATCACAGTTCCCAATTTCACACCCAAACACCACGATTCCTCATCACATCCAACCACCCACAATATAACTCTCGCTGATTAGCCTAATCCGGAAATTGTCCGCAGTCAGTCCGCGTAGAAGTTTCGAGAAGAAATATCACATTACCTTCGCATAGTTAACACAGGCTCCGACATGGCCCTTTACGGAGCAGCATCAGTAAAAAGCAATCCGCATCGATGATCGTATTGATGACAAATATCGGAAATAGGAGTTAAATTTCTCATATATAGATCATTCACACTGTCACAGACGACCAAACGAGCATATTTTTCTTCTGTTTGTTATTAGGACAATCGATAACACTTACGACTGGTACACGTAATACCCACAATATTTGGTATTATTAATAGACTGACACACCGAAATTACCACAGGTTATCAAACTTACACATATAAATATACAACTACCGCATAGTTGTATCATATAATTATAAAATTTACGTGTTTACTAACACTTTAGTAAGGTAATTAGTGTGGTTGTTACATAAGGCGATTATTCGTAATTCGCATCGCACACTTAAAACCAGAACAAATCCCTTCTGATTATAAACAGTTGATATTTGGATTTATTCTACAGAATCAAGAGTAATTTGGAAAACACACAAGAAAAGAAGATGACATCGTTGATAATACCACGGATGAAGAAAACCATCAGCGATATTATGGACGACGAATTATATGAGGTGCCCGAGAGCCCAATACAAGGCCAGGGAGGCCGGAGCGACTCGCCAAAGCCGTATCTTAAAAGAACAGTTTCCAACGCCGGAAATAATGGAAATAGCATTGCAGGAAGCCAGATGTATGGCAATATGAATGGTAGCGGCAATAACTTGTCGAGTTTGCTTAATATACCCGATACGTTCATCGATCAATACAACAGATTGAACAGCACTGCTAATAATGGGGCTGGAACTGGAAATGGAACGGGCGTCGGTACAGGCGGAGAAGATTACACCATGGTTCCACAAGCATACAACGACGAGTGGTACGGGGGAGGAAACGACGTGAATCCATTTACAGACTATGGAAATCCGGACTCGTTGAGCACACAGCAACAGATGCATTCGTTCATCCAGCCACAGGATCTCACTCGCAGGAGAAGGATCACCACGTTGGATGACGAAACCATGCCTCATCAGAAACCACTTAAGGACGAGGACCAGTTCTTATACAACCCTGATATCCAGCCTTCGCAACTTATCACCAACAAAAACTTTTTAAACGAAGATTATTTGTACTCTGACTCATTATTCATTCCAAACCAGGCCGAAGGAGCCGCTAATGGTATATCTATGGGCGACTATGAAAACAATTTTATGGATGGCTTTGACGAAGATGTCGAAGAAGAGCTTTCCGATGATGATGACGACAACTACTTTTATGATGATTTTGATGACTCGACCAACCATACACATAATGAGTATTTTGGGAATAATACCAATGCATCCACACCAAAAACTGACATAATGGGCGGTTACATTGATGACTTTGGCGTGAATAGCATACCAGAACATGATGATGACGATATGATGATTGACGATGTTAATATGGAACCTTCGTCTGAGCATATAATAGAGCAATTGGACGACGACAGGCCGTTACAGAATTCAGTTGAATCTTCAGTCGAGCCATACAGCGAGCTGTATAATGAAGCATCAGGCGATTCGTCTAATGATAGCACAGCTGAACCATACACCGATCCATCATCTCCATCAGAACACCATGATAATAAACATGATATACATAAGACTGCTGCTGAGATATCCGCTAATAATCCGAACCATCAATGTGATTTGATCAACCCATCGACTGGCCAACCTTGTAATAAACAATTTTCAAGGCCATACGATTTAATAAGACATCAAGAAACGATTCATGCTACAAAGAAGAAGATTTTCAGATGCGTGATTTGTGAGGGTAGATTAAATGGCGGAGCAGGTAATGGGAAACTGAAGACATTTTCAAGAGGTGATGCATTATCTAGACATATTAAAGTAAAGCATGGTCTAGTCGGCAAAGATGCTCTAGATTTAATTAATGAGGCCAAAGAAAATGTTGAATATATTTATGTTTAAATAGTTATAAATAGCAGATTAATTATTAATTATTAACTTTAGGAATTAATATAATGAGTATGATTTAACGCTGCGTAGGCTATCATGTAGATTTTTTAATAACAGGTTAATTGCAACTAGTATGCTTAAATCTATATAAGTATATGAGTAAGTGTGTATGTGTTTGTGGATGCATGAGTTAGTGATTCTATATTCTCTTAGGTGATGTTAGGGGATTTATAGTACAGTTGATTGTATAACTATGGCACAATTTGGCACAAACTTCAGTGTGCCATGGGTAAAATGCTTTGTTCGTAATTTCTAAAATGCAAATATTGAAAAGCAATGATAATATCTAAACCCATTTGAAAGAGGGCCGCCAAGATAAAAATAATTGAAATATTGTCAGTACCAAGTACTAAATAACTAATTTTTGTTAAATCACCCCCAAGCCAACTTAACAATAACATGATCTTAAAATTTCGAATCGATTTCAATCTATTCAACATCAATATTTGTGGCAATGGTAATAATGCTTCAATGAACAACCCCAATATACCAATGAATGAACCGTATGTTTCATTGTGGTGAAATAAGGCAGTTAGCACCCCGAAAAATGATGCAAACTTTAATATGTATTTCCAATAATCACCCTCATCATTCCATTGCCAAAATAGCATTGGCCTTTTATAGTGTACATCAAAGAAGTTGAGGGCGTATCGAAAAATCGTAACCAAGTAAATCTTCGCATAGATATAGTAGTCGAATGCAATTCTACCTATCAGCTCGATTATCCCATTAGACTCGTATGTTTCGTGATAAGTAGGGTATAATGATTCCAGTAGACGTCTTGGCAAGGACGAGTTCAATTCATATCTGAATGATGGAAGCGGTTCTAAAAAGTCCGGCTTATAGTTTTTGGGTCTATAGCTGAGAGAGATTTTTAACAACAAACTTTGTATGAAAACCATTACAATCAGCTGTCTCAATAGCGAGATCTCATACGGAGTTATTGTATAGTATAATATTCTCAAGATCAGAGACATTAACATGGTTGCACATATATCAATCGAAAATCCCAGTGATGTTTTTTTAGTGTAGATCCCGTAGCATGTTGTACCATATGAAAATAGCGGAGTGAACGATATGAAAACATTGGCACACTTTTGCAAGTCCGGTAAGTAATCCAAATACTCGAGGTATTCAGGTGGAAGCAAGTATGGCATTCTGCTATATGGAAATGAAAGTAAAGATATATTTGATTCAGAAGCTGGTTTATATGAGATCTTGTATTTCGCCGGATATATACAGGAACAACGCCAACTACCGATGTTCCATGGCTTAGTTACACCACTGAACTGCCAAACCAGGCTTTTAAGGTGTTTGATAAATATCGTGACTGTGCTATACATATATATCAAGGGCTCAGTGAGTATCTGAGTATCGTTTTATGATGGTATTGTCAGACTACTTGCCAGAATTGATCGCCCAAATTTTGCCGATAAGCTCGTCTGACAAGTTGCACCCATTTGCGTCTTTTCAGGTACGAACCAAAGTAGTATTATTTTATTACAATATCAATGATTTAACAGGATAGGATATTCAACGGTGAACACTGACACATACACAGATAGGTTCCTCCCTGACAACTAGTCGTTTTCGCACTAGAAACCTCTTACTGTGAAATATCAAAACCTCAAAACTTGATCCCGTAGTAGAGACAGTATGCTAAATCAAAAAGCTACTTTAAGGCCAGGACCCCAGCACAACCACACATACCAAATACAAACATTTTTCCTAGATATGATCGATTGAATACACTATTTAATTATTCTAGTGCCCAAACATGGTCAAAAGCCCCGGGCCATATTTTTTATTTCTTATAGATCGCTTATCCTATTGTTCCAAATCACTTGATGTAATCACAGTTTTCTATAGATTGCTGCGGTCTCTCGAACTCCGGAACCATTCACACACTTGGAGGTCTATACCACCTAGCCTTGTTCTGCTGGCAGATCAAGCCGTTGCTCCAAAGTTCCTGAATAACCTCCTGAATCAATTTCAAGTGAAACCTACATAATTAACTAATTCAATCGTATTTGTCGCCTTAGATCCAGATCCACACTACATCTATACGTCATATTAGTCATATCGACCGTTAATTATCCTCGGCAAATCCATTCTTAATCTCACTGGTGGATTAGCGGAAACAATAGTGTTTCCAGCACATATTTTTTCGGACCCGATTCGGTGGAAGACCAATCATTCGCACCCACTCCTGATTACAATGGTAATGACGATGATTCATTAATCATTGTAACTCCGAACTATCACATGGAGAGATGTACCATGGATGTTTAACACCGGTCAATTTTCAGTATTTTCTGATATACGCTAGTTTTTCACCCGGACTTCGATGACGGTTATACGGTAGATACTCAACTAACCTTCTTGTCTTGGACCCGATTTAGTCTTGTTGCGATAGGATTCTCTACTTGATGCCTTTCCCCAGTAACTGGTCGAGTTCCTCGGCGTCGGAGGTGTAATTTCTGGGGTTTCCATCTATCCGAGGGATTGGTGCATTTGAGTATCCCACGACTTGTCCCTTTAAGGGTAAACGGAAGAAAGGAAAGTCTGGGGTAGGTGAAAAATGGGAATTTAAATAGCAGAATAATTCCACCTCTTTTCCAGATTTTAGCAAGCTATTATTCAGATATTCAGTCTAAAGTAATATAAGAGTTACAATACACAAATATCATTATGCCATACACTAAAATAGACGTTAACGAAGAAGAAAAGTTCTTCCAAGACCAAGTTAAAGAGATCCAGCAATGGTGGAAAGAACCTCGTTGGGCTAAGACCAAGAGAATCTACCAAGCTGAAGATATCGCTAAGAAGAGAAGTAGTTTAAAGATCGACTACCCATCTTCTAACCAAGCTAAGAAGTTATACAAGTTGTTACAAGAACACGACAAGAACAAGTCTGCTTCATTCACATTTGGTGCCTTGGACCCAGTGCATGTCACTCAAATGGCCAAATACTTGGACTCCATTTACGTTTCTGGATGGCAATGTTCTTCCACTGCTTCTACTTCTAACGAACCATCTCCAGATTTAGCCGATTACCCTATGGATACTGTTCCAAACAAGGTTGAACACTTGTGGTTCGCGCAATTATTCCACGACAGAAAGCAAAGAGAAGAAAGATTGGGCCTTTCTAAGGAAGAACGTGCCAAGACCCCATACATCGATTTCTTAAGACCTATCATTGCTGATGCTGACACTGGTCACGGTGGTATCACTGCCATTCTTAAGTTGACCAAGATGTTTGTCGAAAGAGGTGCTGCTGGTATCCATATTGAAGATCAAGCTCCAGGTACCAAGAAATGTGGACATATGGCCGGTAAGGTTTTAGTTCCAGTCCAAGAACACATTAACCGTTTAGTAGCCATCAGAGCTTCTGCTGATATCTTGGGTTCTGACTTATTATGTGTTGCCAGAACTGATTCTGAAGCTGCCACTTTACTTACTTCTACTATTGACCACAGAGACCACTACTTCGTCCTTGGTGCTACAAACCCAGACTCTCCAGATTTAGCCTCTTTGATGGCCGAAGCTGAAGCTAACGGTATCTACGGTGATAAATTAGCTGCTATTGAATCCGAATGGACCAAGAAGGCTGGTTTGAAATTGTTCCACGAAGCCGTCATTGATGAAATCAAGAAGGGTAACTTCTCCAACAAGGAAGCTTTAATCAAGAAATTTACCGATAAGGTTAATCCATTATCTGCTACTTCTAACAAGGAAGCTAGAAAGCTTGCTAGAGAAATCTTAGGTAAGGATGTCTTCTTTGACTGGGATGTTGCAAGAGCTAGAGAAGGTTACTACAGATACCAAGGTGGTACTCAATGTGCTGTTATGAGAGGTCAAGCATTTGCTCCATACGCTGATATGATTTGGATGGAATCCGCATTACCAGACTTCAAGCAAGCCAAGGAATTCGCCGAAGGTGTTAAGGCCAAATGGCCTGACCAATGGTTAGCTTACAACTTGTCTCCATCTTTCAACTGGAACAGAGCTATGCCACCTCATGAACAAGAAACTTACATCAAGAGATTAAGTGAATTGGGTTACGTCTGGCAATTCATCACCTTAGCCGGTTTACATACTACTGCTTTGGCTGTCGATGATTTCGCTAACCAATACTCTCAAATCGGAATGAGAGCTTACGGTCAAACTGTCCAAGCTCCAGAAATTGAAAAGGGTGTCGAAGTCGTTAAACATCAAAAATGGTCTGGTGCCGAATACATTGATGGTTTATTAAAGATGGTCACTGGTGGTGTTTCTTCTACTGCTGCTATGGGTGCTGGTGTTACTGAAGACCAGTTCAAAGAAAAAGCTGCTGGTAAGTAAATATTTAGTCACGATTAATTATATTTATTATTATTATTATTTAATTTAGTTCCTTTTATTCATACAGTTAAGACGTATACATATATGCCTATTTATTAATTATTTCAATCTGTAGTTGTAGATTAGATAAAACAAAGTCGCATCGCTATCTAAGAAAAATAAATTTTTATTCTCTCTATCGGACTATGAACATCACATTGGAATGGGCTTTATAGAACCAGGAAGGTCGCTAAAGAAACGTAAGATCAAAAAAATACATCATGCTAAAGTTTTGCAATATATTCCACCTAGAAAATCAATTTTAGAAAAGTTGCCACATGAAATATTGTATAGAATATTTGTCTTAACTGGCTTGAAAGACAACAACTTACCAATTACGAATAAATACTTTAATAAGATCTTGTCGTTTAATCGTAACCCAGAATATGATACTTATTGGCCTGGAAAAAGAATTCTATTAGATATAGTCGACATTCATTTCTCATTTGATTTGAATCAAAACATTAATATTCCAAAAGTTAAAAAGAAAATTCAATATTACGATGGTAAAATACCCGATAATGAGAATGAAAATCTCCGTAAGCTAAAAGAAGGAATAAATGCATTTGAAGAGATACTGTCCGTGTTGTCTGCAGATTTGTTCAATTATAAATTTATCTCATCAGACTTTCTTGACTTATTTGACTTCACGAAATCGCATGCTTTAGAATATGAAGTTATTTTGGAAGAAATAAAAGAAAGGCCTAAGTTCATAAAAGAACACGATAAAGCACTCATGAAAGAATGTAAACGTTTAAACGTCAATATTCCTGAATCAGAGGACGAATGTGACAACATGGCAAGAATGGCAGACCAACTATTTAATACGAACTCAGACATTGTTCCTCAAGACTCATTAGAAGATAACCAAGAGAATTCAAACGCGAATAAGTATTCTTATGCAACACACACAAAGTCACCTAAGTTTCCAAGTAAATTTTATGATGGAGTCTCTCAGAGACGATTGATATTGATGTCAAAAATGTGTCATTTTGGGTTTGTTGTGGAAGATATCGATAAGCTATTCATAAATACAATACAATCATTTGATAAAAGTGACTGGGAGATGGAAAAATGGCGTGATTCATTGGACATATTACTTGAATTTTCAAAATCTGTTATACCAGCCTCAGCAATAATTGAAGGGTTCGAAGCTATAACAGGATGTAAACCACAAAACGAACAACAGTATTATACGATAACAAATCGGCTACTAGAATTATATTTTAAAGTAGATCAACGAAATGGACTGGATGATTCTAACATATGGTGTTATATTGTGAGTACTAAAAATCACAAATATTTTGACATGATTATGAGGTTTGCCGGAAAACCAAGTAACGAAATCTTAGCATTAATGCATACATAAACATAGATATAGATATAAATATATGTTACATATAGGGAAATTATATAAAAAGTATAAAAAAGATGAAGTGAAGTGTAATTTACATGAATATATTCTATCGATATGTCTGAGGATCCACCTGTTGCAGTTGTTGCACCTGTTGGGCTTGTTGCTGCTGTTGCTGGTACGGGTCTGCCAAATGTTGCATTAACGGATTTGGGTTTGAAATTTCATGGAACCATGGGTGCTGCAACGCTTGTCTTGCTGTGATTCTTGCATCTGGTCTCATTTGCAACAAACTACTTAATAAGTTTAGTCCCATTGAATCTAAGTTTGGAATTAACAATCTCAAGTCTTGTGGAACAAATATTTGCCAATTATTCTTGAAGTTGGCATACGACGAAACACCTGGCCACGTTCTTTCATTAGGGGTACCCATTAATCTGAATATTTTAATCAATTGGTCATCATTTGAAGTACCTGGGAATAATGGCTTACCTGTACACATCTCTGCAAATATACAACCGGCTGACCAAATATCAATTGACGCAGTATAAGCTCTCGATCCCAACAACACATCTGGGGCCCTATACCATAATGTCACGACTTCATTGGAGAATGTGTTGAAAGGAATCCCAAAAGCCCTTGCAAGTCCAAAATCACCTAACTTTAATTCTCCCTTATTATTAATCAATAAGTTCTGGGGCTTTAAATCACGGTGCAATACTCTATTATCGTGGCAGAACATTATTCCCTTTAATAACTGGAAAATAAATGACTTGACAATTTTCAAATCCAACGCTCCCTGGTTACCATGTGCTTCCATGTACTTTTTCAAGTCCTTATCCATGAACTCAAATACCAAAGTAAGCTTGTTTTCTGTGTGAATAACATCGTATAGAGTCACAATATTTTCATGGTCCAATTCCTTCATTAACGAAATCTCTCTTATAGCCGTAGATGGTGTACCTTCTTCGGAGTCTAAATTGATTTCCTTCAATGCCACGAGCTGTCCAGTAGTACGATTTCTACCTTTATAAACAGTAGCATATGTTCCTTCACCTAGTTTTTCAAGCTGTTGAAATCTATTTTAGTTAGTTACATTTTGCTCAGACGTGTTACATTATGAATTACCATCAAGGGATTAAAGACAACATCGCAAATCATCAAATTCTTAATAATCAAAAAAACTACTTACTGAGAAGAGGATCCAGTCATCTTATTACGTTGTAAAATGCCAATTAACTTCCAATAAGGATTACGCTAAAATTATATAAAGCTGGTAATATTTATAATGGAAGGAAAAGGGCGTAGTTGAAAAATTCATTCTATGATATTGAATCTCTATATACAGGATTAAATAAAGTACATAGAACATTACTACAGATATGCTAGTATTAATGATTTCTAGGTGCCTTCTTCATTAGGTTTATAGAGTTTTCGACCCATCCTTCTGCGCCACCTTCTAATGCCAAAATATCAAGGACTCTAGTTTGAGCGATCTCATCGTTTTCGTCAATACAATGAGGCTGTTTCTTTGTTGCAATAATCGCAGCATTTCTTGTACTTGGAATTCTAAGCATTTCTTTTTCGACTATCCAACCCATTTGCTTTGCCAAGTCTTCAGTGTGGTCTACAAGTGCTCCGTAGGTAGATACATTTTGCAGTTGGTTTGATTTCTGTTGTTTCCGTGGCGAATATCTGACTTTTGCACCAGACAATGCATGCGAACAACATGGAATTACCATAAATGGGTAGCCTAATAGAGGTATCCAGCATGTTAATTCATCTGAATGATTTCCGATTATAAATGTGTTTTCAGGAAATTCTTCTGTCGTACAGACTTGGGACGATTCTAATAAACTGGAAGACGAGTATGTCATTAATGGGGAATCTGATTTAGCACTTGATTTGTCTTCGGTAGAAACATTTTCCTCTTTGCATTTGCAACTGCTCTTTGGTGGCAACTGAGGGGCTTGGAAATACCTAAAGTTGTCGGTAACATTTGGAATTAACCTCGATAATGCAGGGTGTGGCTTCAATAATACACTCGGAATGATAATTTGTTCGGATAGGTTATTTTGAACGTTTTCAGGATAAGTGTTCCAAGACTTTCTTGAGCGAGCGTCTATTCCTTTACCCTTGTAACCTTCCATGTTCAAGATATAAACCAATAATCCATTGCCACAACCTAAGTCTCTAAATTCAAAATCTTCCTTTGACTTATATTTTACCGTCCAAAGCTCAATTAAAAATGCAGCAATGGCAAGGTCCTCAAACACATGTTTTTTTGGATCAGTACTTTCACACCACAGATTTACTAAATTAGAAGAATATTTTTTCTTCAAAGTTATATATCTATTTTGGAATGCTATCTTTGGAACAACTAAATCATGATTTACTCTCTTCTCATAACCAGTCTTTGCCCCGAGAGAATGCTTACTAGATGTTTGTAATAATCTTAGGGCAATTCTTATAGGCCTTTCAGTCACATCTAAATTTCTTATAGATAGTTGTATCTCAGGTGAAGACTTATAATTCTGATAATCAAATGGTAAGTATTGAATAGATAAGGTAGAATTATGATATAGTATCCCCACCCCATAAACAGGAGGTAAATAAAAAGGTATTTCGTCACTTGAATTTATATGTGGAATGTATACTACTAGAACAGAATCATCCGATGCTTTTTCCTGACTCTCGGGATTGGCATTTGTGCTAGATAAAACCAAGCATGTTTGATTTATTATGTGATCTTTGAATGGATTTCTGGGTATAATTCTTCTAACTACTTCACATTTTGTATTTAGTCTTAATTCGCTATTATTCAATGAAATTGTTCTTAAGTTGACGTCATCGAGGTATCTGTGTAGAATAACGTCTTCTGGATTTTCTGATGGAAATTCTGGTATTTTATTAATTAATTTACTGACAAACGTAGAGTCTCCATTCTCAACATCAAATACATTTTCTTTCAATATATCTGCCCTCATGATCACGGTTGAGTTTATGTTAGGTTGTTTTATCAAGTTTGACATCGCAACTTCGAAGTGATGAGCTTCAAAATCAACTGCTGTTTGATACACAGGCACCCATGGATCTCCTAGTTTTGAAGTTTCAGGGAGTAACAACTCAGCATCAAAATCATTTTTTGATTTCGTATGTTTGACCATTACTTTGCTATTTAATCTAATGCTTTATCAAGTTCAACTTCATTTCTTCCATCTCTGTTCCGATGATGGTAAACTATGAAAAAAAAAGTCGTCACGTGCATTAATCTATATACTTCATATATTGAATCCTACTTTATGATAGGATTCAATATCATAAATCGATGAAATAAGCATCACTAACATCTGAAAACTTATGCTTCTTATAACAGTAGTGACATTTGAAAATTTCAGAGCCCTTCTTTGATAGTTGCCACACACTATCCCTTAGAGCTAAGTGCTGGCAAAATTTCAAAACCACTACAGGGTTTTGCATAAAACTCAATATATCAGCATTAGCCTGTGTCATTTTCTTCTTCTTTGCTATATGTTCTTGTTCAAGTTGAAATTCATCATCTAAAGTTATTGGAATCAATTGCTCCTTGGACACAGGACAAATAAAAATAGGATGGTAATTAAATAGAAATTTATTCGAATCAGGTAATTGAAATGGTAAGTCATAATGGTAGCTGGCTTCAAAATTAACAATTGTAGCATTGTTGTTTGAAATTGAGTAGCTTGCGCTATTATTTCTAGTGGTATCATTTTCAGCGGTTGGTAAAGTGGCGATAGATTGAGAGGCTTTCGAGACCTTATTCAACTTCATTTGAATTTTATTGTACTTGTAAAAGCTAGGCAAGTTGATAAATCCAGCAAGAACACTTTGGAATATTGAGGAGTCATTTGATAAGTTCAAATCTTTACAATAATCAGATATGAACTCATTTGAAAGATTAACAAAAATAGACTGATTGCCGTGAATATTCTCAAAGCTGGCTAATATCTCTCCTATAAACTGAGATTGTTTATATTGCCCTGTTCTATTATTTTGGTCAGCATTAAAAGATTGTTTCATTTTGCTAATGAATTCAGAAAGCATATTTGTCATGTATTGTTGAGAATTCTCTTCATATTGCGTAGTTTTAAATAAAAGTAATGTCATAAGCGGAGAGATTTCGTGAAGATAATCTTTGAAAAACTTAGAAAAATTCTCCTTAGCATAAAGGTAAGCTTCCAAAACTCTGTCTGGATCAAATGAAGGCTTTGTTTGATCTTCGTTAAGAAGTATGGTAAATTGAAGCATATGAAATTTAAATTCTATTTCGTCATGATGAGATAGCCTAACCGGTTGGGAAATATTTCCTACCCCATAAGACCCGGTCTTTTCAGAATTATATTTATCTTTGAACCAATTCAATACCTTAGATAAATCGTGCCTTACGACGATATCGTCAACAATCTCATTCAAAAGCTTGAACTTTTCAAGGAGCGTTTCATCAACCATCAAAGCACCCTCTGGATCGATTTCCTTGATCATATCTTTTACTAGGTCACATTGTCCAATCTTCAATAAATGTATGATAATTGCTTTAATTAATTCACCGTGGTTCTCTAGTTTAATAGCCCTTATATCATTTGTAATATCGAGACTTGTGTTTGTAGGAGGTTCCGTCAATTCATGTTGATTATATTTAACGGGAAAATTATTCAAATTAAGGGGGTATGTATAAGCTTCATCCAAATCTACGTTAAATTTACTGTTGTTAAGAATATTCTTCTGAAACTTATTAATACTAGCATTGTAAGTCTTAAGATGAACAATAGACTTATTATACCACTTTTCTGATGACTTCTGTAAGCTTTCAAATGGATCGACTCTATTTTCGTGTTCTATTCCTTGTTCCTCTTCAGCCAATTGCTCTTCTAAGGCCAGTTTTGTCAGTTTCAATTCATTCAAGAAATTATCACACACCCCTAAAAGGCCATCCAAGCTTCCCTTCCCACTATCCGTAAATAAACCTATCTCTGACGATAGATTATCTAGTAAAAATGTACTCATTAACCTATTCAGCAATTTAGACAGAATTTGTATGATATATGCAATTATATAGAAGATTATTTCTAATTCTAACGGGGTAGCTTCATATCGGGTTCTTAGAGCTTATCAATTAGTTTATATACAGGTATGTAAGAATAGTTCAAGTCCTTTAATCAATTTTATGGTTTTAATGTGCTTCATTTCTATATACATTTCTATGTATGGTACTGTCGTTGAAACGCTAAGTATGGGATCATTTTGCAATATAATTCCTATTATGAATAAAATAAAATTAATCCATTCATGTTAGAATAAATAGTATTCCAAATTATGAAGTAGATACACCCATCAACGCCGATTATTTTTAGGTCTTAGGTCTACTCGAATCCATCAATTATCCGGTAAAAGTGATAAGTTCATAGTAAATTGTTTAAATGTCCAAAAAATCAGCTTTTACTAATAATTCTAATGCAAGGTGGGTAGGAATGTTGAATTCTGGAATATTCCCCGATTCAGCTTGGTCTCTGTACTTATAATGGTAATATAGATACTCTACCACGCATTCTAATATATCTCCATCCATGTCTAGATTAATCTTTCCTGTTTTACCTTCTTCAAACCCTTGTGTGCTTCTCAATACAGACGAAATCAGCGCAACTTCCTTAAGCACAACAAACTTAAAGTTATCGGCTGATACTAAAGTGACGTACGATGAATCAGCTTCTAAATCGTTTGACATCACAATAATATCTAGCTAGTTAATATAATATCAATAGAATGGAATGTATGGGTGATAATTTATAAAATGATTTTAAAGTAAATATCACGTGTATATCAATACTTAAGGATTTGGTGCAAGTTAAGGCACAACTATATACTTCTAATATACAAAAGCTTGTACTGAAAATATGCTAGCCAATCCTAGACTTGGATGGCAAAAGCTTCAAGACGTCTACTATTGTCTCCGACCATGTTACGATACTTTAAATTGGTCAATTGAAAATATATATTCCAATTATAGGATAGCAATATCGACAAACACGACACTAATTGCATTGGCATCGAAGTTCGTTCCCCATCCAAACGTCATAGACATATATTCGCTTAGTGGAAATAAAATATGGTCTGTTATTTTTAACAGTACTGCTATAGAACATATAGTGGATTATGTATTTAGAAACGAAGAATTATGTGTCATTTTGAACAGTCAGAAGTTTAGATATTATCAAGATTTCAAAGGTAATTTTACTGAACATTCGTATACCAAAGATCTAGTATTTCTCGATGATACAAGCATACACAACCCGTTAAATGAACAGAATGGAAACGTAAGCGCTGATAATGGAGGCAATTTTGCTCCTCAACTGCAATTTATAACTGATTTAGAAAATAACCAGCAGGAGGAAGTGTTTCAAGTCCACGAAGTCAAAATTTGGGGAAACTTCCTAGTTTTGAAGTTGACAAATAGGTTCATAATCACAAACTTAGATACGTTCACAAACTACCAAATTCCATTTGCAAGCTCTTTAATTTCCAAGATGCATTGTATTAATCCCTTGAATTTCAATGATGAGTCTTTGAATATTCTTGTTAGTTTTGACAAGACAATTATTCTGATTAATATAGACTTTAGTTTGAGTAATTATGAAATTATAGATCATGGGTTAACTGAAGGGCCTTTTACACAGTTAGCAGCTTCACCCAATGGTCAGTTGATTGCATTATTTAATTCGCAAGTCGAAAGGATATTTGTGATCAACAATAAATTTGACCAAGTTTTACTAGAATATGATACGTCTAATGACTCATCTTTGCCATACCAAGTGGAATGGTGTGGAAATGATGCTATCGCCCTCTCCCTAAAGGATGAATTGAAGCTAATTGGGCCTGGGCAAAATTCAATTTCCTTTTTTTATGATATTATTGATGAAGAAGACTTTGACCTAGATTCGTTTTCAAAAAGCAATGATCAGGATGAATTTTCTTTTACTATTCCAGTATTTAAAACTGAGCCAGATGGCTTAAAAATCATTACTAAAAAGAAAGTTGAGTTTTTAAGTCGAGTACCTGAGGTTAGCATAAACCTACATCAAATTGGATCATCTCATCCAAGCAGCATATTACTTGATTGTATTGATAAATTATCTCAACATTCATCTAAGTCAGATACTAATATATCCCTCTTAAAATCAGATGACTCCCTTCTCCTAGCAATTAATGACTGTTTAAAGGCATCTCTCAATGAATTCAATCAATCATGGCAAAAAAAATTACTTAAGGCAGTATCATTTGGAAAGACATATTATGATGATTTTTATAATGCCGATGAATACCTAAAAACGTTGAACTATCTTAAAGTTTTGAATCAGTTAGGATCTCCAGAGCTTGGAATATTCTTAACTTACAATGAACTTGTAAATATTGGTTGGGAGGAGCTAATCCAAATGTTATTGAGGAGAGATTTACATTTACTTGCATTAAGAGTGATTGATTTACTTGAGTTGCAGAATCTAAAAGAACTTGTATATATACATTGGTGTTGTTACAAAATAAGAAAAGAATTAAACATGTCTGATATGGAACTTTTTGAAATAATTTCTAAGAAGCTAACATCAGCTATTGGACCAGCTAAATATTCGAGAAATTATATAACCGTCGACAAAATATCAAATGTTGCTTATGAGGAAGGACGTATCAATTTATGCAAACTATTGATTAATTTTTCACCTTCAGTAGTAAAGAAAATAAATCAATTTTTGAAATTCGAGGAAATTGAGTTGGCATTGATCAACTCATTTCAAAGTGGAGACTACGATTTGTGTCGCTTACTTTTATTACATCTACATGATGTATTATCGGTATCTCAATTTTTCAAAATTTTAAATCAAAACGAACAAAAAGGTTTAATTACCGATACATCTGTCAAAGAATTTAAGGATAAACCCCCATCCAACGAATTCTTGTTTATAAGCGGTGACTTAATAGGAAATTTTTGGGTGGAGAGTATTGGCAAATTTGATAAATCATCCTTGAAAAGATTTTATAAACAGGAAGATAAGATTTCGGACCTCAGACTTATAGAATTGAAATCTTTCATAACAAAATCAAGCGCTAATGAAACAGAAAATGAAAGTTATTATGATACGTACAAGCTACAATTGTCAAAGCTAACGGGTCGGACTACTAATAAGAAAAGTGCAAAAATATACCAACGTGAAATAGAGATTTTAGAGTTAAAGAAACGACTTTCGGAGACATATCAAGTCAATTTTTTTAAAGAGAGATCGGTCAATTCAATTCTCAGAAAATTAATACAGATGCATCAGTTAAAGCCTGCCTTAAAAGTTGTAAAAGAACTAAAAATTCCTCAGGAGAAGTTTTGGTATTTAGTCCTAGACGTATACGCAAAGACCAATGAATTTGACAAAATATATCAGTTCGTGTCGCATAGAAGTGATACAAAAAGTGACAGACATGTTTTAAAGTCTCCTATAGGTTTTAAACCATTTGTGGAAACGTTTATGGCATATAAAGGACCGAAGGATCAAATATCGATCTACATCAACAATTGCTCTGACGTTCACTATACTGAAAAAGTTGATATGCATATACAGAATGAGGATTTGATTCTGGCTGCTAATGAAGCATTCAAATATAAAGATATTAACCTTTTAAAGGACATTAAAGAAAAAGCTATAAGCCTTGGTAATGGGCATGAAAATATTTTGAACGTAGTCAAAAGTTATATTACAAGATTAGGCTATTGAATAATTATAAAGTTTTAGAAAATTTTCCTTCTTTAATAATACCACAACTCGCACCTTCTTCGCCTGTAAGCCAGCATGGAATCGTAGTAGGATCTATTATCATATCACTTTTATTTGTTGTTTTCGTAGAAATTTCGTGTAGGCCAGCAAACACGTCTAACCCGGTTAACTTCATAGTTATCAGACTGAACTTATCATCATCCATCTCATTTTGATCCATCGGATTTACATTTTCTCCTTTTGCATTCGTATTTATTTCGTCTTTAATTAAAAATTCTGAGTATTGTATTGGTGCAACCGATGTAAATTCATTTCTACTAGTTTTGAAGCCTGTCGTACCTTCGTCGTCATCGCTGCTATCAAGATTACTATCATACATACGATTCTTCGTTTTTTTCAGTTTTCCGGGTCGTATAATATCATCAAATAGCTTTTCTGACTTTAGTTTCCCGTTAATAGATCCTTTAAATCTTAAGTTAGCAAGCTCCTTCAATTTTTTCATATCTGCGTCATCATTATTATCTTCTTCATCTTGGTTTTCTGAATTATTTTTCTCCTGTAATAGACTATGATTTTCAAGCGGACCCAATGGAAACATATCAACTGTGGCATCTGCATAAGGTGTCCAAATACCTAAACTATTACCAAATCTCGAGTTTCCGTGCAATATATGCATTGATTCTAATGATCTTATAGGCTTCTGATTGGATGAAGTTTCAAGCCTAAGTATATTCCTAGGGTTTTGGTGTATGTTTCTCTCGACTGCCTGTAATACAGTTTTAGCTACTATATCATTTCCAGTTGAATGTATAATATGAGGAGAGTTCATAGGAATAGCTAGAAAATAGGGTCTATGAGAAGAAATATGAGGTCTGTTAACATTATTGGAGGTATTTATTGGCTGCAAGTCAAATACCTGGATTCTTACTATTATTAATGGGAATACAGGATGACGACACACGTATATGTACGTCATGTATAACAAGTTCAACTCCTTCGCCAACAGATCAAGGAAGGTCTTAGGGTTTAACAGCACAGGAACTTCTTTATTATCCATATCTCTCACTGTAGACAGAATCCAATAATATGCATTTGGTCTGTCTACAAGCAATTGGCAATCAACTTGTGATAACTGGAGTAGATTTAACCCATTCGACCAATATTCAAATAACAATTTGTCAATAATCTTTCTCTTGGGGTATTTCGAAGTTGCGTGTTTGATTTCATTGACCTCTCGTAATACCTTCTTATTCAACTCCTTTTGTTTATATTTATTTTGGCCCTTATCAAGATGAGGTTGTGTATTCAATAATTTTGGCCATATAGACATTAGTTCCAATAGCGATGGTCTAGTAAGTCTTGCAAGTATATTATTCAATACTTTCTTAGGCAAAACTGGTATATATGTATTCGGTAACACATTCTGTCGTTCTTTTCCATTCTTAGCCATTCCTGATTTATCTATTGCAATTCCCTATGTATGTATTATCCTATATGATCTTGTGTTTACTCTTCTATATATGTCACCTATGCGGGTAACTCTTGAGAAGAGCGATCTGCATACACCAAATTTTTTTTTAGTTTTTCAGATTAAAGGCTGCTATACTAGAAGATGTATTAATTGAAGGAATACTTGAAGATCGTATAATGTCTGAAGAAGAAGTAGTAGCCCCTCAGAAACAAGAGGATCAAGTTTTAGATGATAGTTTAGATAGAAGAACATTATTCGTCCGTTCTATTCCATTTGAAGCCACATCTACAGAATTAGAGGAATTTTTTTCACAATTCGTCCCAGTGAAGCATGCAGTAATTGTTAACGATGAGAACCAAAAGTCAAGAGGATTTGGGTTTGTTTCATTCACTTTAGATGAAGATACTTTGACAGCATTGGTAGAATCTAGAAAGACCAAATTCAAGGGTCGTTTATTGAGAGTGGATATTGCAAAAAGAAGAGAACGTAAAGACAGACCAAGCAACAGTGGCAGTGTCACTGCCAGTAAAGAAAGAAGTGCGGTAGCTCCTATTGAAAAAAGAAGAGCTAGATTAATTATCCGTAATTTGCCTTGGTCTTGTAAGAAACCGGATCAATTGAAGAAGATATTTTCTAAGTATGGTGCAGTTTACGATGCCTATATTCCAAAGAAGAAAGGTGGACAGATGTGTGGATTTGCATTTGTAACAATGAAAAAAGACTCTGCTGCTGAGAAAGCTGTAAAGGATTCCGTTGGATTGAAGATCGATGACAGAGAAGTTGCTGTTGATTTGGCCATTGAAAAATCTAAATGGGAACAAATCAAGGAAGATGAAGACGAGGAAGAAGAAGAAGAAGAAGAAGAAGACAACGATAACGAAGAAGATATAAGTTCAACTCAAGATAATGAATCAGATGCCGAAGAGGATGATGATGAAGATGATGAAGAAGAAGAAGCTGATGGAACAGAAGAGTTTGACGAATTAAATAATCCTGATTCTAAGGTTGTAGAAGATGAGGAAGAAGAAGAAGAAGAAGAAGAAGAAGAAGAAAAACCAAGAAAAAAGAGTAACAGACAAGAAGCATTTTCCCTTTTTGTCCGTAATATACCTTATGATGCCACGGCTGAGTCCTTGGAAGAACATTTCTCTCAGTTTGGACCAGTTAAGTATGCATTGCCAGTTATTGATAGAGAAAGCGGTTTAGCTAAAGGTTCTGCATTCGTTGCGTTCAAGAAAGAAGATGCTTATCTTGATTGTTTAGATAATGCCCCTTCAGTTGCTTCCACGTCATTGTTAATCGCAGATGATGTTTCCCCAGCTTATGTCTACCAGGGACGTATTTTATCAATTGCATCTGCTGTTGATAGAGAATCTGCTCATAAATTGGCTGAGAGAAATGTTGAAAAGAGAAAGGAAGTGTTAGGGAAGGCACCAGCAGAGAAAGATAAGCGTAACTTATACTTGTTAAACGAAGGTCGTATTACGGAAAATTCTAAGTTGGCTCAGTTTATATCAAAAACAGATCTTGAAATGAGAGAAAAATCTTATAAGTTAAGAGTTCAACAATTAAACAAAACTCCATCTTTGCATTTATCTTTGACCAGATTAGCTGTTAGAAACATTCCTAGAGCTATGAATTCAAAAGCTTTGAAAGCATTGGGTCGTAAGGCCGTTGTTCAATTTGCAACTGAAGTGAAAGAAGAAAAGAGACAACCATTATCAAAAGAAGAACTTAACCGTTCTGTTAAACATAAGCACGACATTGGAGAATTCGAAACAGATAAGAAAAAGACGAAAAAATTAGGTGTTGTTAAGCAAGCTAAAGTTATCAATGAAGTTAAAGGTTCAGGTGAAATTGGACGTAGTAGAGGTTATGGTTTCATCGAGTTCAGAGATCACAAGACTGCATTGATGGGTTTAAGATGGTTAAATGCACATGAAGTTACAATTCCTGAAGTTTTAGAAGGTATGTCAGATGAAGAGAAAAAATTGGCCGAGTTAGAAGGTCTTGCAAAGAGAAAGTTAATTGCAGAATTTGCAGTTGAAAACGCTGAAGTTGTCAAAAGAAGAAGGGAAAAGACATTCCAAGCTCGTAATAATAAGGACAGTGGAGAAACTAATACAGACAAGAAAAGTTTCGATAGAAAGAGAAGAAGAGATGACAAAGACGATGGCAAAGATAACAGGGGAGACTCTAGAAAGAATGATAAGAAAGCAAGAAAGGGTTCTAATAAGAAAGGTAATATGAACAAAGGTGCAAAACCTGCGCCTAATGGGAATCAACCTGAATCTAAAGCAACGCAAAATAAATCAGGATTATCTGATAACGTGAAGAATATTATTGGTATCAAACGTAAGAGAAGAAAGGGTAAAAACTAGACTCTTCGGATCCTTTTGTTAATTTATATAGCTGCATGTACCATACGTAAGATGATTATAATAAAACGCAAAATTTAGGTCAGATGTAATCATAAGGATGCCAATCAACTCACATAGTTATGTCTAAGCTTTTAAGATCCCATTCTTTAGCGGTTTTTATTTCAGTTAAAGGTTTTATTTTATACTATGTAATAAAAGTAATGATACTATACAGTAATTGAATATGTAGAGAAAAATATCAGGTAAAAGAACGATTAACATTCATCATAATCATTAGAGTCAATTAAAAAGCATTTGTGAAACATGACAAACACTAGGGAAGGATAAGCAAATTAAAAATTGAATTGATCATGTCGTGAGATATGAAAATATACACATCTGTAATGCAACGTATTATCTCGTGTCATATCATAACATATCATAATTAGATGCCATGATATCAAAATGCAACACAGATTTAGGTCATTCATTGAGGTATGAACTCATCATAAGAAATAATCGCTTCTTTGTTGTTTATTAGGATTATTCTTTGCCGTTAAATCACCATCTTGAACGGCACTGAAGATTTTAAAGTTTGGCTCCAAATCCTCATCAACTTGCATCACACTAGCTACGTTACCACATCTATAACAGTAATTTGGAGCGGACCAAACAGTAACCACGTCCTTGTCCTTAAAATGATATCGAAATCCTTCCATTACTAACTGATGCGCCCTAGCAATCAAACCTAAATTATTTATATGATTAAATTCACGGCTGACTTTAGAGCCAAACAACCACCCAGCTCCTCTAGGTGACACAGCCCATGTATCCACATTATCAGGGTCGGACCACACTAAGTCACAGAACCCTCCTTCGTGCGGAACTTCTTGGGCTCTACTCAAAACTCTGATTTGATCAAGCATTCTAATCTCGGGCGATAAACCGCCGTGGACACATAATATTTTACCATCAACAATTGCAGCCAATGTTAAAAAGTCAAATACTTGGCAGCAGTATTTCCAGACTGTTGTAGAGCCATACTTAGTTAAACATTCTTCGTAGAAACCATAAACTTGTGTGATTTGTCTCGATTCATGGTTACCACGAACCAATGTTATTCTGTGTGGATACTTCACCTTTAAAACCATGAGTAATGTGAAAGTTTCCAAGGAAAAATATCCTCTATCGACATAGTCACCTAAAAATATATAGCTGACATTATTATCATCCCTAGGTAACCCTCCTGATATACGAAATAATTCTAGCAAATCGTGAAACTGTCCGTGGATGTCCCCACAGACCGTCACAGGACTTTGAACTGGCTGAATATTAGACTCTTCCATGAGTAATTCTTTCACCAATTCACATAATTGCTTCATATCTGATTCAGATAATGCAATGCATTTCTTGATCTGTTCCAACCATTGATCTGGTCCTCTTTCACTCATTTTGATTTATGTATGTATCCCAAATGCAAATGTTAATTGCTAATTGATATTTGAATGTTCTAAACTTTAAGATGTAAGAAGCTGATCTATTCTTCTATTGAAATCCGCTTAATCTTAGTCTAAAAATCAAGGGTATTATGTTTTCCTATTCGATAGTATAGTAATTTAAAATCGCCAACGAAACGCTATTTCCTTACTAATATCTAAACTTTAAATGACGTCTTGTTAGATAAAATATCCGAATATGGATAATTAAAATGCCTGAATATGACTGCTTTTTAAATTAGAGTCGCTTCAGCAATTTAATAGACTTATTCAAAAGTTAAGAAACTCGTAATCCGTACTATTTATTAGTATTAGGCTTGTCTCTTAGTTCCTGTTCAGCGAACTTTTTCATTTTTTCGTTGAACGATTAAAACTTACACAAAAAATCATTTCAAAGAACGATTTTTTTTTTCACTTAACTGATCATATCGAAACGTATCAACGGAAAGGATGTTGGTTAATAGGGTGACGAAAGCTGCTAGCGGCGCTCGGGTAACTCCAGTGCGTTTTATTGGTACAACAGCTAGACTTTATAATAAATCGCTACCATCTACACCAGAGATGAAGAGCAATGAATCATGGGCGGGAAACGAGTCGTCCAACAACAACTCAGTGATCAGTAGGGTCGTTGGTATGGCTAGATCATTACAAGAGAATACGCAACCACCAATCAACATTGCAAAGCCATTCACCAAAAAATTCAATCTGAGTGAAACATATGACCCATTTGATTTCTCAAACGACAAAATGGACATCGAAAAGAGAGAAAGAAGACAGACTATTCCATACGAAAAAATGATGGACCCGTTCGAAAAAGCCGGCATCGACCCATTAGACATATATACCATGCCAGAGATTTTGTCGAGGTTCTTGAGCTCAACTGGCCAGATTTTGCCGAGAGAAATAACCGGTTGTAACGCCAAAAATCAAAAGAAGTTATCGAACGCTATCAAAAGAGCAAGAACTTGCGGCTTGTTGTCCACAGTCCACAAGCACTCCAGATACCTTCCTACCAGAAACATGTAATTGTATATAGTCAATAAATTTACGTTCACCTACAAGTATTTTTTTTGCAATTTTTCTAGTTAGCTTTTAGTTTCTTTTGTTTGTATCTGATAACCTATATCCATGAATAGTGTCGTTTCCCCATTTATGACCATTTCCCACTTTTAAACGGTCATATCATACCATTAGATCGTTCCACTATGGTAACCTGAATTGTGATTCCTGTACATAACATGGCCAATGACATGACCCGAGCTCCCAGGACGATTAATGGCCAAGTAGACTCTTGTTCTTTTTCCTACAATTTAACCGTTATTTTATCAATTAAACCAACAATGTTATCTCAATTAGTTGCTAAGCGTACTTTACAATCATCCGTCAGACAATTCTCCACCGCCAGAATTGCATTAGGAAACGATACTCCAAATGCCAACAACGACGCATTCTCCGAAAGGGAAAAGGCTCAAGAAAATGTTTACGTCAAGAAGCATGAAGCCGAACAATTGAAAGCCTTAAGAGAAAAGTTACAACAACAAAAGGAAAGTATTAACAAATTAGAAGACGAAATCAACAACATCAAGAAATAAGCATGATTTTGCCATTGGTACCAAGTGCAAAAATTTGAAATTTTTCACTGAGTTTTTATTGAAACCATCAATCAATTTGATGCTTTATAATAAGTATCATCATGGCCAATTGATTTGATTCTATTGCAAATTGCAAATTAAGCGAATTGATTTAGTTAGTGTTGTATTGGTATTCAATATATAATGTTGCTACTGAGCCTGTAGACATAAATTTTCTATTTTGCTACGCTTGTTAATGGATGAACCAACTGCTAGAGCTAGCGTAAAGCTCCTCTTGTCAATCCTGCTACGCTAGTCTAACCTATTCATGAACGATGGTTGTTCTGCTATCATTGATTGCTGGAATCAAGATATGCAGGATCGCTTGCAAAGATTAATTTGTTTTCTATTTTAGGAATTTATACTTTTCAGCCATATTCTTCTATGCCAACATAGAAGGTACGATGACTTTTAAAGATACAATAAATGGTATTGTGAAGCCCAAAGTGAATGAGGATAGCGTATATAACACTGGAATGTTGGTTTCGGAGGATACTACTAGAAAAACTGATCGGGCGGCAATGTCTAAAAGTAGATCTCGTATCGAAAATGTACAATATAATGATTTGAATATCGAAATAGACCAGAAAGATATTGATAGGGCGGCCAAAAAATACCACAAAGAGATGAGAAGTCGCCGGAAGGAGCAAAATAGAGAGAGAGAAACTTCTCAGTTACAACATGGATTTCTGCCGGTATCAGCGGAGGTGCTTATTACAGAGAATAAAGAAGAGAGACCAGAGACACAGCAAGAAATTCGGCCTAGATCTCGTCTGAGATCACATCTGAGACATCAGAAGCATAGAAGGTCTCAGATGGCCAACATGGAGCGTGGACGCCGACAAAAACCGCAAGAAACGGAGAACCTGGCTACTCAAGAGCCTACTGTAAGACGGCTGAAACAAAAAAAGCAGCATCTGGCGAAAATAGACCACCTGGATTACCCTGGGGCAGTGAGCTCGGTATTTCGTACTCAAGAAGAGCTGACAAGCGAAGCAGCACATAAACATTTCGGAAATTCGAAACAACTGAGATTAAATAACGATGAGCGAGGACAGGGTACAGATGAAGAGCTAATCCATAGAAATCGAAGACGTCAAAAAAAGCATTCTATACGGCAGCATACTTTACTCGAAACTCTGGAAGTACCTTCTAAGCCTGAAGAAACGAGTCCAAGACAAAGGCGTCAAAAGCACCCAAGGCAACGCCAACAAGACCCATCCGAGCCTACACAAGATGCAACTTCAAGACAAAGGCATCAGCACAACCATGAGCAAGTACGGGATTCGCAAGGAGAAGAATCATGGATATTAGAAACCGTTCCTGTTCCTGAACTAGTTCCAATTCCCCATTCAAGGAATAATCGTCTAAGACACCCACAAGCTAATCGAGTACAATCTGATCGAGTACAATCTAATGGAGCACATTTATTGGGAGATAGTCCAGAAACATCTTCAAGACAAAGGCGCCACCAGCATCTTGCACAACAACACGCTCCACCAGAAAGTCCAATACAACTACGTACGACGGACTCTGAATCTCGTTTGAGGCATATTTTACATCAACAGCTTCCACCTAATCATCAAGTATCCCACCCAGAGCTGTTTCAAAGACGTCTAAGAAGTCCTATAAATGATGTAGCCACGGAACTGCCGGAGTCCAGTCAACGAAGACCACGAGTTCAAAATTCTTCTAGAATATTGCATCCATGTGATAGGATATCTTTCAGTGAGGATGATATACCCCAATCCTCAAGTCAAGAAGATCTCCCTCCATCCGACGAATACTACGCAGGTAACGAAGCCGAAATACCCCCGTACCATGCTACACTCCACAAGTATTTGGATTTGATATCTTACGATCCTCGAGTAGTACCCTGCTTGAGGGTTAATAGAGCGCTAATCAAAAGTAATGACAAGCTATCCGAATCTATCTTCCAATTTCTGAAGTTCAATTTGTTCCCCGAATCGATTGATCCCTGGGAAATATCCCATATTGACGACCAATATTATGATGACCTTATTCCTGAATTAATTCCGGTAGAAACCGATAGCAGTGATGTGCTGCCAAATATACCATACGAACCGCATTATAGGCATCATAACGATGTGATGCCTCAAATAATTAGTGATGACGACTACGAATATGCATTATATTTGTCATCTCTTGAAAATAATGTACATAATCATACCATGAACATAAGTTCCACCATTGGAAGCTAATTTTCCGACTAGAATTAATGTTCATGTTAAATAGATATATTGCAAATAGGTATAAATTTTAAACTTGCTTATATAATATGTCTCATCTTATCAATTTTTCAGCGAACCTCTTAGAGAATCGTAATTTCAGCTTATTTCAAGGTTCACCTTATACTCTTTTTTTCATTATCTCCTCCATTTAATTGTTAGGTAGAATATATCTTAAATCATAGCACTAAAGAAAGACAATGTCAGATCCTGAAGGTTTTCAAAAAGTTAGCGAAGACGCACATAGATCAAATGAAGCAGTCAATTCCAATCCTTATGGACCAAACCCAGCGGATTTCTTATCCAATGTTTCAAACTTCCAATTAATCGAGTCTACCTTGAGAGAAGGTGAACAGTTTGCAAATGCGTTCTTTTCAACTGAAAAAAAAATCGAGATCGCTAAAGCTTTAGACGAATTTGGTGTTGATTATATTGAATTGACCTCCCCAGTTGCTTCTGAACAAAGTAGAAAAGATTGTGAAGCCATCTGTAAATTAGGTTTAAAGGCCAAAATCTTAACCCACATCAGATGCCATATGGATGATGCAAGAGTAGCAGTCGAAACAGGTGTTGATGGTGTTGATGTTGTCATTGGTACATCCCAATTCTTAAGACAATTTTCTCACGGTAAGGATATGAATTACATTGCTGAATCCGCCGTTGAAGTCATTGAATTCGTCAAGTCCAAGGGTATTGAAATCAGATTCTCATCTGAAGATTCTTTTAGATCTGACTTGGTTGATTTGTTGAACATCTACAAGACAGTTGATAAAATTGGTGTCAACAGAGTTGGTATTGCCGACACTGTGGGATGCGCTAACCCAAGACAAGTCTACGAATTAGTTAGAACCTTGAAATCTGTTGTTCACTGTGATATTGAATGTCATTTCCATAACGATACTGGATGTGCCATTGCTAATGCCTACACTGCTTTGGAAGGTGGTGCTAGACTCATAGATGTATCTGTTCTTGGTATTGGTGAAAGAAATGGTATTACTCCTTTGGGTGGTTTGATGGCTAGAATGGTAGCAGCTGACAGAGATTACGTTTTATCCAAATATAAATTGCATAAATTAAGAGACTTAGAAAACTTGGTTGCCGAAGCAGTGCAGGTTAATATTCCATTTAACAATCCTATTACTGGATTTTGTGCATTTACCCATAAAGCTGGTATTCATGCTAAAGCTATCTTGGCTAATCCTTCGACATACGAAATTTTAAGTCCTGCTGATTTTGGTTTGACTAGATACATTCACTTCGCCAACAGATTAACCGGTTGGAATGCTATCAAGTCAAGAGTTGATCAATTGAACTTGCACTTATCTGATGAACAATGTAAGGAAGTCACCAACAAGATTAAGAAATTAGGTGATGTTAGACAATTGACCATCGATGATGTCGATTCAATTATCAAAGATTTCCATGCTGATATCTCTACTCCTCATGTGAGACCAACGGAACCTGTTCCTCATGTTATCGAAGGTTTAGAAGAATCGGAAGTTAAGAGACCTAAGAACTAATTTACATGAGGGTAAATTTACTGTTAGTTTTCGAAGGGTTTATATTTCCCTGTTTTATATTTTAAATACGATGTAATCTTTTACAACGATCAATTGACCCTTTTTGTAGATTAAAGTATTTCACAGTAAGCTGAAGCAAATGGATAGTATAGCTCTTAATGATATTCGTCATAAATGCGCATGTATCTCGATTACTAATTATCATATATCGCCCATGTATAAATTTATCATCGCTACACTGTTGGGAGTATAATATTTGATTACTGTATAATTTAAGCTAACGTTTAAACTTTTCCAGCTCAATTAAAATCAAATGGAATTTATAAATTTAGGTGAATCAGGACTCAAAGTTTCTAAGGTTATTGTAGGATGCATGTCCTACGGTGATAAAAAGTGGGCCGATTGGGTACTCGAAGATGAAGAGAAGATATTTAAAATCTTGAAAAAATGTTATGATAATGGTTTAAGAACATTCGATACTGCTGACGTCTATTCCAATGGCAAATCAGAAGAACTTCTTGGAAAATTTATCAAAAAGTATAATATTCCCAGGGAACGGATCGTGATTTTGACCAAATTGTATTTCCCAGTGGATGAAGCGACGCCTGGTTTCAAATTGTCGAATTATAAGTCATTCCCAGAAGGAGATTATATAAATCTGCAAGGATTATCTAGAAAGCACATTTTTGATGCGGCCAATGCTTCCGTGAGAAGATTAGGTACATATATCGATGTGTTGCAAATTCACAGGTTAGATAGAGAAACACCAAAAGCTGAAATTATGAAAGCTTTGAACGATGTGGTTTTACAAGGACTTACCAGGTATCTTGGTGCTTCAAGCATGAAGGCGACAGAATTTGCCCAATTGCAATTTATCGCTGACAAAAATGGTTGGTTCAAATTCATTAGTATGCAAAATTATTACAATTTGCTTTATCGTGAGGAAGAAAGAGAAATGATTCCTTTCTGCAATGAGTCTGATTTTGGAAGGGTAGGTCTAATTCCGTGGTCACCTAATGCAAGAGGCCTTTTAGCCAGGCCTGTCAACGCTCAATCTCAATTTAACAGAAACACATCTTCCGATAAAACCTTGAAGTCTTTAGGATTGGATGATTTGTCTGATAATGATAAGGAAATTATAAATAGGGTCGAGAAAGTCGCAAAAGAAAGGAATGTTAGCATGGCAGTCGTTTCTTCGGCTTGGGTATTAAGCAAAGGGTGTGCTCCAATTGTTGGCATTAATTCAGAAGAAAGAATTGATGACACTATTGAAGCAATAAAGCTAAAACTAAGTGAAAAAGAAATCAATTATTTAGAAGAGCCATATATTGCAAAACTGCCACTAGCAGCTTAAATTGATTATTAATTTATTAATACATGCTATGAACTTATAAAAGTATTCACTCAAAAGAATTTGGATTACTTTCGCAATTCATCTGATTTAAATGTTACATTATCTTCTTCTTCTTCTTCTTCATCTTCATCATCATCGTCACTTTCTTCATCTTCAACACCAACGACTGTCTTCCTTCTCTGAAAATCCTTGATATGTGCCTTATTCAAAGCATTAGTGAAAGTACCCAAGGTAGATCTACGACGAAGTTCTCCAGGTGAGACCTTCGGCCTAGAAGTTGGAATACGACTGAGTCCAATATCTGCTTCATCTTCATCTTGGTGTGCTCTGTTCGTGCTTAAGTTCTCTTGCATAGGTTCAGCAGAATCTAGATTACTATATTTTAATTTGACAAGTCTTCTAATTGACCTTTCTACCTTTGTTGAAATTGCATATGGAAGCGGAGAGTCTCTCGAAGCTCTAAATAAGGTAACATTGGTACAATGCTCATTCTCCATCCTGAAAAATATCCAAATGAATCTTCTCAAAATTTCGGCCAATGCAACACAGAAACTAGTAACCGCCAGTTGTTGTATTTGACTTGTGAAAAACGCATAAAAGATCCATTGGAATCTTAAAATAACATCAATTACCATGGCACAATAGTAGTAAATAGGTCTCTTGAAAAACAAATTATCTCTCAAGAACCTATGCTTGGATCCACTCTGCAATAAAGACCAATCCATCACAATATCCCATGATGATGTATATAAAGTATTAATGATAGCAAATATAATAAATGGAATTCTATTTCTTTCACGGTTATCAATACGATAAACACTTAATAAGCAATAATAAAGTGTTGTAAATGAATATTTTAACATG